TAAGAGTTGAATAATACATGTGAAAATTGACACATCTGCATTATTTGATTTATTTGCCTAAATGGATATTCAAAGTATGTCTTTTGAGGTACATCCAACAGCAATATTAGGTAGGGTTTCTGCATATTTATAACATGGATTATTCAGTTTAACAATGAGATCCTCTAGCTTCAAAAGTATACGATTGCTAAGAGAATTGCCCCATATCCACAGACCAAAAGCTGATTACCTGATTTCCACTTTATGACTGCATTAAATACAGTTTTTAATATTTTTAATCGACCGAAATGAATCAGCAAAATTAAGTCTGATTTAGAAATGAATAGGAACAAATTTTGTAATTTAAGTAACAATGCACAGAGCTATGCATTTTTACAGCATGTTAAAAATTACAGTTTGAATATTCAAGTTTTTTCTGTGCATGATTCATAGACGATTTATTATTAATGAAATAGTCCAGTTAATTAATTTTTTTAAAGCACCAATTATCATCAAGACTTTAAATTTAAATAATTTATGCTTCATTGGCCACAGACTAATCTTGAATCTGACCTTTTCTTTTGTGCAGTTTCAGTTCCACTTTTTGTATTTGTTGATTCATAAAATGCTACTGAGTTTTCTAAGGGGACGTTTACCAATTACGTTGCATGAAATAAGAATTTTTGGCTCGATTTGCAAACAAAAAGCAAGTGGACCAGCTCAATTATTCTAAATGAAGATTTTCCATTTCAAAATTTCAAAATTTGCAAGATTGAATAATTTTTATGATGAAAATAAACAGCATAGCATATCCAAATATGCTTTGAAAATAATCAAGAGAATTTCTCATTTCGCAGCAGCTAGCTATGCTACTTAAGTATTCGCCTTCCATAAAGAGTCCTTAAAAATGTCAAGAGTTGCTTACATTGAATCTCATTTCATTAGCGTCATAAAGCAGCACAGCAGTTAAGACTGTGATATTTCTCATTGAGAAATTTCATGCATCAAAACATTTCAAATGAGCAGCCATAGTTTGAAGTTTGCTTTCAAATGCTGTATTCGCGCTAGCTGTTTCACAAGGATATTTCACTTCATATTAAAAAAAGAAAATTTTGTTCATAATTTAATTATGTTGGAGAATTAGCATACAGCATAAAAAATGTGTAAGTGCTTTCAGATTCTTTTAATAAATTCAGACTTGTGCACTTTTGCAGGAAAAAGTTATTTTTTTTATTTTTTACGGCACTTGGTTTATTCAAACTCGTTGTGCAAATCTCTTAATGGACATGGTGTAAGCTATAATACATTCCCTGTAGTTATCATAGCTTCATATTTTTTTTATATCCATATCCATGCAAACATATGAAATTTCTATTCATTTTCATCATCATAGTAATTATGTATAATTGATATAAAGTTTTTCCTTCCTGCTCATTCATATGCTTTACCTTTCTACAATATTGTTGAATATTTTTATTTGTTCCTTTTTTTTATTCCGGAAAATCTCTTCTTCAGAAATTGCTTGCTTAACTTTGCATGAATACATTTTTTTGTGTGATATTAAGGACAAAGTAAAAGGGAAATCTTAAAAATCTATGTAGTTTAATGAACATAGAGAATCTTTGTGCTAAATAATAAAAGAAAATATGAAAAGTTTTTAATTGAAATCTCAAATGTGCTATAGCTACATTAAAATTATTAATAAAAGCTAGTTGGCATGTATGGCATTTTTTTGTACTATAATGTGAATTTGAAGAAGAGATTTTGAACTAGAATTTGTCAATAAGATTATTAAGCTGCTTACACTTTGTCCTACTTTGTCATTTAAGTGTAAAACATCAAGTTCGAAATCTATTTATCATCCCAATTTCCATTAATATCAATAAAATCATCCTCAAAATCCTGCGCATTCATAAACACTAAACCAAAAGTTACTTAAAACACTTACCCTCGAAAAATGAGCAGCAAATATATTTTTATGTAATCATATCCTTAGAAATTCAACAAAAACCCAAAGGATGATGATGGATAAAAGTAAATGAGCGTGTACACACATAAGCTTTTCATGCATCTATTATCTTCTGCTTTTTTCTTCCTTCCTTCAATGTCTGTTTGATAAATTTATAGAACAGGAAATAAAGAATGAAAAATTCTTGAAATGTTTACCTGCATTATTCATGTTTTATGGTTCGAGTAGACAAGCTTTTTAATAATAATAAAGGAGGAAAAAGGAGTCAGGAAAATGTATGTGCTGTTAATGGATACCAACTTATTAATGTTCCTTTTTCTTTTGTTTCATAAATCTTCCCTCAAAAACTAAAATAAATGGATGGAAAAAGTAATGACAGCATAAAAATATGGTTCTGTCTGTCGCTCTATCTGATGTGCTGTGTGTGTCTTCTAATTGAGATAGCTATAAAATTCTATGACAACATTAAATAAAATTCTTCTATATTTAACAGCAACAGCACCACAATTAGGATCCTTTGAAGCAAATTTCTTGGTTAAAGTTACTGCACAACATAGCGTAAATAATGAAATGTAAATTTAATTTCCATCCTTTCCATCTGCCATTCACAACTATAGGGTCGCAGTAAGGAGTCAAAGCTTCACCTCAAAAAGTTCAGCTGAATTCGGCAAGTTCAGTTAAATTCAGCAAGTTCAGTTTAATTCAGCAAATTCAGAAAGTAAAGCCAAATTCATCAAATTTATCCAAATTCAACACTGCACAACTCTTCCTCACATTGTCAGTCATAGTAAGAATAATAAAACGAGATGGTCACTAATTAAAACATTTTCATTTGTTCACTTAATAAATTCGTTGATGTAATTTAACCGTTATGATATCATGCATGAAAATAATCACTTTGCTACTCTTTCATTTACATCCGTCAATTTTTTTTTTCGCTGCTTCTACTCCTACTGCCTTCTCTCAATTCATTATTGTTTGCCATCGTCATCCTCATGACAATTATTCATCTACTATGGGGAGCAATTACGAAATTGGAGCAATTTTTAAGGTTTAATTTCACTTTTACCTTGAATATTCATTCTTTTGTCTATCCAATTTTTTATGCTTTACACAATCCTATACATGTCTGTCTCGTATGGTTGTTTGCAGCTCATAATTAAATCCGTTTTGATTTTTATTTAATTGCTTCTGTTTTTAATTGCATTTTGTCTGCTTTTGATTTTTTAACGGTTATTTAAATTTTGAATTTGACTATGTTAAAAACTTTCAAATTTTGACCGTTATTGACTAGCTATCACGTGTCATAATGAATCAGCGATAATGCTTTAATATTGCTAATTTCCATTAAAACTGTGAATACTCAGTAATACCTACCAAAATTCGCACAGCAACTTAAAATTAAAGGAGTAAAAAATCAATAATTTGAGTTTCACATCCACGCCTTTCAAAACTTACACAATATAAGCTTTGCATGACATAATTGAAAATTTCACCAAAACACTCAAATTAACACTAATTGATGTAAACTTGTGATTATTAATTAGTTATGGTACAAATGGATTTTTTTACTTCATTTCCTCTCACCAAATGAGTTCAAAGTAGCAAAAAAAAACAGATTTTTGTATATGCCGACAATCCCCAAATGAGAAGACCATCATGTTAATCCATTACAATCAAGTCATCTCTATTTTATGTCCATACATGTATATATTTAACATCACTGCAGTGAAGACAATAATAAAAATAATAGAAAGAACATGAAAGGATGAATAACCCAAACATAAACCAAAGAGCCCATCAGTTACACCTGAGATAATCCGATGGCATTTCCATTTGATAGTGAAATTGTTTTACAACTCTCTTTTTTTACCGTAGGTAGGTACATTGAGTGCGGGGTGAAAAAAAAGGAAATCCATATTGCCATTAAGGAGGTTAAACAAATGTGATAGTCGAGACCGTATTGTGGCATAGTGTAAGCATATAAATCACAAAAGGTTTTATTCTCCATCGTATGCTCCTGTTATAAAGCAACAACTGTTACATTTCAATAGAATGTATTCATCTAGTTTCATTGCCATTCTTATTCCTTCGTAATGGCTGACAGAATAGAAGAGGATTTTTTTTTTTTGGGGAAAATAGAGTGTAAGGATGTAGATTCTTTTGTTGTATGACACACGATGTAGCGCATTTCGAAGCTTGAGTTTGGAATTTTGATTCCTATAAACAGCCATGCAACCAATGTGCCTTTAATAAAATCAAACAAGCTTTTTGCTAAATAAGAGTGTCTAAAATAAAGCCAAATGTAATGATTGGAGATGTAGCAAAAAGCAACATAGAGCAGAGATAGCAAGGAACAATTTGATTATTGATTTTTGACTTAGAATACACTCTATTCTGATTTGTTGTCTTTTTCCCCTTTTAATCTTCGACAGAATTAAAATAGCACTGAGAGAGTTACATTAAAGAATGTTGTTGTTACAGATGTAGCAATCATTATTTGTTGAGCAACATTGTAAGTTCCAATAAGAGATAAAAATCTTTAAATATTAAAAATCATTAAATATAGCTACGGGATAAGAATTTCATTTTATGGAACAACAATTAATAATCAATTAAGATTTCTATCTTAAGAAGCTTTGAGGGAAACTATAAAATGACATTTACTGTTTAATCTGATGTTATTAATAATGAGTCATTAAGAATACGACACCCCCGCAGTTGAGTGACAGCCAATGAATAAATTTTTGCAACTTAGTTGCTGTGAATTGAGAAAAGTCGTTATTTTAAAATTTGAAAACATTTGAAGAGCTTTGTAAAAACATTTATAAGGTTTCAAGTTTTTATCTTAAATCAATGCTAATGTATGTGTGTTTACAAGTTTACAACTTTATTGCCCTCAGTTTAAATTAAAGTTGATATTTTATTTAATAATTGGAATTCTAAAATTATTATCAGTGTATAAATCAATTCCAACCATTTAGCTATAGTCAATAAAATAAATTTGTGATAAAATAACGTTCAAAATAAATTCAAATTCAAATATATATTTCAACAATCGCGCGCCTCAACTTCAAATTTTATTCCAAAAAGTTAATTTATTTATTTTTAACACTATTTACAATGAATAGAGGCGTAGAAAAGAAAGTATACCAATTAGAAGATCTCAGTTCATTAGTTGATAATGTTCCAGAAAACTTACAAGATGCTGTAACTCAAATTCATTATAAAATGATTTCTCATCAAGCATACGATAATAATAGATATGTCTGGTCCAAAGATGATTTCGAGCTTGGAACACCATTAGGAAAAGGTATGTAAACATGAGTTATTATAAGCTGGATTAATCAATAAATTAATTTAAACAAATTTGTCCTGGATCTTTTAGGAAAATTCGGACGTGTTTACATTGCTAGAGAACGAAAAACCAAATTTCTTGTTGCCATGAAGATCCTCTTCAAATCTGAACTAGTTAAAGGTCGTGTTGAGAAGCAAGTTCTTCGAGAACTAGAGATCCAGTCGAGATTAAAGTGAGTAATTTTAAAATTATCAAAATTAATACAATGGCTAATGATAAATGCAATTCAAGGCATCCAAACATCCTCAGATTGTTCACTTGGTTCTATGATGATCGTAAAATTTATATAGCTCTTGAATTGGCAAGTGAAGGAGAACTGTACAGGCATTTAAAAGCCTCGCCTCACGGGAGGTTCGATGAACACAGATCAGCTAAGTACACCTATCAAGTTGCCGACGCCCTTAATTACTGTCATTTAAACAACGTTATTCATCGAGATTTAAAGCCTGAGAATTTACTACTTACCGCAGATGATAATGTCAAGCTTGGTAAATTTTATACTAACTGGATCTTATAAGATTCTATAATATTTACTCATTTCTACATTTATAGCTGATTTTGGATGGTCTGCTCATACTATGTCAAATAAACGTAAGACAATGTGTGGAACCTTGGATTACCTGCCTCCAGAAATGATTGAAGGAAAGGCATACGATGACTCAATCGATCAATGGTGCTTAGGCGTTTTATGCTATGAATTCCTTGTTGGCAATCCTCCATTTGAATCTGAGGATTCTGAAAAAACTTATGCTAAAATTAGAAGAATCGACCTAAACTTCCCAAAATTCGTCACTCTTGGTGCAAAAGATTTAATCACAAAACTACTGCGTCGCAATGACATGCGAATCTCTCTTAAGGAAGTAATGATGCATCCGTGGATTAAGGAAAACAAGAAAAAGCCATCACGTGAGACTTTTGCAAGACGCAAACCATAATTGTTTATGTTTTAATAGACTTTTTGGATAGTAAGGTCAGAAATTCAAAAGTATTAAAAAGATTTTTTCATTCTCACAAAGAAATCAATTTAAGTATAAGATAAAATAAAAAGTACAATAATAATGTTAGCCTTCAATACATTTTCACACTTTTCTCTCTTTCTGCGAAAACAGCTTGGTCGATTCTGTGAGTGGCTTTCGAAAATTGAATTGAGCACATTTAGCAAATTAGTCCAATTCAGCATAATCTAGTCCGATTTAACTTATTCATTAAATCTAGTTCAAATAAGTTCTGTCAGTTAATTCAGTATATAAGTTTAATCTAGTCCAGTTCAGTTATTCTAGTCTAATTGAACTACTTCTTTTAATCTAGTCTAATTCAACTATTTCAGTCAATCTAGTACAATTTTGCTATTTCAGTCAATCTAGTACAATTTTGCTATTTCAGTCAATCTAGTACAATTCAGCTATTTCAGTCAATCTAGTACAATTTTGCTATTTCAGTCAATCTAGTACAATTCAGCTATTTCAGTCAATCTAGTACAATTTTGCTATTTCAGTCAATCTAGTACAATTCAGCTATTTCAGTCAATCTAGTACAATTTTGCTATTTCAGTCAATCTAGTACAATTCAGCTATTTCAGTCAATCTAGTACAATTCAGCTAATCAAGGTTATTCAATTCAACTTACAATTAATCTGAAGACTAGCCCAGCCTGTAAATAAGATGTCATTGTATAGTCTCGCATATAAAAATCTGCTAAACAAGTGAAAGCTATTAATAATTTTCAGGGTTTTAGCTTATAACAAGTCCGTGTATAAGAGAAACTTTAACACATAAAGAAACATGCAGTGTAGACATTATAAACGAATTAAACCCGATGCTACAATATTGATTTAAATTAAAACACAACAACAAACAAAAGAAATGAAACACCATGAAGAAGTTTGTGCCTCAATACTGTGAAATGTAGGCTTTTAGTTTCATTCAGTCATTTGAGCTCAGCTCAATACTCTTTTATTGGTCAAGAAAATAATAGTTTTCAATATTATTTTTCAGCTATGAAAGTGCATTTCATTAGTAAGTATTAATTAAATTAAGTGCTTTATTGAAAATTTACAATTTTTTCAATAAATTAATTTGTAAAAAAAAAGTTTCACTTCCTCATCATTTTTTTTTTAACCAAATAACTAGTTCGTGTCATATTCGAGCATTGAAATTGTTCGCTTCTAAAACTTCCTTTTTCTTCTATTTTTAGATGCTTTATGCATTGCATCATTTTTAGTCACATTAACATTTGCCGCTGATGAAGTCAAATCCTCTAAAAATGAGACTGAAGTAATCATCGATCCTTTTGAAGCCGATGGAGACTTGAGATATGCAGCCGATACATTTTGTCGTGAATATACTTTAGCTAATCCAATTGCTCAAAAGATTGTTCTGCCTTACAAGCCTGATTGTCATTTTTGGTGGCAATGTACAACATATCAATTGCAAAAGAAGGAATGTCAAAGAGTTAATAAAAGAATTACTTTACATTATGATCTCTATTTGGATCGCTGTGAGATGCCTGATGAAGTCAAGTGCAATTATCAATTTGATGAAGAGGAAATCATCATGGAAGCAATTATGGAGCATTATAAGAAGGATGGGACCAAGTAAGTATCGAGTTGTGTTCTCAAAAAAATAAATTGACGACTGTATTTGATGATTCTGTAGACCAATAAAAATTGACTTATGAGGAACGACTTTATGGCTTCTTATTTTCTCTTCTTCATTTCTAGCGAACCTGTTTTGAATTTTATATAGAGAAAAAATAATAAACAAAATAACATACCGGTATCTCGTGCGCATTAAATCTTTTATAATCGCTTAATGCGCGACTTGTGCCAATAACGAGTCAATTTACCTGTCAAATAGTCATGACTAATTTGATTCAACCTCTAAATTTAATTTTCATGTTGATTTTAAAATTAAATCTAATAGTTTTTTGCATTTTTGGAACCTCAAAGAGTCAATTCCGACGCTTATGAGATCATAAAAAATTCAATGAATGTTGCGGAGGTTGAGTGATTTTATTTGTAAATTATGGTAAACTTTAGTTTCATGTTGGAACTTGAAGGTAATCTTTATGTAACGGATTTTTAATTTTCAAAATTTAAACGGTTTTACGAATTTCAAATGAATAATTCTTTCGTCAAGTTTTTTTCACGAAGAAATTTTAAATGTTGATTTACCGTTAGATTTAAATTATTCGTAACCGTTAAAAATCAAGTACTGTTAGGCTTTCTTTTACAGCTCACGCCTTTCTAATCCTTCAAAAGACAAAATAGTATTCAAATAACTTCCTTTCTCGAACATTCCTTCGCATACAAATAATTCGCAAGTCATTTTGTTTACAGCATGTATAATTAGCTATTAATGTGCTCATGCGTTAAATTCATGTAACTCAATATACTTACACTTGTCTCAATTTCGAGGATAACATGAAAATAAATGCGTATCAAGGATTATCATTTCGTAAGCATTAAAAAATGCAGTTAATGACTTTACGAGTGGAAATAATCAGATTATTTTGTGCATGTTTGTCGATCAACACCTTCACATGTGCATGTACATGAGCGAGAGAATAATTGTATGCACCATATTATATGCTGAACATTAAACATACATAAGTATGAGCTGCGAAATTGTATCAATAAGAAGAAGAAAAATAATACACGAAAACAATTTTATATGGCCACAGGTAGTAGGTGCCTTTTTATTATTATTGTTAAATACACATGTGTATTGAGTGTCTATATACTCATAAACTTTTTTTTTCCGTTCCTAGAGATGAATGAAATGAAAAATAAAACAACAGCCGTGCAAACGCAGTTCGGTATTAAACCAGAGCAGACCTAAAAATGAAGTTGATGGTGCAAATAATTTGTGCAATTGGTAAGCGAGTGGAATTTTAATTTAAGAGATAGTTGTGCTTATAATTTTTGTGAATTATTTAACAGCACTCTTAGTGCTATTGGTTAATGGCCAGCGACCAAATTGCTGGAGGTATTATCAAGAGGATCCAGATAATATTGATCAAGTGTATTTCCCATACGAGAAAAATTGTCAGTATTTCTATCAATGTACAGCACATGGTGCTATGAGGTAAGAATCAAATTCTTCAGGATATCAGTTCCAATATAGTTCAATAACATTTATAATAACTTCCCTTTCCCAAAAACAGAATGAAGTGCCCACCAGGTATGCATTTCGATAGAGAGAATCATCAGTGCGGTAGACCAGACGATGTTGTATGTTAATTAGATCACGTACATAAAATATTATTCATTTTATGCCAGTTAGAATTAATGTGTATTTTATATTGTTGCCATTTTCGACAAGAACGACAAACATTAGGTACTTCCATGTACCACCATGACATCATGAATTATACTCAGTAAATTTTAATTATTTTAAGAATAAACTTTCGATTTCCTTTAACTATAGCTACATGCTTTTTAATGACTTAAACGTCACCCAATTTCTCTCTTTTTCCATTCCTTAATTTTATCAAAACCCATTAAAATTGATTGATTTGAAGTCATTATCATGTAATAATATTGTGAAGGCTGGACGAACATGTGCCAGCCGTTAAGTGACATTCTGCAGGCTTTTAAAAAATTCGTTGAATGTAAATTTTTTCGAATTGTTTAATCATCCAATCAATTACATAAAAAAAATCAAGTTACAATTATGCATAGACACATTACCTTGTTTAACTCGCTCTCGAAAAAAGGCATGCGTACCCTCGTAACACACTGTAAAAAACAAAAAAATGTCTCCATGGCTTGTTATCGATATGGATGGTGAGAACTTGTTTTTCCTGATGCTGTTGCGTTTTTTGTTTTAATTTTATTAACCGTCTTCACAAAAATTCTCATAAAATTTAATTTTCTTTAATTTATCTCTTCCTCTCATTGAGACTATTATGCTGATTTTCATCTCATCTGTAAACAATGAGTTTATGGATGTTTAATTTAATCATTTACGAGCGTGTGATTTGTCAGATTGTCGAGCTATCTTACAAAATCCCGTTAAGAACTTGAATTTTAATTCAAAAAAGAAATTCAACGGTTTCTTCAAATTCAAATTTATTTTTAAAAAGAACCGTTAAACCTTACAATTCCATTCAAATTCTTAAAAGACGTTAAAAATTAAAATTTACTTTAAGTTTCCAAGCAAAACGAATCCTTATTAAAGCAACAATTAAACAATCTGGAACAATCATGAAGCTTTCGAAATTTTTTTTTTCCATAACTCAAAAATACAATAAGGCATCAAATTATTTCCTCATTACTCGTTTCATCAGAAGCGTTGACAGTATGCAGTATGGCATTTAAACTTAAATACATTTATTTGTATATGCTCATCAATATCATCTTCAAAACTTAAATATATAAGATATATTGAAAAATTGAAAGCATTGAGAGAGTCAGAGAGAGGTTTCGATCAGAAAATATACACCACAGAACTCAGCTTCATTAAGTTTCTATCTTGTGAATCAAACAGTTTTGCTAATTAATATGAAGCATTTATTATTATTTTCCGTACTATTAGGTGAGAAATTCCTTACATATTTATGCCAAGTCATAATTGGAATGTTGAATTTTTTCAGTTTCTTTGGCTGCGAGCATTTCCGCCATAACTGACGAAGATTGCGTGAGATTAGCAGAAGAGAATCCATTAAAGATTAATCGTTACTATGAGTCACACGGATCTGACTGCAACAAGTACTTCCAATGCTCAAGATATGGACTTGTGGAATTCAATTGTCCAGAAAGCTTGTACTTTGATCGTGAGCTTCACATTTGTGGACGTCCACGCGAAGTAACATGCTAAGAAAAACATTTAAGAGCTGTTTGTGATGCAAACAAAACAAATAAATAGAAATTCTTATATTTTTGCACAAAAATAAAGTCGAAACCTGTCGAACCTGATATTTCTTGTGTTTATACTGTATTATGCATTTGTCTCATCTCTACTACTCGTGTCTCTATATCTATATCTCTAGTTTGTTTTTTTCTCGTACCAATCTTCCAAGATTGTATGTAAAGGAGACAGACATAACGAACGAAAGCGAAAGTGATCTCACTGTTCTCCAGTCACGAAGTAAAATTCAGACGTGTAAGGTGTACAAACATGAAGCTTATTGCCATTGTCTTCGGTATGATAAATTTTTAGTGTCTTTCGACAATTGATATTCAAGGTTTCTTTTTAAATATTTGCTTTTATTTCTTTTCGTTCAACAGTTTTTGCAGCAGTAATTGCTGTTGTGACATCACAACAACCACCGGATTGTGTATCAATCGCAAAGAGCACACCTGAAGACATTTCAAAATATTATTATCATCACGAAAGCGACTGCAATAAATATTATCAATGTGCTGAATATGGGTTAGTTCTCAAGGCGTGTTCGGAAGATCAACATTTTGACCGTAACCTATACATCTGTGGTTATCCCGAGGACATTCAATGTTAAGCGTTTGCTCTAATTTTGAGCTTACGATTGTCTGAAAAGAAATGTTAATTTTGTAATAAAAATATGTTTTTGTGATTTAACCTCACACGATTTTTTAAATTCCCCAGCACACGTGGAATATTGCCTTTATACGAGTCGGCACTCAAAGTTTTAAAATGATTATTTATTCGCCAGAGGATATCATTTACTATTTCAGAGAAAGATAATTAATCATTTAATAAAAGTGGCATAAAACGCAGCACCAACCGGCTTGTGACAATGCCATGTCTAATTTTCTAAGCAATTAGCTTTTTGTGAGCATGAATCATAAGTAATTGAATTGTGAGAAAATTAATAACGGCTGAATTATTTTCAAATTTGAAATAAGCTTTTTAATGTAGCTATGGATGTGGCTTAAAAGCTCATTCAACAGATTTAGTCTCTCATAGTTGTGATATAAAAGTTTTGCAGCTTTTGATGATTAAAGATATATTTTTAACTATGTATAAGAAGTCGTTCAGCTTTGAATTTCAAATTCTAAGGGTTAGGGGATACTCGGATCATAGTTTGAGATACACTGGCTTAAAACATTACAAAAGGAAGTATCTAGGCTTACAAAAATCTTTATTTATTCAATAATGCTTAATACACAAACATACAAAAGATAAATTATAATGCAAATTAACTTAAACATAAAATCGGTACTTGTCTAAAATCATAATATTGTCAATATCATTTAGGGTTTAGGATATATTTATTTTTGAGTATATTCTACGATTTCGCAAAAGAAGAATGAGTTTCTGCAAGTTTGCCTCCCTGTATACAAATCTGTCAAGAATATCAAAATTGTGCACACTCAAAAAAAAACCAAACAAAATGGTTTAAAGTATTTATCTGTATGCTCTTACTACCATTATTACATCTAATTTCTTAAATCTCTAAAATTGTTTCGTTCAACTTAATACTTCATTATTATAATAAATGGACGGATTTAACATCACAATTTGTTGACTAATGTCCTAAGTTCTAAGAATTCCTTCAATTTCATAGTTAATCTCATTCCAAAATTCATCTTCTTAATGATGAGATTGCATAAAAGAATGTAAGAATAATAAAGGTAAATGAGATTTTATGGCAATTAGTAGACGAAAATGTGGTGCCACATGCTGGTGGACAAACAGGATTTTTGCTTTCATAAAGATTAATTGTAGCTTCAGCTCGTCCTAATTTGTTGACTGCTTCGCACTTATATTCTCCGAATTGCTTGCTATCTACTGTAATAATTCTCAATGTTGAGTCCGTAAATTCATCAGCTGTGTTGAAGTTTGAAATTTTATACTTTTTACTGTTACTCAAGATGTTTTGTTCTCTCGTCCATGTAATTTGTGGTGGTGGATATGCTTCCACGTGACATTCTAAGTCCATATCATAATTTACTGCTTGACTGACTCGTTCTCGAGGTGCGGTAATCACTGGAGAAAATTCAATTTCTAAATTTACATTTCGTCTATCGCCTTTCCCAACTCCATTATCGGCAAAGCAATAGTATGTGCCTCTATCTTCCTTATGTACGCTATGAATTTTTATGGTATTTCCATTGTATGAACTTCCACCTTAAAAAAATATATTTAATTCAATTATTAGTATTGGGATGAGTTTTATTAACATATGTTTTCGAACGGAATGATTGAAAAGTTTAAAATTGGGTTTGGTCATGTTGAGGAATGAGCGATGTTGTTTAAAGAGTTGAAATTTCAATCTGAAATTTGATTAAAAAGTTTAACGGTTGATAAAAATTCAAATTTCAAACAAATTTTTAAACAGTTCTCAGTAATCATTGAAAAAACGTGGTAAAAAGTTCTCTGCAATTGTTGAAAAAGGTAAGCAATATTTTAATTTATAATTTAAGCTTTAAAGTAGCCAAAACGTAGGCACATCGGTTCACTCATCTGAAACCAAAGCTGCACTAGCCTATATAAACACGCATTACGTGCGTTTGCTTCATTCACAATTATGTAAATTTATTGAAATAATAATTCTTCAGAAAGAATTCAAAAATCAGCATTTATTGTTCTCATGTACTTTAATTGAACGCTTATTATTAACTAGACATGCAATACATGCTTTCTATGGGTCATAGCAATATTCAATGCATCGAATGATTGTGTCCATATCTCTTTAACAATTTATAATAATTGTCCCATTAATTTGAGGTTTTTGTACACATTACGAATGACGTGCAGTAGTTCAACATACAAAATGACATCTTGTAATTTTCGTTTTGTTTATACTTTGTACTTTGTTGCGACAATGCAGATGAGAAGAAGAAGATTTTTCATTTTCTTGTGTTTCTATCACGAACATGCAGGAATTTTTTTTGCGATTAAAAACTTTTAATTAAATAGTATTAGCATTAAATTAACTCGATTCCGTTCACTGGAAAAATACCACACATTAAAAAACGTGTGTAGTTTAAGGTATTAATATTCAAACATGTGTTTTAAATACTGACATACTGGAAAAAAGTAGAATTCTAAATTATTTTATTCAATTATTAAAAAAGTTTATTTGTTCCACAACTTAAAAAGAGACAAATGCGGTATTGTCAGGTTCGTATCTATTATTAGAATTTAGATCAAAAGGCTGTTTTATATTCAGATGCAATAATTTGTTGTGTTTTAAATCAAATAAAATCACTTGTGAATAATTCTAAACAACATTTTCAATAAACTTATTGTTTATGCTGTGCATGAAGTTGTTACATGATTTATGGGAACGAATCAAAAAGCACCGTAACCAATCAGCATGTTACACAAATTTGCGATTGTTTGTTTGATATTTGATAAGCTATTGAAATTATTGAATGGATGGTTAGCTAATATGTTGATGTGTAGAGATGATGCTGAAGGGTGTACTCTTGGTTTAAACTCGTGCTGGATCTAGTTTCTAGGGATTTTCTTATCGTATACTTTTCATAGGGTACCCTATTTTTCAAAAACAGCACCTAGATCTCTTAAATATCCAAAACTATGCTCATTTGCCAGATTTCACCTCATCAAAGGTATCCAAATCTGAAGCGCAAATTATTCAATTCTAATTTACGATTTTTGGGAAAGGGAACAACTTCAAAGAATGAATAATGACTCTACATATTCTTGACGTATTCAGCATTGTAGCAATACCACATAATGTATTCGCCTTTTTTAATATATAATACTTTTGTCAGGGGAATCCCTGTATTTTCCACTCTCGAGTTCTCATTCTTCATTTGGTAACTCGAAATTATAATTCTTTACATCAAATCCAGTTTGGTCGGAATTCCACTGCTTGTTTTTGAGAACCTTTAACACGCAATCGAATAATTGCGTAAAAAACAGGTCATCTTTCCCAAAAAAAAATTTATTTACGTTCTTAAATAGAAAATGAGGAATTAGAACATAAATTAGGCAATTAGGGTGAAGTAGCTATTCCTTGTGCTACTAATTTACTAACTCTTTATAGCTGAATTTTTAAACAGGAGTTTTGATAAAATATTAAATTACTGTAAATTGATAATCCAGTACAAATAGACATAAGTTATTAATGAGGCTGATTTTATGGATACCCAAGCACAGTGCTCTCGACGATAAATTAAGTTTCCATTTTGATGACACACCACTGTCATTTCTTCAGAAACAAGAGAAATGAATGTCATATCCATAAAGGAAGATGTGTGTGCCATGTAATTCATCAAATTTGCATTGCCTACCTCGCAATTTACTTGTAAATGCCATTTGTGTCTCGAAGAATTCACAAGACGTTATTTGTCCTTACCAATCAAACAATAAAAAAGCATCAATTCGAAAGACTTAATAAGGCATAAGCCAATTACAGCAGCAAGTTAATTTAAAAGGAGACAAATAACTTTGTAAGCTGTGCATCGTTTTCACATTCTTATCATGTATGCACATGAAATGTGTAATTTCTTCTCCCATACATGTGACACGTTCTGTAAAATCGGAACTAAGAGCATGAAATTTAATGTTTTAATTTTCGAATAACAAATTACATGAATATTGTTATCGAAATTGCATGTTTTCAAGATCAAACTTAATAATCAAGATTATTACCGTTGCTTGCTTTGATATTTATTCAGATTACGGATAATCAGATGAGTGGCTTTTGTTTAACTGTCATAATGTAATGAGCATATATGAATGTGTAATTAAACCAACTTAATTATTCATAAAATATGCATTTATGAAGTCAATCAAAAAATTTTTTTTTTCCTCTTATTGATCACAAAAAAAATTTCTTGATTATAAACTTTAAGGTATCGCAACATCTCAGAGCCCCTCGCTCGAAAATTATAGACGTCATAAGTAAATGAACCCCCAGAACTACAATTAAAAATATTTGAATGCAGCAATGAGCTTTTGTTTAAAGGAATTCACAGAGTTAACAAAGAAACGCGAAGTTTTTTTCATTTGCAGCTTCACCCCCTTTTTTATGGAAATTTTATTGACATTAAGGAGCCAAGGAAACAATAAACACGATTACTGTTGGGAGAATAATATAAATCAAACTGACTTAAGCGCATGTAACCTTAATTTAATTATTAGAACAAACTATTCCTTTTGGAAGGCAATGCTTTAATTTAATTATTAGTAAATGAATCTCACCAGCTCATTTTTGAGCATCAATACTTGATTTTGCATATGTAGGTACAACTAGGGTGTCGTAAGACACATCGTGCAACAGGAAATTCAATAATGACGTAAAGTTTGCTATGATTCTACTATTTTGAAGTATAGTCTAGGACAGTGTCTTCCAAATTCATGATCTTATGATAAAAATGTATGTTAATCACTCAGTATGATTAATAACATAAAGTCCTTCAATTATTTAAGTAAGTAAGCTGAAAGTCATTGAATGAATTAAATATCACTCAAAGCCTCTGTATAAAATTTATTAAACGACAAATTTTCAGTAATAATTTACAATTTATTAACAACAGAGACATATCAAGTGCACAATATTCTCGATTTCAATGAATCGCGTTTGTAAATTAGCAATATTATTAAATCAATAATTCTCAATTTAGTCTGATAGTGACCCATGGAAACGTGATACATGTTTGGCATGCTTGATTTCAAATAACATTGGGAACTTGAACTAGTTGCTGTTTAGAATTTTCGTCTAGGGTAAGAAGAAGTTATTGATTGAGTCATTGACATTTGCCGGCAAAAACAACTGAATTTATTGACTCGCCATAATAATTATGCTGGAAATTTTGTTTTATAACTTCATTTATTGAAGTTTGTCCAAAGGTGTGTACAACCTTTTTGGAGCCATGTCACACAGTTTTTCAGTACTACCTCAAATTATATTAAGAACGAGCTTTAGAAAACCCTTTTTCGAGCTATATCCAACTAAGCACAATCTGATTCAGACATCGCTTATATAAAATAGAAATTTACGAGATGTCCATTCTCCTGCGTCATTTACATGATTTATTTATTCCTTTATATCAATACTATTAATGCTTAATGGGCTTTGATACTATGTCTTTGCATATCTTTCCGTCTTTCCCTTTCATCTCCCTTTTTTCTATTTTTGTTTTATTCATCATATAAATTTATATAAATGTGACAAAGACAAGTTTTTTTTTATATTTTTTGCGAAATCTTAATAATCCGAAATGTGTAAATTAAGAATGAATGATCATTAATTTTTACGCTAGCTTACGTATTTAAAAGACTTTGTATTACAACTTTCTGTGTTCATTGCTTCTTTTTATCTTTCTAGATTCCATTTAGCTTGCATGTTAGATGTGAAATTACTGCTTTTATAGCATCTTTCACGAAATATCAAGGAGTGGACTTTAGATATTTGATATTAAAATTTATCATCATTTATACTCGCGTGTCGCGTGAATATCATCCTGATTTAATGGGGTTGTGTGTCATAACTGTTTCTTTCTTTTTTGGAAGTCGTTTCATGTTTGTTGTAACCGGCAGAAACGCAAACCTTTATAAATTTAATATGAAAGTATTTATTTTTTTTTTACAAAATTAATTTTTTTTTAAACTAAAACTATTAAAAATCTAAATTAAAAATAGCAATGGAATTAAAAATTCAATTAATTAAGCTAACGCGCCTATAATAGCAATCAATTAGCATACTTAGTGGGCACTCTAAATTTTAATTTACACATATCTCAATAAATTAGTCTAATATATCCGTAAATTGAGCATTAATTTAACAAGTGTCAAAACCTATAAAAGCACTATCTACATGTGTTTAAAAATCTTGAACTATTAAAATATAAAGAAATAAGAAAAAATATTGCAATAAGACATGCACATAGCTTGAATGCTGTAATCAGATTTTATTTAAAACATAAAAATATTTGCGCAATGCATTGAGAAAAAAAGGAATAAAAAGATGTGGCATGGACGATCGTAAAAAATTGAAGATCGTAAACAGATAAATGAGTAGTTTGATAAGATGTCTGCAGCAAAAACTTTCTAGATTGATTTGCAATTTTGAGGAATTTTTTTACGATAGGATTAAAGTCGTGAGCTAAAAATATCTCATTAGCAGTTCATCACTTGATTTTTACCGGTATTTATAGCTGAAGAAACAGATGTGCTTAAAAAATTTCATATTTCGACACCTGTAAGCACGGTATTCTCTGTTTATTAACTTATTTACATTGTGATGACATTTAATAAGCGATTTCAAGTTAAAAGAGGTCTGATGTCAGCAAGTTCCACAATAAATTGGTGGATTTATTTGTTGAAAACAACTTTTATGGAACTTTTTAGAAATCTTTTGCCTTGCTGACTTTATCATTGGATGCTAGGCACTGCTTACCCCTCCAATCACTACAATTATTGAAATTCTCAAGTAAATCTACAACATTAAATTTAATTGGCAATTTCTGATCGGCAGGAATGCGCTGATTCCGCTTTTTTTTATTGATATAGCAAATGTGACTTTTTATTTCAACTACCTGGGATTCACCAAAAGACATCGACATTTAAAAGACGCCACAATGTCACCTTCAAATTACTTGTACTTCAAGTGGATAGAGTATTTGCAGAACTGAATGTACATTAGTCAAATTATTAGACGTAAATATAGTATACTCAGCATAATTTAAAAATCGTTAAGACAATTATTTTGGAGAAATAGAAAATATTCATATTTGAAAGGGTTTTGTCAGAAATGACGTCTACCTCTACCTAGATTAGTCTTTAGTATCACAAAAACCTTCAAAAGTGCTCCTCATTACTTCCGTGCCTCTATCTCAGCCATAATAATTCTTAGATCATTGTTTCACAACCTTTTATTCGCGATCCCTTTAGCTAGTTTTACATAATTACCAAAATCAGGGTTTTAATGTGTCTTTGTTAAAAAGTTGAGAACCTCTGATTTTCAGGGCGTAACAAGGACCCTTCATCCTCCTTTTCTTGCTACGGCATTCCTAAGACCTTACAGTATTTGTCAAAATCAATGAACGACCTATAAATGCTATGGAACATTCCAAAACATGCTTGCCTTGTTCAAAAAGTTCCACGAACTCTTAAAGAGCAAATATTCTTCTTATATCGATGCTCCTATTTCATCCATAATGAATTTAAAATTTATAATCTTCTCTTCGAATTCCCCTAATGATTCATGATCACATGATTGGAGAAACAAGAGCTTGTTTTAAAAAATTATCAAAAAATTATTTTTATTCATCCGTGCCTTTATACTCAAATGACGAATTCTTCATTGCAGTCATATGATTAATTTATGAATTTCAACAGAAAGCAAGTTGATTACACAAAAACCACGTCGAACTTAATGAGTTATTACCCAAAATATTAAGACACAGAAACAAATTTTTATGTGACCATTTGTTAACACTCGTGACCTAATGCATACAATTTTTTTTATAAATTAGAGTTTTCAAAAAAGCTTCTAAGCTTTCATCATAATTGGAGATTCGCGTGATGAACATTATTTATTTTAATTGATATTAACGAAGATACATTGTGGATACATATGAGATTAAGAAAAAAGAATTGCCGAAAAACTAATTGTATTCAAGATACATAAAGTTTAAAATTGAACAAGTCAGCGAACAATATAAAAAGGTTTTGTTTAAAATAAGTAGGAAAGACATCTGATTCAGGGGTTTAAAGCGCATTTTGCGCAACTTAGTTTTAAGTTAAATGATGCTCTGCTTTTATATGCTAAAGAAGGTCTTCTGTAAGCAGGTTTGACTCTAAAACTTCAAACATTCAGCTTTCGGAGGAAACTTAAATTTATGGACAAATACCATAAACAATTTACACAATTTTTCATGTCACTTGCACTACCCTGATTTATCGCTATAGTAAGCTAGAATTCCTTGAAATTTTAATAAGAATCGATTTGTAAACTTTAAAATTTCATGTCCAATATTTCCGATTTCCATGAGAACTTCACATTATATGCACAAAATAGAACTTAAATAACACAATACACCAAGCAATCAATATCGAATTTCTAGCCAGTACAAAACGACACCAACATCACTCGAAGTTCCTTGGCAAACATTTTGTCTCATTGACCTCAAACTTGAACTGAACCGAAAAATAAAATTTGAAGACTTACCCGTTGGCAATAAAGCATTATTTTCGCGTCTCCATACGATGATAGGATGTGGATTACCAGTAGCATAGCATTCCATATGTACAGCACCACCTTCTGTCGCTACAATTGATTGTGTTGAATTGTCAGTAATTACAGGAGGACGTCGAACGAAGAGATTTGTTGTTGCTGTAATTTTGTTATTCACAGATAGAACTACGGTACATTGATATGTGCCTGAATCACTTTCTTGTACATCTTTTATAAGCACTACATAAGTTGCACTGGCACCATCATATAATAACGCAAATCGAGATTCTTTAAGCACTAAAGACGTTCCAGTCGATATAAAAACATTATCGTTATTTTTTCCTATTTTTGACCATATTACTGGATATTCTGATCCTGCATACTGTACCGAACATCCTATCTCAACCGTACTACCTTGATCTATCCACTGATCATCCGCAATATAAGTTATGACGGGAGCTCGCTGACTGTTACAGAGCGAGATTGTCGCGATAAATAAAACACAACCTGCACGCAGGTTTTTCATTTTTATACTGAACAGCTAAACATACAAATGAAAATGTATAGCGACTCGCTGTGCGGGAATATTCGCAGGTAATGTTTATATTTTTTTCTCTTCGTCTGTACATAAAGGCGCATGAAGGAATTGAGCTATAGCTTCTCTTTTTTTAAAATTTATTGTGAATCGACAATAACAATATTAAGTTTTTCTCTTGGTTCCTAGTCATGAGTAAGCGAAGAGGTACAAGCTTAAATTCCTTTAATAGCCATGACCTCTCTCGGTCTCTCATTCATGCACCATCATAATATATGAAGCTATAAATGTACATTAGAATTGACCTTGTGAATGCGATGTAAATCATTTAATATTAATAATTACTCATATTTTTGGTGTATTGGTCTTAATTTAATTGGAAAGAGCACAAATTTTGTGGATACGATGAACATTTTGAATGGATATGAATGTGTGTATTGAGCTATTCATCATAAAATTTTGGTTGTATTGAAATTTATTACTTTTTTGGAGCAATGAACAATTGAACAAACTATAATATCTGGAATTTAATTATCGACAAACTTGTTTGATGCAATGACTGGGATGCTTTACTGTTTGGTCTATAACAATTCAAGTCATTATGTATTTTTAAATTTTAAATGTTTACCGGTTTTAAAAATTTGAAATTTTAACGTTTTTCTGAAATTCAAATTACTGACGATTTTTCAAAAATTCAAATTTTTAACGGTTTTCTTTATTCCCAGTTTTAGTCTAAAAAGAAATAAGATCATCACCCACAGAACAACGTACTTGCTTACTTACTGCAATCCATCATCCATGACAGAATAATTTGTACAATATTGACCAAATATTTGTTTACTATATGCGTAGCGGTATCGTTTGACAATTCAAAACAAAAGTCAATTAGACTAGTACCATTGACATTATCTATGATACACATCTGTTCATGTGCCTCCCTCGTCATGTGCAACAGATCGGAAAATGTTTTTAATTGATTTCAATCTATTTTTTGGAATAATTTGACATTTAGCTACGCTTTCAACTAGATTTTGATCTATTCAATGACTTTCTGTATCATGATATGGAAATGATTGTGCATTTATCATATAGACAATAGCTTTTCATTTAGCTGTATTTAAAAATAGCGAGAAATGTCAAGAGAATTCATTTTAATCTGTTGATGAAAATCTCATCACATCTTCATATATCTTCATCATTGATCATGCTGCTTTCTTCGGATAGTGCGCTTTAAATAAAGTCATTAAATGCGATACTTTTATGCACTTTTTTCTATGACATACAAAGTTGAGCTTTTTGTAAGTTTGAATATTTTTTGACCGTTATAATAATTTTTTGATAGATTCAAACAGGTTGTTGAGAAGGTTCCTCATAGAAATTTTGAGTGCATATTATAAATTTGGGGGGGGGGGGGGGGGTCAAAAGCATAAAATTTAATTTGTAGAAATTTTTCAGTTTTTATTCAATTTATTTAAAAAATTATTATACTAAAGCTTACAATTCAGAACAACTAATTCGGATATCATTAAAAAGAAATAAAATCCTTTGGATGTTAAGTAACTTATTACGATAAAAATGAGTACAACAAAAAGATTTGAGATTGGAATGTATTTGAGTCGAGGATGCATGATTTGGCATGAACGAGATAATCTAATTTGCAATATTATGGACGGATACTACAAGTCATGATAACACAGTACTGAACACAGAAATTCAAAGGATTTAGTGACTTTCGATGTGTTGTGAATCCAGAATGTTCTAGAACTATTTAATATCTTGATCATGAGTCTTGACAGGGGCGTAGCCAGAAAATTTTTAAGGGGGGGGCCCATTTTCGAAAATTAAAAAAATTGTTATTTTGTATCCTTAAATCTATATTCATTCTTCATAAGTTTAAATATTTAATTCATTATTCATACATTAAATTTAATTTTTCGTGCTGATTTTGACATTTCTTTCATCACTTCCTCTACATTAACTGGTTTTTCTCTATAAATACTTAATAAAACAATTATCAGATTTTCGTAGGGGGGGCCCGGGCCCCCTATGGCCCCCCCCTGGCTACGCCCCTGAGTCTTGAGGCACACAAATTAATACTGTTTTTCAATTATCAGCACTAAATCCAATGGTGATTCATAAATTTTGTGATTAATTTTACAATGTCCAAATAAATCAACAATATTGATTCACTAAACTCAATGCTAAAACAAAATCTCCTGATCACTGTCATCATTTATGCTCAATCCTTCACATCCTCAACCTTCATTCCAAATTAGTGAAAATGGAGACTAAATCTAAACAGAGATTCACTATTTTAAAAACAAGTTATTGTGCGACTGATATGAGTCATCTAATTACGAAAGGCACTTGCATGCTGATTTTTTCTTATACGACTAACTCAATACTTAATTACATTTGGAATGATTTGTAATGTTCCTTGGACGGATATAAAATTTCTATCAAAAAGTTTTCTTATTCTTTATGGACGGACTTGTTAAGAACTGTTAAAAGGAATTTATTTAAAAAATAAGGCAATTAATGCTGCAAACAAGACGGTAGCTGTTGATGCAGTGATGTATAAGGTTCCACCATAATGAGCTTGTCCTGAAGATAAAGGATATCATTAGGGAACCACAAATAAAATAATAATCGTCAACTTACCACAAGCAGGAGGACATACAGGAATGACAGTCTCAAACAGATGAATTTTGGCCTCGTCTTGACCCAACTTATTTACAGCTTGGCATTTATAGTCACCGTATTGACGTTTTTCAATCGTAATGACACGAAGTGTAGAATCAGTGAATTCATCAGCAGTGGCAAAGTGGGATATACTGTAATGCTGATTATTTGACAAGATAATGTCATCTTTAAGCCAAATAATAGCTGGTGGTGGATATGCTTCAATATGACACTCTAAATCCATATCGTATTGTAAAGCTTGACCTAAACGGGGTCTTGGTGCTGTAATAACTGGAGAGAACTCAACTTCCAAATTAATATTACGTCTGTCACCACGAGATACTCCATTATCAGCAACACAGTAATATGTACCACGATCTTCCTTACGTACTGCTGTGATTTTCATGACATTTCCGTTGTACGTGCTTCCACCTTAAAAGAAAGATTCATTCGTCTGTTAAATCTCATTTATGGAAATTGACACATTCTTTAATGTATTGGTGCCATGAACAAGTTAAAGTAATTAAGTATTTCATACCTGTCGGTAATAAAGCATTATTTTCTCGTCTCCAAATGATTGTTGGTGTTGGATATCCAGATGCATAACATTCCATTTGTACAGACTGTCCTTCTGAAGCAACAATTGACTGTGTTGAATTATCAGAAATGATTGGAGGTCGTCGAACAGACAGTTCAACTTCTGCTGTAATTTTATTATTGACTGATAAGACAACTTCACATTGATATATTCCAGCATCAGTTTCTTGGATATCCTTAACTTGCAATGTATAGGTAGAACTTGCACCATCATAACGAAGCGAGAATCGAGAATCCTTAATGACTAATGAAGATCCAGTCGATAAGAAAACATAATCAGCCTTATTTCTGCCTGTTTTAATCCAGACAACTGTATATTCTCGGGCATATTGTACTGAGCTATATAAAGACATGTTAATTAATTAAGACTCATGCTAAATTGATAAAATGAAATTTGTAGCCAATTTATGATTTTAACTTACCAATCTAATTCTACTGTTCCTCCTATATCTTTAATCTGTTCTTGTGATATATAACTTATAGATGGTGTTCGTTGTGCATTGCAAGTATTTATCACTATAAAAGCAATAAATATACCAATTATTTGAAGACAATTCATTTTATTTAACTCTGCTTGCTACTTAGGTGTGTCTAAAATTATAACGATCGGTGACCTACAACTTGATCGACATTCCTTACATGGACTTCAAACATTGGTGTTCGATGAAACGTGATGGCTTGCGTGAAAAGCAATACAAATGTTTTTAAAAAATTACAACAGTTTTGCTAGGAATTGTATGGTTCTGAAACATTATTACTAGGTAAGCAAGTCATAACAGAATTAGTAAGCAACATACACAACAGTAAGACAGTCGATGACATAGTCGAGCACCAAAAATCGGATAGTTGAATACAATAATAATTTCAATTAATCGCCAAACAAAGAGTTCGGTTTCTTAACGCAAAAATTAGATTATAATACAAAAAGTTAATTTAATTAAGCTACTATCAAGTTTGATTTCAAATGAATATCGAATAAATGTATTAAATATCAAATAACTCAAGATCATTATCAATTAAATGAAGAAATGGCACCAGAACGATTAATTGGCGTCTCAGACAGTGAAGACGAGGAACAAAAAAACAATGTATAATTTATCAAGATGTAATTAGACCTATCTCCTTAATGACGATCAGTTTTCATGAATTTCTAGGCTCAAACAGCACCAGATGATGCGATTCCTATATTCAGAGCTCGAGCAATTCAGCCAACATCAAAATACGAAGTAAGTAAAATGTTGAGAAATTCTGTCGCGCTTTATTGCATACCTAAATTGGCTAATGTCTGTCCTTGAAATTGAGATTTTGGATCTTTCCTTGAGCCAAATTTGATGAAATTGAATGCATAGCTTGTGATTTTATAAAAAATCAATGACTAATTCTTTTATTCTGTTTTATCATGCTTAGGGACTAGATTATGATATATGCGAAAATGAACTGTGGGATAAAGAGCAATTAACAAAGGATCCACATTTGAAAATTAAAAAGGATTTTGCAAGATGGATTGTATCATTATTTATTGGAATATTGACAGCATTAGTTGGATGTGCGATAGCAATATCGATAGAAGAAATAAGCAAAATCAAATATAGTTGGTTACAGCAAGGTTCGTTCACAAAGCTTTCTTATCACTAAATCCATATTATATGTAAAGTATTTAAATTTTCCACAGCTGTACGGCTGAACATTAATCATGGAGACTTAGTCATGCCTTATGTTTATTACGTCATTATGAATGCATTGCCTGTGATGATTGGAAGTTTATTAGTCACGTATATTGAGCCGGTTGCTACTGGTTCAGGAATTCCACTCGTAAAATGCTACTTGAATGGCATTAAAATCCCTAAAGTTGTAAGGCTAAAGACATTAGTGGTTAAAGCTATTGGAGTCGTCACGTCTGTTTGTGGTGGATTAGCTGGTGGAAAAGAAGGGCCAATGGTTCATTGTGGTGCTGTTATAGCTGCTGGCATTTCTCAGGGAAAAAGTTCGTCCTTCAATAAAGATTTTAAGATGTTTCGATATTTCCGTGATGATCATGAAAAGAGAGATTTTGTAGTTTGTGGTGCAAGTGCTGGAGTCGCTGCCGCTTTTGGAGCTCCAATTGGTGGCTTGTTATTTGCATTAGAAGAAGCTGCAAGCTTTTGGAATCAAAGTCTTATTTGGAGGACCTTATTCTCAGCAATTGTCAGTTCCTTCACACTTAATTTGGTTCTATCAGCTTATCATGGATTAGAGAACTTTACATATCACGGATTATTCAATTTGGGTGAATTTGAGGCACTTCCATTTGAATATTTTGAACTTCCAATATTCATGTTGATGGGAGTCTTCGGAGGCTTATCTGGAGCTTTTTGGATCAAAATTAATACATCTTTAAATATATTCCGTGACAAATGCATTAAGCAGAAGTGGATTCGAGTAATCGAAGCGATTATGGTCGCTGCTGTCAGTGCCTCATTTGCATGTTTAATGATGTATCTAATTAATGACTGTCGACCTTTAGGGAATGACCCAACGATAAACCCAGTTCAATTATTCTGTGAGGATAATGAATATAATGCAGCAGCAGCTCTGTGGTTTCAAACGCCTGAATCTAGCGTACGAAGTTTATTCCATGATCCTCCAGGTGAGATTAATTGATTTCATTAATTTTTCATTATAAAACCTTTAATTGATTTAATTAATATTTAATGAATAGGATCACATAAAATTACAACCTTAATGGTATTCGTTCCAATATACTTTTTCCTCTCAAATATCACGTATGGCTTAATGGTCAGTTTGGGCATATTTATTCCGTGTTTATTGGTCGGTGCAGCATGGGGAAGATTGGCAGCATCATTTTTAGCATTGGGATTTCCAGGTTCCACATTCATTAATCCAGGCAAATATGCATTAATTGGAGCTGCTGCACAACTAGGAGGAACTGTACGTATGAATATATCTTTGGCAGTAATCTTAGTTGAAACGACTGGAAACATTTGGTTTGCACTTCCAATAATTTTGGCTTTGACGAGTGCTAAGTGGATGGGAGATTATTTTAATGAGGGAATTTACGATACTCAAATTAAAGGTGAGTAATAACTGAAGCCTATAAATTTTAAAATTATATCTAATTGAGTCTTCATATTGATGTATAGTATCAAAAGTACCGTTCCTTCATTGGCATTCTCCGAATAAATTTCTGGTGACAAAAGCGAATAAAATTATGAGCGAACAAGTTGTTTGCGTACGAATGAAAGAAAGCGTCGAGTATATCGTAAACATCTTGAAGAATACAAGTTATCATGGCTTTCCGGTTGTTGATCAAGTTGATGACATTAATCGTAACAGCGGAAGACTAAGAGGATTTATATTAAGAACTCAATTAATTGTGATATTGAAACGATCGTTTTTTGAAGAAACAAAGAGATTTTGGGAACAAAAGATTTCCATTGAAGCATTCCGCGACGAATATCCACGATTTCCAAGCATTGATGATATTAAATTAAGTAATGATAAACTCGCTTATAAATATACAATAAATATGGAGATATTTATGAATCCGTCACCTTATAAGGTACATCAAGCGACGTCAGTTCCTAGAATATTCATGCTCTTTCGTGCTCTTGGTCTTCGGCATTTAGTCGTCGTGAACGATGATAATCATGTGACTGGAATCATCTCACGTAAGGATTTCCTTAAGTAAGCGTATTTATTTTGTTTATGTCATTTGTTTACTGTTTTTCTCGGAGGAATAAACTCTAATTTTAAAAACATTCAATATTTACGGAATGTCATTTGCACTGTCAATAGTTTGCTGTGCCTGAAAACTGAATAGCTGAAAAAGTTTGTATAAACTGAACTGTAATGAATTCTTCATTTTTAACGGTTTTTTTTGAAATTTTAATTTTTGAACCGAAATGAAATGAACAAAATTTTAATAAACTGATTTTTAAATTCAAATTTTCCGTTCAATATTGAATGTTTTTAAATAAATATCCTCGTTAATTAGAACAAAAAAAAAATCTCGTAATTTTAATTGAAATGAAACCAAAATATGACAACAGAAAAAGTTATAAAAAGCATCCATTGTGCCAAGCCACAAAAAACAAAAAATACAAGAGAATTTCTTCATTTAAATATTTAATTTCCACTTATTATAGTTTATGTTGACTATTTCATTATTAATAAAAGCCAGTTTATTTTAAAGAAAAAGAAAAGAGAATTTTATTTAACTTTCATTCAAATTACAAAACAGAACAAAAAGAAAACACTTTTTTGATAACACATATAAAATAACTTTTTAATATTATTAGTCCGCAACTACTTAAATTCATTATAATCCGTTTATAAACTACCAGAGTCCATTTGAATGTGATTTGCACCATAAATTTCATTTGTTATTCGTCTAATTAAAATTTCTGATGAGAAATAGTTTGAGCTATTGAATTTCTCTAAGGCTGAGTCCTCCGGCAATATAAAGTCAATTCTTTCTTGTGCTGTTAAATTCTCGGCAGACTCAGGTGGCAATTTTGAATATTCTGGTATAAGTAATGGCTCAATTCTTTGTGAAATATCGTCAGCTGGATGAATAAAGTTGAATAATTTCTTACATCTCGTCAATTCAAAGCCGTGCTTTAATCTGTCTGCATTTCTAATCATTAATAAACTTGATGGCATTCCACATGCAAAGAATTTTGATATATCGAAATTTAACTGCCAAAATTCTGATGCATTGTCATTGGCAAGCATGTCAAATAAGAATAGCGCCTCATACGATGAACTCATTACTGATATTTCGCCATTAAAGTCCGAATTTCGTTGATTGAATTTTGATACGATTTCATTTAAACTAAATGCCAAATGATTCATTATTTTCTATAGAAATGAAAGTGTCCGAAAATTGAATTAAGTCATAATTATTGTGGGAAACATATATGTGTGAAATGAACATTACCTGATAAAAATTCTCATTTGAATAAAGCATAGCTCGCATAACATGCTCATTTATTTCCCTCGATGGACTCTTAAATGGCAATGCATTTAAAATATTATTATTGATTTCGAACATTTTCAGCACATCAATTGAATTTAAAATTATCGGAAGGACTTCTATTCGCTTAATTTGGCCACAATCAAACGCCTCTGAATAATATTGTTGTATTGTTTCCAAACATTTTGTTCTGACTTCGTCAGCTGTGTGTGGAGAGAAAAACAAATTATCGTAAATTTCTTTTGGATACGAGTTGAATTAGTATTTATCGAGTTAGTGCGCATTGGCTAGCTCATCATGAAAATGGCATTTGACATTCAAATTTTAACGTACTTCCCAGATTTGAATTTTAACGAATTAAAAAATAAAACATGCATTTCAAAATCCAAAAAGCCGTTAAAAGAGTTCTCAGTTCTTGATCATTTTTATTGCCGTAATTAAAATTTTCCGTAACCAGGCACAAGAGACTAATAAATAATGCCAAATTAGCACAATTTAGCATTTCTGGATTTTAAACAGCACAGCATTTATCTTGTTGTATCCAGAACAAACAAGGAACCTCGAGTGGAAAATTTATGACCCGAAATTTGCATTAAATTATAGCCAGTTTTAAACAGTAAGCCAGTATGTCACAAGATACGACGCATTTATCGAAAATAACAAACTCGAGAGAGAGGAAAAAAATGCATTTTCAAGTGATTATTAATGGCTTCATTATACGTCCGTAGCCGTTTGTAGAATAATAATGAACTTACCATTCTCATCAATTTTATCGCCAAATCCACTAACACATATAATTAAGTGATCGGCAATTCCTTCTTCGCCGTCATCAATATCGAATTCGTCGATGCCACGTTTAACCACCAAAATTTGTTCCAATTTATGAAGTTCAATATTATTTGGATCTTTCATGACAATCACATCATGCGAATTTGGCAAATGAATTTTATGATTCCAAGTTAAACTTGTCATTGCCTTTTCATATTCCTTCTCTAAAAACTCTCCAGTATGCTCATCATAAGGAATTAAATTTTGATTTCCATTTTTCTCGTCCATAAAAAACCATGAACACTTCCTAATCACATTTGATCCACTCATCCAATAAATTGACGATCGTCTACGATCTTTTATATTGACTTCATATCGTCCACCACTCGTATAGACAAACTCATCGCCATTCAAAATCGCTTGATCAATTGCCATTGAGTCAGTCATCGAGAATGGATGCCAATAAAGATTTTGATAAAACCAGTGACAATAAATTGGACGGTATTTCTCACTATGATGATTTCCGTTAACTAGCGATTCCGATTGCTTTAAATTAGCACCCATTTGAGGCTGCTGCTCAAGATATTTCGGAATGAGAGATTCAACAGGCGCTGATGACATTAATTTTTGACCCATTGTTGAATCTAGTTCAGATGTAGCGAATAAACTTAATGTGCTACGACTACATGCACTCAAACTCTCCATTTTGTCAGTTATATCATTCGCTAAATCACTGCCTTGCATCGTTGAACTCGTGATTGGAGAATTAAAATCCTCCTGAATGTCTTCTTTCTTGTTTACATCCTCCTCATCGTCATTCTCATTCTCAATACATTGTTGCATTTCGTTGCTTTTATTCAGCACTGGTGTTACTGTCGTATCCATTTTAAAGAAGTTTATAGCATTCAAAGAATCGTTATGCGATGCTAATTTATCTTGCTTCTGGCCAACAAAACTATCTACAACTGGTTGAGAATTAACTTCCGTATTGACTTGGAAAAAGTTTAATGCCGAGACTTGTTCATTGACCTTGCTATTGTCATATTCAAAGAAATTTGAGACATTTGAAACATTACTCGGTTCATGCTGTACCTTTTGTTCGTGTTTTGTCTCAAACGAAATCGCTTCGTTTTCACTCTCTGGAACATTCAAGTCTGACTTTTTCTGTACTGGATGTAAATCTGATGTTAATTGTTGATGTGAAGCATTAAAGTCTACATTTTGAGGCTCAATGTTGTGAATTTGATGTAAATCTGGTGTCAATTGTTGCTGCAAAGTCTGCAAAGTATTGAAATTCATCACCTGAGGCCCAAAATTCTGTACTGGATGTAAATTTGATGTTGATTGTGCCTGAGGAACTGCTACTTGTTGTGGAATATTGAAATTCATCACTTGAGGCTCAAAGCTCTGTATTGGAGTGGCTCTTGGCGTTGTATTGTTTGAAGAACTACTTAATGGAATCGATGGCGGTCGAGATGAGTCTTTTGCATGATCTACAGCATCACTAAAGCTTTGTGAAGATGGTGTAAACAATTGGGGTGAAGGAGAAGGCGCCGTTGGTGTAATAAACATTTGTTGCGCACTTGATGAATCAGATGTGGATGATGTACGTACCTTATAAAGTCCAACGCCACGCATACGAGTGTTACTATATGGATTTTTAGGCTTTCCATCATCATTTTGACGTGACTTGAACATTTCTGATGCTTGGACTGGATTAAAAAATATCGGAGGTGCTGACAAGTCAGCTTTTTGTGTCTCAACTTGTTGATAATTATTATTATCATTACTTTGTGTCTTTACAGGCGGTGGAGTGGAATATGATTGAGGCATAAATTGATCCTGTGATGAAGTCATCGTCATCATCGGTGCAAGTAATGAATTATTATCGTCATTTTTCGTTTGACTTTCAGTCGACTCATTTCCTCCTTGTTGTTGTTTTTGCATTAAAGGTTGTTGAACTTTCGAAAATGGAGTCGTATTGAATTGTTGTGGATTAAAGAAATTTACTGTTTGTGGAATATTCTCTTTTATTTGTGTCACGTCAGATTTTTGAATATTTATTGAATCAGTAGTTATTGTTAAGTTTTCCGGCTCGAAATTCTGTTGTGGATTGAAATAGTTGCTCATTACTGGTGCTTGATGTGGAGCTGAATTAATGATTTGCGGTTCATTAAAATAGTTTTGTGGTTGATTTTGATAATTATTATAGTTTGTCTCATTACTGCTTGATTCTGAACTTCCAAATAGACTTAATGGAACTGGAATTTTATCAAGTAATGAACTGAATGAAAACTTATTTGTTGACTTTTCCAAATTTGATGTTTGTGCTGCTGGCTGCTGTTGGACATTTGTATTATTATCAAAGTAACTTTGTTGAGACAAAGGAGGTGGCGGTTGAAAATTTGGCATAGAATCAACATGCGTTACTGTTTGTGGCGGTAAAGGAGGCATGACAGGATTAAGATTAAAATTTTGTGGGACATTTTGTGAATGAGAACTTGAACTTAATCCTGGAATGTGTGCATAAGCTTTCTTTTTATGTCCTCCTAATCGAAATGTATTACTTGGAGCTTCCGTTTGTGGACGTTTATTAAAAAGCATTTCATCGCCAGGCGTATAAAAAGAAGGCATTGGTGCACTAATTGTATCTTGTTGGGTATTATAAGAAACATAAGGATTTGGTAGAATCATTTGATTATCTTGATATGTTTCACTGCCACTTATAAAAGAAGATTGTTCCTGAATTTGTTGTGGCTGATATTGTTGATCTTCAATTCTCGCCTGAGACGTTGATCCTTTAATAATATTTGAGAACGTAGAGAAGACTGTCGAAGCAGCAGTTCCGAAAGCGGAAATTGGATTTATGGTGGCATCATTAATCGGCTGTTGAGTGTTACTATTAATATCGAGTGTTGGTGGATCGTGAAGTGTTTGCAAATTGTTATACGAATCAAGATCAGATAATGGACTTGGATAGAATGGATTAACCAAATCTGTTTGTAGATCTGATTGTCCAACTTCTGATGAATTCCCATCACGATCTAAACTCACTTCACTGAAATTATCCATATCACTTATTACTGGCGCATTTCCGATAGTAAAAACTGGTTTCTCTGTAATGAAAAAGAAATAAATGTTTTATAATTTTGTGTTTACAACAAGTGGAATAGTGATTTATGTCGTTTATACTCTCATCTTTAAGAAATAAGAAGCAGAAAAAACATCGTAAATTATGCAATAAAAAAGCAAATGAAGATTTTTATTTACAAGCGATGATGAAAATTATTTTCGAGTCCATATCAGTATAAAGTCATAATTGGTGGTCATAACTATAAAAAAAACTTTTTAAAAAACACGCTTTTATCAAAAAGACTAAAAATCAAAAAGTTCAAAGGACGTCACATCTATATGTAACGTATTTATAACGGATTTTTCAAATTTAAATTCAATGAATGTCATTCATATGTTATGCAAAATTACGTTAAGCCGATAATAAATAGAAGTCAATTTAATTAAATTGGTGAAGTGCTATAAATATTGTAATACATTTAAAACAGCATACGTTTATGCTCAAATTATGTGTGCTAAATGCACATCACATATTGATAGTTATTTTGCATTAATTCGTAACGGACTTGTGATTAACGGTTTTTTTGAAAATTCAAATTTTCACTTACGGATATTCATGAAAAAATTACTTGTCAATTTTTTCATCCTCCCAGAAAATCTTCAGCTTCTCCAATTATTAGTATTATTAATAATTAGTAATATTAATTAAACTATAGTGAATCATATAAATGACTTTTGAGCATTTCAAGTATAATATTTTAAACAAATCAAAATTTTATATCATTGACATTGGATTTTTCTCCCATATAAAAAAGTTTTATTAAAATTGTACTATAATTAAGCATTTGTGTGGTCCTAAAGTGTTAAAATATTGTATTGTCACCGGGAATACGTGTGTATACAAAATTTGAGCTCGATTGGAGCAATAGAAGTGGTCGAAAAATCGATTGCAAGATTTGAACGTGACATACAAAGAAACCAACAGAGCAACTCAATAAAAAGCGTGTAAAAAAAGCGTGTAAATAAAAAAAGCGTGTAATAAAAAGAAAGTACAATGATGATAATGAAGTTGATGATTTGTGAATAATTATGACACACAATGTCAATGTTGACGTTAATTCCTTTTTATTGGATGAGGATTATTAATTTAAGGATCTCGTTCGAGCTTAATTGACTGTATTAATGAATTGTTACCATAAAAGTGATCCATGGATGGTTTATAAAATTTAACAGATTTTAAAAATTCAAAAAATAACGGCTATTGGAATTTCAAATGAACTGAACTGAAACGAAGTTTGAACTTCTGAACGACTTTTCAAAATAAAAATTACTGTTTTAAATGAAAATGTGACCATGATTCATAAAATTAAGGTTTAAGCATTTTGAATAACGAAACTGCCCTCAATACGTATATATTAGACGTGATAATGAAATACTTAGCGATTCATCTGGCCAAAATAAACTTATTAACACATTTTATTTGTTTAAAATACCAATTTACAGTGTTACACAATAAATTTGATACATTTCGGTTATTAACTTAGCATTTTTATAGGTAAACAATTCGCCCAAAAGGATTATAGCCTTGAAGAGAAAATCTATGTACAAAATCTATTATTAAATAATAAATATTCGCTGCTCATATATATGTGTGGATATTTACGAACGTATTTTGACCTATTGTAGAATAAATTATTAAAAACAAAAAGGAACTGAGCGCGGAAAAAAAAAGACAAAACACAACAAAACATAACAAGAAGCATATACAGATAGAGTAATAAATGCAATGAATATAAAATTACTTCAATTTGATCAGGCACGCTACATGTATATGCAAGATTAATAAATTGAACAGGTCGATGATTGCATATGTAAGTAGCACGTTGACCATCAAATGAGGGTATATCGCGAGACAAAAACGAGTCAGCATGGATGCACATTTAATATACAATAAGATGCTACCATATAGAGTCATTATGTGTCATTTGAATTATGTAAAACTGTGACATTCTGTTTACACATTTAAATATGAATGCAATGTACAAATATATTAAACTTTAAGGAAGTCAAAAACATCCTTGTCGACGACTTTAAACAAAAAATAACACACAAAAATATTCTCGCATGTCAATAAATTTAATTCCTTGTTATGTGTTAAATGCAATTTTTCACGAACCTCCAAAAAATGAATTTATTTTATTTTTTTATTAAGCACATTCGTAACATTTTCCTTCAAACGGTGTCTTGCCTTCTTTAGCGCTATTTTCTTGCCAGAAATATGTTTGAAGATTCATTTTGGATTGGTTTTGATTTTTTTAAGGGTTTAGCGATTCAGCCTTTAAAGCTATTTATTTGCAAACATTAAGACATTTAATAAAAAGCGCTGTAATCACTTTCTCAAAGCTTTACAAGTGACTTCTTTACTGGTTTTTTACATTCGCCGTTTATTTCGCTAAAAGCGCATTCGAGTGTCATTCCGGAATCTTTGCATAAATTTCATTAGCACATAAACCTCGCAAAAAAGGGTAAACAAGAATTTATGGAAGCATTTCGTGTTATTTCACTTGAAAATGGTGAGGACATTTCGTACATAATTGATTTTTAAGAAACAAAAAATGTTAATTTCAGAATAAGTTTTACAACATATAACTCATTCACTACGTGATACATACGCGTGGTTTCTGCAAAAAATACTATGTTGATTTAATTTTATAAAAATTTATCAAATATTTCATCATGTCTAATGAAAAATTTAAATTAGTTTACGAGCGAGAGAGAGCAAAGCATTGCGAAAATTAATCACACAGAGTAAAGAAACCAAATTAATCCACAAAAAAGGCTAAATAATTTAATTTTATTATGCTTTACAACATCTAGTGATTAAAATTGACATGGACATTCCACAGAAGTCACACACTTTACATGTTAATAATGTTGTCTAATTTTGCATGAACAAATTCAGTGCTTATTTTTCAGAAAAAAAAATTTAAGAATACAAAAAAAAAATAAAAATTGTGTGAGAAAAAAAAAGGCAGAACAAAAAGAAGTAATGCAAAGAGAGAGAAGTAAGAACAAGCAACAGCAGTAAATATTCGATTTATGTATAAATAAGAAATATTTTCCATTCTTCTCGTATCCATTATGTGTGTTATATGCGAACTCAGGAATTTATGGAATGTCGAGAGGAAAGAAATCAGGGAAGAACTCTTTCGGCCTGTTTCACTAAAGTGGATTATCCTCGATTTCTGATTATCCACTTCAGTTTTTTGTAAATATCTTAAATTTAATAAGAGGTGTGGTATTTCTTATATTGGATTATAATAGAGTGAACTATGCCTGAAATTTCTGTGTACTTTAAACTTATACTTTTTGTTAAGAAGTATTAATTATTCAATTTTCTAGCCAAATCTAGTAGATTAACTTCGATTTTCGCTATAATTCTCAAACTAATCAAGATATAAAATTTCTAAGTATATGTTAATTTAAGTAGCAAACTACTCTTACTAGATCACACATTAGATCTCTTAATAACCTTAAGCGCCTGGAGATATTTCCATAAAATTGAAGTGGATATTCCGAAATCGAGGATAATCCACTTTAGTGAAACAGGCCGTTTATGATTAATGCATATAATGTGTTTGCTCTTATTCTTAATCTTTCTGTTTCTCATTCCAACAAATACAGCATCCCCCTTAATTTAACACTTCACAAAAAAAAAGGTAAATGCGTGCAGTAAGACTGTCGATGTGGTTTTGTGGATCAGACGCTTGCAGTTTTGACTAAATTTGTTGATGACTTTTCAATGATTTGTGACTTTATCCTTACATAATTAACTCAATATTAATTTTTACTAAATTTGTTGATGACTTTCCACTGATCTCTGACTAGACCCTTTAAGGATTAACTCAAAACAAGATATATAGATGTGCTCATACAAAAATATCGCAGTTTTTAAACGTCAAAAATTTGAATTTTCTAAAAACACTAACACTATAAAAGAAAATTTTTAATTTTTGTTTTGCAAAATTTTCAACTTTCTGTTAAGTTTTGTTGATACAGGAGTATTGCAAATGCTTTGCTATAATTTAAAGAAACTGACTTAAGACAAATGTTGTTGCATCTGTCGATATTTAAATGAAAACTTGAAAATAGAAAATTTTAAAAATTTTTGTTTGTATAAGTACACAAAAAATAGTATGGTCGAGTATGGTCAAGTATACTCTGTATGAGCCCATCTATATATCTTGACTCAAAATTTAAAAGAATGTATTGTTCTAAGTTCTTAAATTTTCGAGACTTTAATTCTTGAGTAAATATCCAGCACGAATCCCACAACATTCCAAAACACCCAAACTGATTGACTTCTAAGAATTTACTAAGAATTTTTGAAAAACGTGCTTGGGAGAGAGAAAAAAAAAGTATGATGAATAATCCTTGCAAGAAATTCTTCGAAAAATAAGCAAAAGCAGAGTACGAAAGAAGTAAGTAAGAAGTGAGGCAAAGTTAAGTATTATACAACAAACGACCTTTTATTGGTTTATATTTTCATTTCTTCTTTGTTTTGTTTTGTTTTGCCCCAAACAAGAGATGAAATTCCTTTCCTTTTTTTCTCCACATTCCTTCGTCAGCCAATATTTCATGAGTATTCAAGACAGTCAGCACGAGATATATTCTCAAGCAGTACATTTCAGTTATGTTATGTTTGCTGTCCAAAAAAAAATAATAATTTACACACAGACAAAAAAGGAACAAAAGTTTACACGATTCATGATTGGAATGAAAAGAATTCCTTTCTTAATTTAAGAGAAGTTGTTATGTCTTTTATGCTTCTGTTACTGCTTTCTTGTTATTCTTCTTTATTTGCTCTCCATCTCACTTGATTTTAAAGTTCGTGAAATTCCTCAGCATGGCCATAAAAATAATATAAATTTGTAAAGAAGTAATATTTTCTCCCATATACATGCCCAGCCTAATGTGATTTGGACAACAAAAAAGAGCTAATATGAAAAAATAACCCTGAATCACAACAGCAAATACGAATAAGCAGCATAAAGTTAATCGTGATTTTCGCACATTTTATTTTTTCCAACGACTTACACACAAATATGGTCAATTAAAATTGTCATGAATGTCGTATGTATGTACAGTGAGGATGATCATCTTATGAATTATGCTCTAAGGCATCATTTGCTGTATCATGAACACTCAAATAATAAAATAAGAATTGTGTAATACATTTATGTTAGCAGATTGTCAGAGATAATGACATTGCCTAAGGACATTTAGAATGTTTGTATCCACAACATGATGTTTTGAGTTCTCTCGTACCCGAAATAAACTTTATTTATGTCATAAATTCAAGTTTGACTTGAATTTTTTTTACTGTGTGATTAAACACGTGACCAGAAGACATTCCGCTTGTAAAATTAATTCAAATTAGATTCAAATCATAAATAAAATCATTAACGGCTATTTTTAGCTTGAATTTTTAATTTCGTGACATTTTGGTTGAACTAAGCTAAAGTCAAGGATCACAGCTCAATTTATCTAACAGCCACAGCTAGGAGCACTGCTATTCTAACTCGTTAGTAAGGACTGACTTCTTCACACTTAATTATTCAATCAAGCATGAATGTAAAGTGTAAATAAAATTAATAACATTATTAATTCTCAATGATTAACATGCCAAACTAAAGTGCTACTATTTCATAGATTATTATTATTTAATTATAAAATGCCACATCAATTTTAACGGCAAACAACACTAGCAGCAATCTGCATATTTAAACTAACATTTATTGTCCTTGATCTCATCATCATCATTAAAAAGATCTTTCATATTCCTTACTATAAGTTTTTTAAGCAAAAAAAATAATTTTTTTGCAACGAAAAAAAAAGAATGTGAATGTAATTAATAATAACTAGCTTGACAGCTGAGGGAATTTAAGTTGAATGAAATATTTTTATGGCACAAGTATTCAACACATTTCGCTTCGCGCAATTTATTCACATTTTATCATCTCCACATTCTCCTAACATTTCTTATTAATGTGATGGCAACACGCTGGTTGTTGATAACAAAACAAAAAGTGACAAAACAAAAGGAGAAACTGAAGATCTTTTTGTGCAACAAAAGAAGTAATTGAGCGCTTTTTAACGAGCATTTGGAAATAAAAGGTCAGATCAGATTGATCGAATTACTCCTGGTAGCTGATTTATATGCCAAACTTCTTATTGAAAAGAATCCAGCTCCGCCTTATACTCTTCATTAACCAAAAAAATAAGGGAAATCACCAAAATAACAAGTTTTAGATATCTCAAATGAAAGATCAAGCTTACATAAATTAGAATGTAAATCAACCAAAAACTGATACTAGAAACATTCAAATTTAGTTCACAGTTCTGTAGATTTAAGAAGAAGAAAAAAAAAATCAATAAGACATCCAGCAAAATAAAGCCAAGAACCTCATTTAATTTAAGAAAACCTCACGACGGGAAAAAAATGAATAAAATATGATAAATGCTTAGGCAACCACGAAAATGATTTCAAAAGCAGAAGAGTATCATAAGAAGGAAGCAAATAAAAAGGATGGAGAATGAAATGAAAGCACACGACACAAGAGAAGAGAAGGAAAACCACAGTAGCTAATGTATGATAATGAATTTAATCTGCGTCATCAGGTAGCCAAAAACTATAATCGGGGGATATTTTTTTGTTTTATTAAAATTTTAAAAATAAAATGTCATGAAATTCTGAAAATTCCAAGAACGATTGAAGAACTTTTTACTATCTCAACTCTTTTATTCTCCTTTTTGTGCGTTTGTTGAAAAATAAAGAAGAAGTCTGCAAAAAAATAAAATGACATAAGCGTAAGTTAATCCCCAATGTAAGGTGGCAAAGGAATTTAATGTTTTTCTTTCTTTCTTCTCTCTCACATTTTATTGGTCTTGAAACTCTCTCGGGAGTTCTGTTTTTAATTCTTCATGTGTGCCACCACGTTATAAACAATAACAACAAAATGTTCTTCAAGTATATTCCAGAAAAAAAAAACATATTCAGTTCTCTCGTCGCTAAGGATTTGATAAATAATTAAAAGATTTTGTTTAAAGCTCTTTAGCAGAAAGTCGTAAAGACTTGAAATAAACAAAAAAAAAGTTGAGCAAATTTGTATTTCGTGGTTGCTTACTCTTTTTTCCAGTCTTTCTCATGTAGTAGTAGGCTCGACATTCTCAAAAAGCTACATTCAATATATATGTTCAATATTGTCTGCCTTTTCCATCCCAAAATATCACATACTTATAAAGATATAAATATATTCGTATATGCCTCAAGTTAATATTTTTTTTTCTTCTGTTGTCGCTCTACAACTTCTCACTCACCATTCGCTTTCAGTTTCATTTTATATGTTGAACATGATAGAAGCAAAGTTCAGGTAATCGTCTTGTTTGCGAAATTTATAAAGAGATATATACATATAAATGTATATTGAAAAAAAAAGAAATAAAAGAAAAAAAATTAATATTGTTGAAGGAGAAAAATGCGCATTGACCACTAGACATTATGGTGACGTTGATTGCATAAAACACGCTGCATGTGCACTAATTTAATAAACGTGTTAATATTATTATCATCAACTACTAATCTAATTGTTCTATGTGTAATTTCCTCATTTTATACTTCGTTCTATGTGAAAAGTGTGAAAAAAAAAATATTTAATGTGGTGGAAAAGTTTAATGGAATTAAACGAGCAAAAAAGTTTTTCCTGAATTAAGGAAGAAGAAATTTAAAAAAATATGGAAAAATAATTGCCACAGAGCAAAAATAAATTAATTTCATTTCACTGCTTACATTCGTTCTTGTAAATATATAATTACAGAGTTAATCGATTATGAATATGAACGAGAAATAAGTATAATAAAAGTTTAAAATGTATGGAACTGTGATTTTTAAAGGTGTAAATCAGTCAGAATATCATTCATTGTATATACAAAGCTCTTTACATATTAATCTCAATTTATTATTTTTTTAAAAAAAACACTTGCAATGTGTTGTTTTTAAGTTCCAAACCGGTGTGTGAAATAGGTTCAACTGATAATTTATAAATATATCGTTTCATTATTATTATTTCATTCAATTCGTAAAGGAAAACTAGTTGAGAAAAAATATGATAAAAAGATCTTTCAAAATTGGTGATTGAAGCGCATTTAGCCGGGTCAGTTTGTGATTATTAAAATGATAATTTAAGAATCAATTGAACAACGATCATTCTAATTTAGAATTCAATCTGTTCAGTAATGCAATTCCGAGCTGAGAAGAATTGAACTTAATTATTCGTTCAGTAATTCAGTTTTGAACTGAGTTGAAATGAACTGTGTTACTGAATGACTTCTGATCATTAATATTTTTAAAACCTCAATGAACGGTTATTTTACTTCAAAAGTAACTTAAACTTATTAATGCTAAAAAAAGAATTGCCTTTTGTTTAGCTAACACAAATTTACAAAAGCAATTATGACTATTAAAATGTCACATCGAGTCACTTGAAAATAAATCCAAAGTGAACAAACAATTCACCTTGTTTGTGTGGCAAAAAATGTACCAAAAAAAGAAAGACATTCAATCTTAATTTATGAAAATAAATATACTGTTGTTGGTGCCATGTTGAGATAAAAAAAAGAGACGTATGAATAAAAAGCAATCTTGAAAAATTATTATACGCCGGCGAGTGAATAAAAGTGCTTTAAATTCATTTATAAATCAATTCGGCAGATTACATAATCGCCTGATATGAGGACGTATTAATTAGAAGTATAGGAAAAGTACTTATGACGTAAACTTAAATCCGACTTTAAGAAGTGGACGAGAAAAAAATGGTAAAGCTTATCCGATTAGACAATTCAATTTGATATTTAAAATGTCAAACGACAAGAAATAAAATCAAAAAAAAAAACCAGAAATGCGAAAAGTAAACCTTAAAGAGCTGGTCGCAAATCAGCAAATATTAATTGCGGAATCACGAAATAACGCACTGAGCAAAAAGACATTTCTTTTGATATGAATGATGCCAAAAAAAGAAGAAAATATTCGCAAGTCATTTGTTGATCATTTAAATTTTTTCACATTCTCTCAACTACTCGCGATTGCTCCATGTACATAAATGAGAAAATATCTATAGCAATAAGAAGAAGCAAAACTAAGTAAACATTAAATTTTTCACAGCTCGCTCTCTTGCATATTCAACAGCTGAAATATGGATATAAGTTTATTTTTTTTTTCGTGCATTATATTTTGAACAAATGAGTTCGTTTATTAAAATTCATATAAAAGGGTGTCTCAAAAATTATCTCCAGCTATGAGACTGACTTGGTTCTGCTCTTTTCTCGCGAATTGGCAATAACTTGTTAAATATAACGTCTCAGTTCTTGTTTCTCGATGTAAAATACACAATCAACTCTGTACAATGTTGTTTTAAGCTAGTTGTAGAACAACTTTGCATCATGAAGCACTTAGTGTGTTTTTCTGGTCATTTCAACGTGGGGATTTTCATTTTAATTGTCCTAAAGACAGATTAATTTTAAAAATAGATCAAATATCGAGTTTACAAAGTAATTTTATCAATCATTCCATCTTCAGTTTGTTCGGAATTAAAAGAATGTCAACGTCATCAAATTTGCAATAAAGATTTATGGCTCATTCATCCATTTTACTCCACCTATTTTTTGACCTTTTGATTAAATCTTGGACACATTCCTCTCTTTATAGATATTCCACTCCTAACAATAATGAACAATTCAGTATTATGAGAAAAATATGTTCAAGTATCATTGGCAATGTGCTTGAAATTGTTATTGGTTCAGTTATGTTGTGCTCTTGAGAAATTTTGGGGCGTTGTTTCATCCTCGAAATTTATCTTTGAGTTTGGTGATAATTTTTGGCAAATGATATTTGATTGTCTTGTCTTATCAATCAGTTTATGAGCTATTGTCTTAGCCATTGGCCGACGGCAAGCAAATTTATAAAATCTGAACCTTAATTTACTTTAAAAATTCAACAGAACTAGTGTTCGAATGTTCTAAAGATCCATTGCTGGCCGATTCAAGCCTTAAATTTTAAAATTGTCGAATATTGATTTTAAATTATAAACCTGATTAGATTGCAATTAGTTTCAATAATCACATCGAACTATTGATTTAAAATTAATTATAAACTTTTTGGTCATTAGCATAGATTCATTATTCAAATTAATGCAATAAATATAATCACTATCTGAAATTCCATATCAATTAAAACAGATGGAAATCATGAAATTGATGCATGCTGTAAAATTTACATTTTTCAACCCAGAACTTTTCATAATAATCATAAAATTCCACAAAAATGCAACAAAGAAATTTTTCTTGCAAAATTAACTTGAAATGACTTTATTAGTCCAAAACTGCTCTTGGCATTTATTTCTAGAATTTATGCTTCAACCTGACTTCAGTCAAAAGCTATAAAATTTTATTTTCATTTAGAACTTTTTAAAAATGTGGTGGATGAAGGTGAACATTTGAATCGTTTTGAAATTAATTTTGTCATAAAAAGGCAATAAGCAAAGTCATTAACTTTTTTTTGTGGTTTTTGAGGGATTTTAATCCCAAAACTTATCTGATAATGTTAAGGAAATGAGAATTTTTGAATTTTTGAACGAAAATATTCAATAAACACCTCAACTAGCAAAGAAGAACTTAGCTGAACGGCATTGAACATTATTAAGAGACACCCTTTATGAAAAAGCACAATTTCATTGAAGTAGAATTCATTATTATCATCAAATTTAATACCTGACTGAATATGCTCTCGTAATACTCTGTAGAAAAATACGTGCAGTAATAGAAATGTCAAGAATTATTCGTTTTTCTCTCATTTATGATATGAAACAAAAGTCACATGTTGTCACAACGATGTTTGTTTTTCGAAAGAAATTTAAAACATCGTTATAAAAATTTGCAAAATAAAATAATAAAAACCTTTGAGTCATCAGAAAAAGCACAAAAACTCAAGTGTTGACAATTGCCCATAAAGAGAAAAGTTTCTGCTGTGGCAATGCAAATATAGCAAGTATAGATTTAACTGGTTGTGATTAATGATAGCGCATAATAAGAACTTATTGTATTGAATATTTCACAAAATGTAAGCGACAAGAAGCACAAAAATAAAAGCTCTTCTCACTTTAATATATGCACTTTAAAAATTTATAATTAAATTCTCTTTCATCGTTTTATTCTTTTAGAGATGATATGACTCTTCACGATCTAAAGCATTGCACACGAACATAATTAAGGAGAAAGACTCAACATACAAAAAAAAACATTTAATATATATTTCAAAAGCTTTTGTTTGTTCTACTTCTTTCACTCACACATTTCATATTACGGGCGAGAAGGAGATAAGAGAGAAAGAGAGACAAGAATAAAGCTAAAGAAAAGGATACTTTTTATCTCAACTAATTAATTAATTAACTAGCTTACTGTGAATCAGAGACATAAAAAAGAAGGAGGAGGAGATGAGGAGAATATTTTTAATTGTACTTTTAAAACTTTTAATATTACATCAGCATCATGGAGTGGCAAGTGCATATCCAGAGATTTTTGACTCGAACGAAGAAGAGACGGTAGAAATTAATATTGAGGATAGTAATTCAATGGAAGAGCTTACGACGATGACAAACATAAATGAATTTTCCATTAGTGAAGCAAATACACCAAATAAGAATCAAGAAAGTATACAGACAACCACAACAATCGCGACGACATTAATTCATCCGACAATAGAGGAACAAGAATCAAGTCCAATAATTATGAAGCTTATTTCTGCAATTGAATTAACGAACCCAAATGATGCTGAAACGACAACTGAGCATCATTTTGACATAGTGAATATTCTCAAAAATCGTACTAAAGCACTTTTTGATGTAAATGCTCCAAATAATCCAAGAAAGAAGCCAAGAATATTATTGACAAGACCACCTGTTCAAATGTCAAAGAGTAGTAGTAGTAGTGACAGTGACTATGAAAGCTCTAATTCCATGGAGGATACAACTACAATTCCATATTCAGAAGAAGAAAGCAACGAAACAAACATTGAAAATAATAGCAGTGAAGAAATTACAACAGCATCACCATTACCACTGACATTGCCAACATCAAAGAGACCTCCAAAAAATATCGAAATCTTTAAAACGAGGCCAAATGAGCTTTTAAGATTCTACGTAGAAGATGGACATTTACGTTCACCGATTGCAGCGCTTGTAGACAAAAAGACGAACCCGTTGGCTAAAGCAAAGAGATTATGGAAAGCAGCTTTACGACCCAATTCATTACTAGACATTATGGTCGTGTCATATGATTCGGAAGGAATAAAAAGCACGTACAACTTAACAAACACTAAAGCAATGATGACAACATTGGATAAAGTGAGAGACGAAAATACAACTGATCAAAAGAGTAAAACATATTACAGCATTATAAGAACCGGTCAATTGATTCCATTCGATAGTGCTATTTTCATAACGACTGACGATATACCGAATGACAATGAACATCAATATCAGGCTTCAATGTTTCTCCTCAAAAAGCGAATTCGTGTAAGACTAATTAATATTTCTTCTTGCCTACACTTGCTTGCATGCTGTATGCTGTTTACTGTATGTAAAATGTTATTAATTTTCTCTTTCTCTGTCTTTTCTGCAGCTATATCTCATAATATTTGACGACAGAAACAATACGACAAATGAAACAAGCACGTCGACAACAGTGAAAGAAACGGGATTTTTAGGTCAATTGGCAATGTTGACAGGTGGTGATATCATTTATGTGCCTAATTATGTTTTTCAAAAGCAAAGTGAGGACGGCGAAATGGGATTTGTAAGATAATTCCGTTAATTTAATTAAATAAAGTGATATTGTGTGTAATGTCTTTCTTCTTCTTATCTTGTCTCTCTTAATTTTTAACAGATTACACTTTATCGCCAAAATAAATATAAGCCAATCGATCAAGAGCCATTAAAAGATTTCCACGAGAATGAACTGAAGAATGATACAGAGACGTTAAGCTTGAAAGACGACGACGATCATCATGATTCAAATAATTAATTAATTTTATATGTAAAAGTGCCTGTTAAATCTAATTTTTTGTTTTTCTTTATGCATTAATCTACGGGATAATGTTGGGATTATGCATTAAGCTTAAGTAATAGTAACGATAATGATAATTAATTTTAATTATAAAAAAAAAGAAATAGTAATAATAACAATTGATTGATTGAGTACAAACGATATAAACAAAAACACACAGAATAAATTACTTAAAGAATAGATAGAGTTACAGACGGAGAAATTTAAAACAATCGTGTTTTATTACTTACCAGCTGTTGCTAAAACGATTCCAGTGCTTAAATCCTCAAAACCACCGGTTAATGCACATGATAATAGTGGATTTTTATTCTTGCCGTGTTGATTCATTTTTCCTTCGTGCCTTTGCTTGTTTCTTTATTTTGGTCAATTTTAAACTTTAAACAATGTTTATCAAGAAAAATTTCACTTTTGACGTGGCACTAATGGTTTTCAATAGAAAATCACTTCGGAATCCGGCACAAATACTTGTCACTTAATGTCCGAATGTTGCTGATTATGTACAAACAGTTTAATTAATCCCAAATCAATAGATTTTATGAAAATCTTAATAAAAAAAAGCTATCTAGAGATATTTGAGAAAATTAATACACAGAAAACTAGTAAAGAGATGGTCACTCGTGACCGACCGAAGCGCACAGAATTCGAGTAGAAAATGAATACAAATACTTAAAAGCTTTGAAAAATAACTGTCAAATTTTTTTTGAATAGTAGTGTCTTTAAAATATTTGAGAGGTAACAGTAAAGTCCAAAAAGCTAAATCAGCTATTCAATTGGGGGCCGTTCACTTATTACGTTACGCAAAAAAACGACTTTTTCACCCCCCTCCCCCTTGTTACAATATGTTACAACTCACAACACCCCCCCCCCCCCCCCCGTTACATACTTCATGACACCCCCCCCCCCCCCCCTATGTTACATTTTGTTACAATTTTTCAACCCCCCCATAAAATACGAACGGCCCCTAGGTGTTCAGCCCTTGGAACAGCCACTGTGTTTAAGAGCTACGTAAGAAATACGTACGTAAAACGTAAGGTGAAATTATAGAAAAGCTAATCTTTCTGAGCACCAATCATTCTGATTTTTTGGGCAACGTTTGCCAGACATAAAACAAATAGTATGAGCCAAAAACCGCTTCAAAAAAAGCTTGAACTGGGGGAGGAAATAGCTGGACAGACATATAGACAGACGAACAAAGTATGGACAATAGCGTCATTTCTTGATAAGAAAATGCGCTAAAAAGTATACGTTTTTTTCTCGAGAAAATTTTGAAAGTTTTAGGACCGTTACGGAAATTGCTACTTCAATCAGCAGTTTTTAGCTTTTATTAAGCCTTTATCGACCATTTCTGGTATTTCAACCGCTAACCATGGTGACAATCCAAGAGCTAATATATGTGCAATTCCAAACTTTCCATTGCTCTTTATCCACAATGGATTAAAATGGGTTGTAAGGCATACTTTTCCACCTCTATACATCTTTGCTGTCTTTCCATCCAATTCTGGAATCTCTAGTTCTACTGCCGTCATTGGATATGTTACTGGAATCTTAAATCATTATCTTTATTATTACGAAATTAAATGACTTAATTATGCCTAGTTACCTCAAATTGAAGCTTAAATTCGTATCGCTGGAAGTTGTGGATAAACCAGCATGTTCCATGCCATTTAGTTCCATCTGCATTACTTTCAATTCTAAACCAGTCTGAATCATTAGCTTTGTTAATTTCTACATACTAAAAGTGGCAATTATTAGCTTTAAGGCACTCAATTATTCATGTCACTTACTTTGATCAGTGCTTGATATTCTTCCTTTAATCTCTGAATCCAAAGCTTATCGCGTGGCGATGCTCTAGTATGGATAAGTGAAATATTCTGAATCACTTTACTAAAATTTACATCAGCCATAGTTTGTTTAATACAGATATTTAATTAAATTAAGCTTTTTGCTGTGATTAACAGTTGGGCTAATCCAAGTCATTGCACAATTTTTCCCAAGGATCAAATGGAGCAAATCCCTAAATGATAATTTTTTGTAATGTGACTTGATTTGTGAACGATTCAGCATGTTGTTGACGAAAAATTCTTTGCTAGTCGTCAGTTATGCTTTAGACATTCAATCTGAACGGACCTAAAAGTGATTTCTTTAGTTGATAAACAAAAAGTCTGTTTATTTATGTTTCGCGTTTAAAGAGGATATTTTTGTTAAAGTTAAAAATCATGGAAATTGTGATGCAAAATATAAATTTGTCAATTAATTTTATTGAAATTGAAGATGAGGAAGTGCGATTTGATTGGCTGGATGAGAAATTTAATGAACGGTTAAAGGAATTAATTAATGATTTTAAGAAAAGTCCTGACAGCGTTGATAAAGTTTCGTTATATGATGAAGTAAGTCAGGTGAAATTAAATCAATAAATCACATTATCTTGACATTTCGTTATCCCTTTTTCAATCTATTTATTTACCTATATGCTCTGTAACTTCCTCAACAGAGTTGTCAGATAGGTACCTTGGAAAGGTGCCACACTAGAACATGAATGACTAGAAAAAGGCAATATTTTTTGCTTCAAAAAATAAGCACCTACCCTGTTTTTTCGTTATAAGCTACTACTCGTTCCTAAGCTACTAGTGAGCCAAAAAAATCACTTTTATTCTTCTTAGCTACTAGCTTATAACGAAAAAACAGGGTACTTGATTCTAATATAGGTTTCACCTAGTCAAAGACACGTCTACGATAGATAGTATTGCCTTTGGCTAGGTGTTGCATTGACAAAGGTAACTTTAAATGCCATCGAAAGAACATTGAAACGTGACAACTCTGTAACTTCCTCTCTTCATATCTTTCTATCACAATTCAATTTTTTTATGCATGTAGGAAGGTACGGCTTTTTAATAAACCTACAACCGACACATCATAGCACAACATAGATTCATTTCATGTGTTGAAACATTGCCAAAAATTCATGTTTGATGTCTTATGCTTCTCATGTCAAAAGTTGTGTTAATTAAATTCAGCACTTTAGCCTTTATGCAAATCGGTTATTGATGATGATAAAAAAATATGCAGCATAAAACATAAAAAGCTCATTATTTAAATTGAAAAAATAAAAAGTTTCAACCATGAATAAACTGATAAGAAAATGTTGAAAAACAACAGCAAATCCTTGAATTTATGCTGTACTTCTGCAAAAGTTCAAGTGAGATCTCTAGTTGATGGAAAGTAATGGTCGGAAAATGAATAAAAACAATCTTTGAGAAAAAAAAATTCATAATAGCAGCAATAGCTTTATAAAGGAATTATCGGATTATCTTACTTCATGCTGAAATGCTCATTTACATCTTAAATTTAATATTTTCATATTTTTTTTCTCCCCAACGACTTTTCCTTATTTTTTACTCATAAAAAATTATTATGTCTATTCTACAGATTATTCAGATGGTAAGAGGTCAATTGAAATCAATGGATACAGTCGGGCAAATCCTTGATATTATGAAATTTAGTGTTAAGATGCTACTCGTCGAAAACTCTGTAGGCGATATTGGAATTATTCTGCTCAATGAAATCTTTCAATTGCTTCCAAAGAATTGGGAAGAAGATCCAGTGAAGGTTTGTACAACAGCAATCTTCCTTTATTTTTCTTTCTTCCTTTCCATGCAAATACGCGAAAAATATTCATTTTAGTAGTTTCTATTTGTATTCGCTTATGTGCTCTTGAGATATATAAAACGATAGTAGACAGTAAGGCAATCTCGCAAGGTTTTATGGCTCAATTTTATGGCTGTTCACAAGAACCGTTATCATAAATTTTTGAATAAATTGAAAGAAATTTGTTCATAAAACTTTTGATTTCATCTCTGTTCAGTTCAATTGCATTGAAATTTAAATTTGTCGAAGCCGTTAAAAATGAAATCACCTTCAATCACCAAAAGTTATTGATCGGTTTGGACTGAAAGGCGCTTCAGGTCAAATCTCTTGGCTGTGACGGTTGATTTGCATGTTTTTTCTACATGAACAAACGTTTATGTATTAATATTACAATTTTTCTTCCATTTCGTTTTTACATCGCGTGCATGCATTAGTACGAGTCAATTATAGAACATTTTGTTTAAACGTTTACAGGTTCACTTGATAACGAAAACAGTTTATGAAACTTTAAATCAGGACTTCAACAATACATTTTTTATACTGACAAAAATCATCAATTTCAATAGATTAGGCTTTTATATAGCCTTAACATTATTCTGGTCACTCTATTTACACTTCTTCAAGAAAGATACTCATCATTACTACAAGATGTATGATGTGAACAAATTCTTCAAGCTACTTCAATTACATGAAAAGGATGCAGACGACACAAAAATGGAACTGGGCACAATTTTTCAACTGCTGTTATTGATTTCCATCTATCAAAGTTACGTGCTTCGAAATGATGATAATCTATCTGATAAGCATAACGTTTTTCATGACGTCTTCAAAGTATCACCGCATGATTTAGAGAAATTAAAGACATATTTATCAAAAATGAAGACACTGATTGAAATTCGCTATCCTGTTAACTCAAATCAAAATACTGACGTCTTAATGGTAAGCATTAAAAAAATATAATATAAATTATATAAGCAAATTTGCCTATTATGGGGAAAAAAGCTTGAAATGACATGCTAGACATGACAAATAGCATAGGCTGTGTGTTGTGTTTTGTGTGTGAAAAAAGGGAGACGGAAAACACCAAAGAGGAAAGCAAAAAACATAAATGTAAAAGATGAGAAATATTCATCTCAAGTACGCGATGTAAAAAGCTTTTAAAAGTAGCAAGGAAGCAAGCTCATCATATATACATAGACATAATACGCGAAAGCATTTAGATATTTACATTCGTGCCAGTTTTTATGTTTCTTTAATATTTGAATACATAAGAATGAGATGGAGTGGAGAGAAGGCAAAGAATTTATCGACGATTTTCGGGTTGATAACGGGAAGGAAGACGAGAGATCTGGTGCTAAATTTAAATCTACAAATTATGCAAATGCATGAACGAGCAATGAATTTGTTCCCTTTTTTTACAATATGATTTTTAAAAAATAATAATAGTAATTCCCTAAATGACATTCCAAGATTATTTTTATTCCGTTCGCGTCACATTTACTAAGAAATAGAATTTTCTTCTCCATTCTCATCACTTCAATTGAATGATAACGATGACAGAACAAACAACTTTTCCTTTCATGCCTGGTTTGGTGTTACGTAAAAAATAGCAGCAAAACAAATCAGATTCTTGTTATACATACCTCAAACCACCGTGCTGTGCTGTCTTTCCTTATCTCATTCAATCTGATTTCAATGCTCTTCCTTCCTTATCTTTAGGATTGTGTGTATGTTGATGATAGGCTTCGATTTTTTTTTTTCAATAGAACCACACACAACATGTAAATGGCTTGAACGTGCAAAACAATTGTCATGAAAATAATATTTTATTTTCAACCCTAAGCACACTCTTTGTTGTGTGAACAAGAAAAAAAAAAGATAATCTGTGGTCGATGGATGGTATGAAGTCACTAGCATTCAATTTATCATTCCATTTACTGTATCGTTCTGTGGTAAATAGTTTACGGGTAAACATTTGAACTTTTATCGTATACAGAGAATTTTTTCTTGTCTTGTTACATATTTTATAGTTGCAGGGGCAGATTTGGCTAAAGTTTGAGATGTGGAACATTGTAGCTTCGAGTGTTATGTTTTGCTCATTTGCAATAAATCCAAATTGAATACAGCTTGATGTTTACAGAGTAAATATCGTATCGTTCAATATTGAAGATCTTATCTAGCTTTCTGTTGATTATTTCGAATGAAATTTATGTTTTTCTTTCTTTAAGGACAATTTCCTTAAAAGCTTTTAAAGAAGAAATTGTTGGCTATACTAAAAGCTCAGCTTGAAAAACTCAAAGTTGAGTATTGCTTCATGTTGCTGTTTGCCTCGCTTGTGAAAGATTTTACTCAAAAAACCTCAAATAGTTCTGAGTATTCTTGTTAAGCAAGCTCAAAAAAAGCTGTAAAACCTGCATTGGCACGATCATCTAATTAATCAATGACTGAACAATCTTCTCCTTATTGCACCATAAAATTAGTTCAATTTACATTGCAGCAAGTAGAATTCTAGCAACAAAAAAATCTTGTTAACTTTTTAATACTAAGTGTTCCATGACATACAAAAAATAGCATATGCTTCACAAAGTCTGCTTTACATCAAAGGGCATTGAAACTTTGTTACACAAAGAAAAGAAAAAAAAAAATGGAATAATAATTTAAGTTAAGTTTTCTTTGGCACATTTTTTTGTGGGTGGAATATAAGCATGAATATATGTGAAGTCGAATCATTATTGTGCTGATGTGTTATTTTCCACACTGGCACTGTTTACGTGTGTAATATAACGTAATGTCATACACATGACATTTTATATTGTCCTTGAAATTGTAGCAAAAATAAAAAGTTTCTCTTTCTTCTTATTCATTCATTCATTCAGGCATGAAGCTATGCTTCTTATTCTGCTCTTTTGATTGTCAAATAACAGACTTCTTTTCATTTTCCTTACAAACTTTTCTTACGCATTCATTTCCTTCTGTGAATGAAATAAAAAAGAGGCAGGCGAGAAACGGTACACACACAAAAAAATAATAAAGGAAAAGGAACTGAGGAGAAAAAAAATATAAAATAAACGAAATTGAGATAAAAAGCACTTATATGATGCCGACGGTTGATAGGTTTTTTTTTCTTATGACTTTTCCTGTGCTTTTCTTTGTTGCTTCCTATAGTTTCGGTTGAGGAAGCACTCGATGTGTAAAGAAATCCCACACATCTACATGCAAATCATCCCAAAAAGAAAAGAGTGGGTTTTAAATATAAAAAATAAAATTTCAAGAAGGACTGGAAAAAAGCAGCACAATTGTTATGGTTTTATGAACAACAAATTAAGTGCTTTAAGAAATGTTTTGCTAAAAGCTCTTAATGACTCCTTCAGCTACTTTCTTGTGGAGGGAAAAAGAGTGTTCAAAAATAAATAAACGCCTGAGGAATTAAGTATTTTATTTTATTAGTGTTAACAAGGTAGTATGGAAATTGGAATGGAATTTATATGAAGCCACTGAGAATTAGTTTTATTATTGCAATTTGGAAATTATAAGCCATGGGATTTTCCCACCAGACTTCAATTTATGACAGTACACGAGTAATAAAGCCCCATTTCAAGTGAATGAATTCATCTTATTCAGGATGTGTCGATAAATCCTTTTGCTAGTTATAATTCTCATATATTGAGGTATATAGCTATTAATGCATCAATACAAGCAGAAGTATTCAAATTTTGAGTCCATTTGAAGCATGAAAAGAATGAAGCAGAAGAAAGGGTCGACATTTGACATCAGCACAGGCAACAAACAGTTACTTGTTTTTCCGCTTTTTTGTTGGCAAGACTTTTTGTCGCCAGTTCCTTCACGATTAATGGACTTTTTTTGGAGCTTTATTTTCATTGAGTCAACATGTAAGAGGCGAAAATAAAAGAATGTGGATGAAGTAGCTACATTGGCATGCAAGATAAAAGCCGGAGAGACATAATAATAAAAATCATGATCATAAATATGTTTTGAGAAATCATAAATTTTAGACAAAGAACATTTTTATGGTGCTTTATATCAAATAAAAATTCATCCTACATACACCGACTGTGGTCACCTATGATAGATGACAAATACATTGTTGCTGCTGCTTTTTTTCCCCCCACTAGTCATATAAATGCAAACAAAGTCAATTTGGGGATAATAAAATTCATCGTGCATGACTATACATGTTTATGAATATATACTGCGGTAAAATTATGGATATGAGGATGTTCGCAAGTTACGTCCATTAATAACTCAACTATAGACCTCCTCCTCTTAGTGTTATACTATCAGCTGTAAGACATCATAGATGAATGCAAGGCATGTCGAGGGTTGTGGATAATTTACATGTATCCATGCTGAACACACAAATGACTGAAGATAATAACGTTTTCATTATTATGTCATAAATTGAATTACATTATTAAAAAAGTTTTTCTTTTGAAAGGCATTAATATAATAGTATCATACTCAGTATGGAGTTAAAAGAGCACCAACCGCCACACAGTGATATCTTGAAATTTTCAAAAGATCTGGGTTATGGATATGAATTTTAAGTGAGTCGATTTGTTAACTAATTGGAACGCATTTAAGGTCTTGGTGGAAATCTGATTGAATAAGAATCTTAGGAATGATGTGACTATTCATATGTTGCCTTTTTATAAAGCATAAGAAGTCATTATAATGAACGACTCTCGTTCCTTATTTGATTTTACGTAAGAGTAAATTTATAAAAAGCCAACAGAAAGCTATTAGAGTGGAAATCTGAGATCGTTTATTTAATATTTCTACGTTTGACTTTAAGGCACATCTATAGTTTCTGATTTATTTTCGAGAGCTTTCTTGTCGACTTTAGAACGCTTCATTTTGAAGCATTGTAGCTGAATCAATAGAGATTGCGAAGACTCAGTGATTTGGAATTGAATTGGAAGTGGAAGCATTGAAGCTTCAGATGAGTTCAAGCATGAAATACTCATTTATGTGCCTTCAATCAGTTAAATTCTTGCTGGTTACAAAGTTTAAAATTTTAACGTTCAAATCATAAGTTCCATTTTTTTAAATTCTTAATGATCGTTATTTAGACAAATTAAGGATAATGACAGGTCTGAATGATTTATGAGCTACTAGGCGGCCCATGATGTATTATTAAGTAAATTAGTTACGATTTATTAACATCGACGATACAAATAATGAGTATGAGCACAGTCAAAATGACTAATAAGCCATGCTGATCAAAGATAAATTGCTCCGTGAACGAAAGGCTTGCTGTACATACAGAAATGGAATAAAAAAAATTTCCTTTAATGAAAGCTTTTTCGACATTATTTGACTTTAATTTTCATTTCCATTCTAATTCATAATTTCTTTTGTTCTTTTCTTTTTTCATCGTAACTGCTCGCAACATTCAACATTCGCTACGGACGATATCACGCGCCTTCATTTTCTTGATATTAAATATGGATAAAACACGTACAAAATAAATGAAAATGAAAATGACAGTTGGTGGAATTTCTAGAATCAGATTTAATCAGGAACGCTAATCAGGATAGCAATCAACAATCGACGATTGAAAGAAAAACAATGGAAAATTCTCACGATGATGATGCTTTTGTTGTAGATGACGAGAGTAGCGTGGGTGGAGACGATGAAATATGTGAAATACACGATGAACAGATTTAGAAAGCCCACGTTTACAACATCCTTGACAAAAGGATTACACAAAGTGATAAATCTCGATAAATCTTTTATTTTATTTTTTTTATTTCGTTCCGTACTCAAATATTCTATTGTTAGCCATTTTTTTATCATTTTCCATAAGGAGAGGCTTTAAGTGATGATGATAAAGATGAGCATAAAAAAAGTGAAATGAGAACTATTATGGATAATAAAAAAAGTAACAAAAGAGGAAAACCCCAAAGGTCATGATATTTAGATAGATAGATAGTTGAAATACGTTATCAAATAATGTATATTATTATATACTTATGCACACCTTAGCTCCCATCTATTTTTCAAGAGAGATTAATGTCAGTTTTCTTTAGGGGCTGAAGCTATATATTTTTCATTCTTGCTCATTTCCTTGAAGCTATTTTATCAGATATTCTCAAGGTGTCGAGCTGTGCTAGTTTTTTTAAATGCTCAACACGATTGTCGGCACAATAGCATTGTGAGGTTTCCGATCCGACCATAACAGATATGATAAATTTTATTAAGAATTTCTATCGATTTTTAACAAAAACTCATTAAAAGTTATGAATGATAAAAATATTGCTCATAAAATAGACTATGGAAAGACCATTAAACTGCTGAAATCCAATTTGAATAATTTTCATCATAAAAATTTGTTCCTATTCGGATGGTCAGTAAAGAGAGAATTTTTAAGGCCATTAAGTTCTAAATATATAAAAGTAAGTGTAGATTTAAGGAAATTTAAATAAATGTTATTGAAGTATTTAAGATAAATCCAACGTTGAGTAGTCATTTACTTATGACTAGACCCCCCCACTGTCATAAAATTCCAAAACTTCTCCATTTTCTAAGGACCTTATAAGCAGTATTACTTAAACTATGTTTAACAACACACTCGATTTGTGGTTGATTGTGTTTGAGAAACACTGCTTTAAAGTTTGTAAAATTAAATCCCTAGATTAAATAAACTTAAAACTTGAAATTGTTGGAATATTGTGATGACTAGCATTTAGTTTTGCCAAAAAGCCTTAAATCTTTTATAGTTCTGATTCTGAATAATAATTTTAGTGCTTTTATTTGAAACTCAATAAAAAAGAGAGATCTGATATGGGTTAGAATGTAAATATAAAGCATAATTCAACCGATTTGCCTTTCCTTTAGTTTGCTTTGTTGATCCTAGTCAGTCATCAAATGACATTGGACAACGCTTATAAATTCTCACTTTCCGGTAGCTTGAAGCAACTTTAAGAATTTTCCTTGATTCTTTTTTCTTCAAATTGATGTTTTTCAATTTGCTCTTCAATTCAAAAGTCTTTTTCTCGGATCTGAGAAGATTTTAAGCTTAAAGCAAATAACACATACGTTTTCCCACATCTCAAAATGCTTTTGAATAAGAAAGACGAACTTAAAATTCATCGAAGTTGGTGAAGAAAACCTTTATAATCGGTTTAGTGCTCGTACAAAATTCATGACTTTCCATATGAATAGACTATAAATAGTTCTGTCAAGGATAAAAGCTGTGGCCTAAGAATTTATAAACAATTGAAAAGCTTACGTCACGTTTCTTAGTAAATTGCGTAAAAATCTGACAAAATTTCCTCAACTGTTTCACTCTCCATTATTATATTGTCAATAAAACCAGAGTATATCCTCCATATATTTATATTTATACGATTTTTTGACTGATGCTTATTATATTTCACCAATAAACATTTTTCTTCTGTTTTTATTATGGTTCCAAACTTTTTTTCTGCTTTATTTTATTGCTATTCAAAGTTCGTAAAACGAACAGCAACAAAATAGAATGTTTACTTTAATGCATGAATAGAAAATGTTACACGTTGTTAACTTCTTCCATGCATTCATTCACAATTTATTTATTGTGTGAAAAAAGAAGGAACGGGTGAATTGTAAGGGATTGTTCACTTATGACGTCCAATATTAACGGTCATTTTTGAAAAAAGAAGAATGGAATTCTTTTCTTGCTGACCCCCCCCCCCCCCCCCCCCCACTGCCACTGGACGTCATAAATGAAATGCCCGTAAGGGGCCATTCACTTATTACGTATCGCTTTTAGGGGGAGGGGGGTCTAAGATTTTGTTACGGTTCAAACAAGGAAATTTTTTTTTCATACAAATTTTGTTACGGGGGGGTCTAAGAAGTCATTTTTTCGCGTTACGTAATAAGTGAACAGCCCCTAAAGGAAACAAGAAAACTTAATGTAAATGTAATAGTTTAAGACCTAGCGCAACAGCGTATTATTCTTGGATAGAAGTCACTTTAAAAGGCACACTAAAATACAGTTCTATGCATGAATATTGCGCTTAGAAAACAAACAAACAAGTTTTGTAAATTCATGCTGATTGACTTTGAATGAAAATTCAATTCTCCATCCTACTCAATTTTATCATTTATTTGTTTGTGTTGTTAGACATTATCATAAATAAATGGATGGGTGACGTCAATGATAGGACATTTCATTCATTCATTTAATTAGATATTCTTTGTTTGTAGTTGAAAAGGAACCATTAAGCGTTTCGGAAGCTAATGATGATTGACGGCAAGAATGGTGGAACTGCCGCATATATGTATGTTCATGTCACGGCAAAATGAATCAACATTTTCAGTAAAATACAATTTTACTTTCATCTGTTTGATGTATCCCGTAGTCGTGTTGAAATTAATAAAAAGTTGTTATTTACTAGTCAAACGCATGAAATGAATTGAATATATATACTTTTAGGCATCCACGAGTGCTTATATACTTATAAATCATATGATAAATGAAATGAAAAATTGTTGCTTCAATTAAGTAAGAAGAATATAATTCTTAATCTTTAGTAGAAAATGTCCCATAAAAGAACGAACATTGGCAAATGTAATCCACCTATCTTGAACTGAGCATAACTTATTATGATTATTATTGATGGACATTCACTGTAACTTGTTCTTATGAGCCAAACAAAACAAAAAGGAAAGGATCCCGCTAAAAATAAACCTCCATAGATGATTAAGGAAAATTTTTATATATAAGCATAATGACTTCATGAAAACTGTTGTTCATGTCCATCAATAAGTCCACCCTGAAAATAGCATTAATCAAAAACAAAAAAAAGTTGTGGTAATTACATATAAAGTATTGTAGATTGCTTTTTACGCATTTATTCAATAAAATCAAGAATATTGTGAATTGATGTAGGAATCATTATGAGATATTTGACATTATTGAAGCCTTAATAATTTAGTTCTTAAAAGACAAAATCGATGGATTGAATTTCCTAACCTTATCGACTATTTGTAACACCAAATTACCCTTAGAACCCCATTTTCAATAAGCACAAACTCCAGATTCAATCAACTAAAACCTTAAAAACCTATCAATTAACTATAAAATAAAAAGAATAAATCAAAAACAAAGGACAAAGTGATTATCAAAAGGAACCGGTACTGACGAAAGCTTCTTTTAACATTATTAGTATCAAGATTAGAATTATTATAACTTATAAGTATTGGTAGAGTGTTGAAAAGATGTAGAGGAAGAGAAGAAAATAAATAATAAAAAGATGTTATCAAAAAATACACTTAAGCATGTCAACCTTTTTCGCGAGCTTACTTTCTATCCCTTTCAGCAAAATCCAGTTTGATCTCTTAACATTAAGAGTATTTTTCAGAGCTTACTGTTTGAGGACATAAAGTTGTGATAAGAATTGATGTTATACCTTTTTAACAACTGACTTGAGGCTGTCCATTTATCAATGAATGACTAAATGAATGAAAATACAAACAGAAAGCAGATGTGTTAATTATAAAGAGTAAAAGAAAGGCGACAGAATTGGCTGGATCCGTATGCACTTGTAATCAAGGGTTTGTGCAATTAATTATGGTGTCATTAAATTCTGCCAAGTCAGCATAAAAAAAGTTAAATGAAAGAATGATTAAAACAATGTCATGGGCTTAAAAGAGGTTGAGGTAAAAGACGTAAAGGTTCAAGTCAAAACAGATGACACGAGTGAAGGACGTTAAAGATAAATAATGTGGGAAACGGGGTCAGCTAAGGATGACTGTCAATAACTGATTAATTTTTTGAAGACTAGCTTCTACATTGAGTATCAGAGAGCCTTTAACCCTCCAAGCTAAATCTAGTAAATGACCTATTATTGACGTGATTTACGAACGTTTCTCACACCATTCAGACACAGCCTTTTTATAGCCAATTGAAAACGATTTTACAATAATAATAATAATATATGGAGATGGAAGTGAATGAGCGACAAATCTCGTACAAACGATGGCAAATATTTATACACTTGAATCAATCTCAGAAAGGACATACTCGACTGTGAAAAAATAGATTAGGACAATTCAATTTTGTGTGGAACTGATTGTGCTCAACAAACAAGAAAATTCGATAGATGGAAAATTGTGTTTAATGCTAAACTGATTCAATCTCATGCAGACGTTTGAGCTTTACGGCTATATAAAGTAAGTTCTTTTCAGGCAACAACAAAAACAACATTATTGCGATGAAGCCACAACATGACAGTATCAAGGAACATAGTTATAGCAGCACTGCTATAGATGTTTTACCATAAAAATATGTCTACAGATAAACCACATAATTTCCATACACAGATCCGCAAATTCCAAACATATATATTTTTTTTCCCAGCACATTCTCTGCATAATTTAATACGGCTGATTGCCTGACTAGTCGCTTGAGATGCTGGAATTGGAGCATGCTGAATGTGATTAATTTTTAAAATGGTTGGTAGATCTAAAGAATTTAAATATTTACCTTTAGATTTAAATAAATCTAAAGCTTTATAAAGTTACTAAATCCATGGATTAATCAATTTGTAGCTGAAAAAGTCTGCAGGTTTCCCACATGAGTATGAATTTGACGAAAAGATTGTGGCACAAAAGTTTCAGCCACTCATGTGACAAAAACGGTTGAACTGTTGTGAGGATTGAAAAATAAAGATTCTGTTCCGATTATGTTCCTAAGCTTTTTTAATGTTTTTATTTATGTTTTACCATATTTTATACTTTTTTTATCACATTTAAATTGAGTTTTTTTTTATAATTTTTTTTATCTCATACTATCACGAATAAGTTAAGTATGCTACTGCCTTATCAGTCGATTATGGATCTTCAGTTAATAACTTTCAGTCGTTGGCTACATCCAAGTCATGTACAATTTATAAAAAGCTTATAAATCCAAAAACTTTTTAAAATTTACAAGACTTGATATTAAGCTAATACATCAGTCGATGATTCCAGAAGTGTCATGAACGGCTGATAAGATGCAGTAAAATTCATTTCAAAATGCATTTTGTCATTTTTTTTTGTATTTTACCAAGACGGAAACATTTGAGGAATGAGACAAGCTGTCAAAGTTATTCGACATGTGTCAAAGTAAAGCTTTGACAGGTAGCAACAATTATCCTCAAATGCTTGCCTCTTGTATTTTTTTCATATAAATTAAAATGATGAGAAAAAACTATCTTAAAGCATTCATTTTATTATCATAACATTTTTTTTTTTTGTTTAATAAGATTGACTCTCATGACTGACTACTTTTCAATCTTTTCGTTTTCTTAATTAATTTTAATAGTTTTTTTTTTCGTATTTTTTGTTTGCTTTTCTTTTACGTAAAATGAAAAGAAAAAAAATAATATTTGAGGACAATTTCCTTAAATTAAATTTGTGGTCGAGTTCCTTTCTATTAGCTTTTGAAGTTTTTATGATACTTCAGATTGAAGGAATGACCACAAAAAGTTACAAACATTTTTCCTCAACTTTTTTTTTTCTTCATTCTTTTTTTCTTCTTACAATACAATTATCAACGTTCTTAGTTTTTTTTTTTGTTGCTTAGAGTATGAAATAGTACTAGATATATTATATAGCTATGTGTAGTTGCAGAACTGAAAAAATGTATAAATTTGATTATTTCAAATGTTAAATGATGAAGAAGGAAGGATAAAGTCGTTAATGTAAAAAAGAAGAAGTAAGAAACGGAGGTGGAAGAATGTGATGTGTTATAATTCAAAGATTTGGTTTTCTTTATGTTATGAGTTGGATTCAATTATATATGTATGTACGTCAATACAGCATCCGATGGAAAGAACTCCTCAGCGAATGGATTTAAGTTTGATTTTTGTGCTAATGCAGACAGAGATCTATAAGAATTGGGGGAAAAAATAGAAGATACTACATCTAATGTCTATTAAAATATTAATAAAGCTTACTCTTTGTGCTGCTCTACTTCAACCTGTGTGATTTCGTCAAGTAATAACATCTCGCTCATATCTTCCATACATTGATTTGCTAACTCTTCTTCCTCAAGTCTTCTGATTTCTTCTTGCTCGAATTCCTGTTCATTTTCCATCCATAAATAATCATTCCATTCACTAGACTCATCTATTAAATTATACTCGTCGTCAGACTCGTCATCAATATCATAGTCTGCGTCTATATCTGGAATTTCGACGGGTACGTCTGTAGTGAAATTTCCTGTTGAACCCATGAAATTTGATGGTGGTAATCTCTCGATGCACATTATTCTTTATTTTACTATTTTTTATTCACTTTTATTATGCGAAAAAAATAAACAACACTGAAACGAGTATTGAACAAAAAAAGAAATAGTGAATAAGAAGAAAAGAAATGATTATTCTGTTTTATTATTATTTTCACGTTTCAACTCAGTGTGCTATACACAGGCTGATTATTCTCATACTTTAGAAACTCTCAAGAATACAATTTTATTTCACAATAATCTGCGCCACTGCTTAAATTGTTTCTTTTTTGGAGCTTTAAGCAACTTTGTCTTTATTTATTGATAATTACTTGCTTCCTCACTTATCAAACTTGTGTAAATATGTTAAATAAACAATTTTCGGATGCTTACGAAGACTTTTATTATTAATTTTTTCACGATTTATAATTTTCAATTTTTGGTCTTAAATCTAGAGTTTTTTTAGCTATTTTCACTGTTATTTTATAGCTTACCTGATAATTTAAAGTAATGCAGCCGAAATATGTTCTAATTTGTTAATTAAACTGCCTTTTGCCAAAGTTTTGTTATTTGCGATGAACAATAATTTTGACTTACTAACACTATTGCATTTGCGCAACTAGTAAGAACGTTATTAAGTATGAAAGTCAGAGACGCATCATTTCCTGAAATCTAATTCATGTTGAATTCTGTTGATTTAAATGCTTAATACTAAAAAAAAAAAAAAAATTGGTGGGTTGAAAAATTGTAACAAAATGTAACAAGGGGGGGGGGGGGGGGGTCAAAAAGTATGTAACGTTCTAATTGTCGTCTGTCTTTTAAAATTTGTTTACAAATTCACACCAAAAACATTTTTTTAAATTTATGAATTTATGAATGTCCAGATCACTTTTGATAGCTAAGCAATACATAGTTTTTGGTATATAAAGTAACAAATCAATAGAAAACTGGGGGGGGGGGGGGGGGGGTTGTGTGTTGTAACATATTGTAACAAGGGGGAGGGGGGGGGGGGTGAAAAAAGTCGTTTTTTTGCGTAACGTAATAAGTGAACGGCCTCCTAGGTACATTGCAGGGTACATCAGGTCTTATGAGGTACTCGTGTCTTTGCAATGTACAGAGCTTGCAAGTGGTTCAGATCCCGCTATAAACTGTAGGTCTAAAGGGTGTGGTACAATAGATTCTGTTCTAATTTGAATCGCAGTGCCTCCAGCTGAAAGGCTGGGCCCTTCACACATTATTATTATAACATTTAATTGCTTTTAAAAAAATCCAACGATAATTTTTTCTTTGAAATTTTAAATCTTCTTTTGAGCTTTTTTTTAAGCTTTTCTTTTGAAAACAGATTTGAGTAATTAGCTTTCGACTAATCATAAAATAGACAGTCAGCTTTAATATGAATATCACGCAAAGTTTGGATGAGGAAATACTTCGAATGAGCAACTGATTGAGCAACTTCATTGAATTAATTTCAAGGATTTCTAGACCTATGACTCATAGTTTTTAAAAATATTATTTTACAAATGAATTACACATTAACAGATCACTTACCGATGGATCATCAGTAAGTATGATTCAGGAATTAAAACCCAAAATTCTGTCGAAAACAAGGCTGAAGTTGGTCACAAAATTTGAAAAAATTAAAACCGTTATGCAAAAGCTCTACTAAAAGCTCAAAGCTCTCCTTAAAGTTTATGTTAAAATAATTGTATGACTATTTTATTACCTTCATCACGCTACTTTGAAATTCTAAAATTACACCATACACACATATATGTTCACATAGTCATTTCCTGAAAATCATTTTCTTCTTCCATCTACCCACCTACCTACATATCTACCCCATTCATTTATTTATTTCCATCTATACATTTTTATTTCTCGTGTGTATGTCCGTCCGAATGAATAGAATAGAATAGAATAGAAAAAGGAAAATGTAATTGTAATAGATAGATAGTAAGTAGCATGCGACCACTACCTAAGTCAAACTCATCAGTTATTTGTTTGACGCAAACTTGAATGTACTACAATTGGATATATCGCGATCTAATTTCGAAGAAGCGTAGTATAATTTAAATGGAATTACGGATAATTTATGCTGAATATCTTAATTTTAGAAATATAAAATAATTTTAAAAAGAAAAAAAAAGTTGAAAGTGAGAAAAAAATCGATTAAAAAATTGAAGCTGTACAGCTTATTAACGTGCATTAGTGAAGTAAAAATAAGTGAATGAGATACAAAGTTTATAATTCTTCATAATTAATTACTTTTCACTGGCTATTTTTGTAAGAATCGAGTCCATATAATATCGCTTGTGGATCAATAAATTTCATTCAAATATTTGCTTGACTGATAATAAATCCAATATAAAGGAGAAGAAAAGAAGTAATATCATTGACATTGGAATATCCATAATTTATATCCGATTATTACAAGTATTCAATTGTTATGAATATTGATGATCCCGACATTATCTGTTACAAATAAACTACATAATACTTCAATTGGATAATTGAATACATTCGCTGAAACATTCATGAGACTGATTGAATAGGACACAAAAGGAATAGAACCAAACCGACATAAGAATTTCCCCCATCAATATTAATTACTAATTCAAGTAGAACTTTCAGCTATGGCACAAAAAATAATAATAATTTTAGTTGTCGCTGTTCCTTTTTTGTCATGCGTGCGTATATTCGTTCGTGCATGTTAAATAAGACCAAAGTGGAAAAAGAACAAGAAACAAATGTAATTTGTGCTCGTCTGTCTGGACAACAAAGACAAATAGATAGACACATGTTTATATATGTTACAAATGATAATACATTACTTCCATTTCGTTCAATTCTTCCTTCCTTCCTTTACGGCAACCCCCAATCTATCTATCTATCTTCGTAACTTATTACTGTCCAACACTGTTAAAGTTGTTGCATCAAATCGAATCGTCTACATGTATGTGTGTGTGTCAGAAAGTACGAACCAAAAGCTAAAGCATGTGGGCATTAGTTTAGAAGTTAAGTTCTATTATAAGCCTCCATGGCATTAATATTTTATCTCAATTCCGAATCTTTTGAAGAATTTACTGATATTCAAATATTTTTTCATGGCAATAGGTCTGAAAAGTCGTCGATGTAACGTCTTTTGGTCTTGAATTTTGTAATGTGATGGATGAGCAATAAAATAGAATAACTTCCAACACGTGTTAATGTTTTTAAGAAATTCGAATGTTGTGTCTATAAAAAAAACATATAAATCAGTTAGCAATAAGAGAGATTCACGTCATAAACAAGCAGCTCCCACCAAATAATATTTGTATAGCAATTGTGTGGGATAAGTAAATTAGGTATTTTCGATTTGAAACCAATTTACCTTAATCATGCTATATATCTTTTAATGGCTTTTACTATAATGAATGAAGTTGACATTTCATTTCTCTGATAGATATCCTAAAAGCACTTTGAATTAGCTATAATTCTTGTTTTAGGACTGAAGGTTTGTTTATAAAGTTTTTGAAATTTTATTCGCCAACTTTTCATACAAAACCACCATATTATGGTCATATTAAGCTAATGCTCAAATGTTGAAATATTCCCACAAGATCAATAGCATTTAAATGATTATGTGCTTACTAAAGCTCTTAAATACAACTTCAGTAAACTAAATATCGAATAAAAAGTATGCAAAGAAGGAAGCACATGGCTAATAAATGAGTCAACAAAAAAAAAGGTTAACATGAACTTGGGCTTTTAAAAGTTTAATTGTGTTATCTTGTCAAACAAGCTATGAATTTTCAAACAATAGACTCAAATAATAAAGGATTCATATAAGAACTTTAACATATTGTGTAAATACTGCCTGTTAAAGGTTATGGGCCATCCTTACATTCATTCATAAGACATTTCCATAACATACGAATGTTTCAAGCATGTCTTGTAGAACCCCTGTGTTGCATAAAAGCAAAACATTACCTCGTTAAAAATGTATGCATAATATAATGACCATCGACAAAAAAAAGTTCAGAAGGAGACTGACTTTATCGAAGGAATTTTGTTCTTGGAATAAAAAATTCAATTTGTTGTCCTGCCTTCATTTGCTTCTTTTTCCGAATGTATTTTCGATTCAGTCTATTGTCGATATTCGGAGTAGAAGCAAAGCAAGAAGGACGATTTATTGTGAATAATGTCTTATTTATTATTAATCAATTTGCATTGATGTATCTTTTGCGATATCACGATAACCAGTTGATTTTGAATTATGTATAGACTCTGTAACATTAGCTGACGTCCTTAAATCTGTGTAAATAGCCCGAAAGGAAAGGAATCTATTGGAACTTAAGCAATTGAGTCAAGTTTCAAAGATGCATTAAATTTGCATGTGAAAAATGTAACCAAAGTGCAATTGGATAATTTGACAAATGTAAAGTCAATTGAGGACATTTTTGGACAGTGTTCAGTGCTGTGACACATAAAATTAGTTAAGGACATTAAAATTAAATGATATTGTGATCATTATCAAGAGCTTTATGCTTAAGGAAATTCGATATTTGATTAATAAGTTAATCATCGACACATGTCATTAAAATAATAATGAATTTATCGAGTTTTTGGAAATTTTCATGGTGAATGCTTCAAGGAATCGAACTAATAATTTCATATGCTGTAAATATGCTCGAAAGTCTTGTGAAAACCTTAATGCTAATGTAATTTCAAACATTCTTAGTACTGGAGCTCAATGCAATGGAGTTTGTGAATGTCCGAACGCAAATGGTCGTGAAAGTTGTGGAAAAATTATCAATCTTAATGACGTAAGTTATTTCATGCGTCATAGCTGTTTTATTTGCATGGAATGTTTAACTTCCAATTTTCAAAATAGGAAAAGGATTGCTTTTTGGTGGGCCAAATATCGTTCGAATGTAAGGAGGTTAAATGTCAATGCGCAGATGGATTTTATCAAAGATTTTCAAATGTTTGTCGCCGAGAGTCTATACGTTAGTATATTAACTTCTAGTGCTTACTATTACTTATTTATGTCACTTCATATTTTAGAGAACGAACCTTTCAATATTGACACGATCGAGCTTAGTTCGATAGGTGCCGAGACAAATTCAATATGCACATCCGTTAGTACTCAAACTCCATCCGTTAAAGATGCAACAATACAAACAACACACAGTCTTGAAAGTCTCACTGCAGAAAGTCCATCCGATTTAAAATTTAGCTCGTTTTCCAATAGACGTATACGAAATTATATTAATTATAGTAAATTAGTCAATAGTGAATTTACAAAAACCTCCAGCATCGAATCGTCTTTTAAAGACGAAAGCACACAATGTAATTTATCTCTATTTTTCTTTGAGCTTTTCTAAAAAAAATCTCTTATTCTATTCAGTTGGTGAATCATGTGAGTCTGAAAATAAATCATGTTCGGGTCACAAACACAATTATTGTCGAAAATCAATTTGTCAATGCCAAGATCCATTTTATCCAAAGGATGAGATTTGTAAAGATGATTTAAGTGATGTAGCTGAGGATGAAATTTGTTATGGCAATGGTCATGTTAACTCAAAAGCACACAAATGTTCTCATTGTAAAAGTGATCACCTTTGTTATCCTGAATCAATGAATAGTTTTTCTAGACGTATGTATAAAGCATATAGTAATGTCAATCAGCCTTGTTGTTGTGTCAAAAGAGAATAAATTAGAGTAACAACGACTGATTTACATCTTCTAATTTTATCTGAAAACTATTTTCAAATCTCTTCCATTTTTAGGAATTTCCTTGGGACTTCATTCACACGCAAATCAATATTTACCATTTAATCCAATCTATTACGATAAACAATCATCAATCATATGTCCCTGCTACAATTTATTAAGATTTAATCCAGTTATTGAAAAATGTGATTTTAAGCATGAGAATGAGCAATGCACTGATAAATTTCAAGTTAACAACATCAATAATAACAAATTATTTGATAATAATTCACAAAGAAGCACTTTGGATTATAAGGAAAATTTTAATGCACAACAGTTAAAGTTACAGCAACTTCAGAAGCAGTACAGTTTTGATGTATCGAAAATTCAAGCTGAGAACGAACCAATCAATAATCGTGCCTTTGCAAATGATGAATACAAAATTGACATTTTAGATGAGAAAACTATGAAAAGTCAAATCAAAAGTGATTATATAGATAATGATAAGGACCTAGAGAAAGGTAATCGATCAGTTGTCGAACGTTTATGATCAGTCGATCATAAATGTTGTAGAATATGAACCAAAGATCTTCTTAATTTCCTTTAGAACCTGATTTTCCTGAAGAAATCGAACAATCAAGGCCACTTTTGGGTGATAAATCGTTTAGTATGGATAGAAGAGGTAAGCTTGTCAATATTATAATGTGTTATGGGCCTCGATGTTTTTTAAAGGATTTTTGCTTAACGGAAAAAAATAATTTGAATTTTTCACTAACACTATCATACAAAACATCAAAAATTAAATTCTCAAAATTCTTAATTATTCAATCATTAATCCCAAATATTACGATTTGAATACGAAAAGTAGATGATACATTAGCTGTTCTGACTATTTTAAGAGCTTTTACATCATTATTGGATGATATTTCCGTGACTTTTCAAATTTCATTTTCGATTTTGTTTGTAAACAAACAAATTACAACCGAAACTAGTGTATCGGGTAGAAACTGGTAGAAACCTAATGCGGATATATTCACACCGTACCATCAAAAATCTTATCGATAGACCAAGATTTGCTCAGCATAAATTTGAAGGGTGGGCTTGAAGTACGGCCGAGACCCATATCGACACAGTTCAAAAGTTATACCTAATTTATGTTATAATTATGTCAGCTACAAAAACACTTAGTTTGAATTTTGTCACCCTCGGGAACACTATGAACCAGTATAGCTGATTTTGGTCCAAATCTCGGCCATACTTCACACTTATTTGAACCACATTTTCTCGTAAATGTTAAAATATTATTAAAAAGTAATTAATCCTGAATTATGTCGCTATTTTGTCAAGTGTTTTAAGATAAAGAATTTGTTTTTTGGTTTCCACAGTGAAGAGTATGAACAAAATTCAGATGGGGTAGTCGAAATTTTAGATTTCGATTTTTTTAAGCTATGGATTACAAAAAATAATATTGGTATGTGATTTATGTCAGAAATATGTCAATTCAAATAAAACATACAAAAAACTTTTTGACCAAAGTACACCAAAGAAAATCAATTTTCAATTTTGGACTAGGGACGACCCTAGTCAAAATCAATTTTGTCACTTTTATCTTTGAGGGTTTATCTAAATGGATTGAAACTTTGCATAAATATTCTAGTGCTTAAAACAAAAGCAAATAAAACATCTTAAAATATTTTTGAGCAAAGAACCAAGTAGGAAATACATTTTCAATTTTGGACTAGGGGCGACCCTAGTCAAAATCAATTTTCTCACTTTTTTCTTCGAGGGTTTATCCAAATGGATTGAAACTTTGCATAAATATTCTAGTGCTTAAAACAAATACAAATAAAACATTCAAAAAATTTTTTGAGCAAAGAACCAAGAAAGAAATACATTTTCAATTTTGGACTAGGGGCGACCCTAGTCAAAATCAATTTTCTCACTTTTTTCTTCGAGGGTTTATCCAAATGGATTGAAACTTTGCATAAATATTCTAGTGCTTAAAACAAATACAAATAAAACATTCAAAAAATTTTTTGAGCAAAGAACCAAGAAAGAAATACATTTTCAATTTTGGACTAGGGGCGACCCTAGCCAAAATCAATTTTGTCACTTTTTTCTTCGAGGGTTTATCCAATTACAGTGAAACTTTTTGTGAGTTTACTAATATTTATACAAAACAGTTTTAAATATCTAAAGCAAGAAATGTATTCTATATGTCGTAAGACCCAAATTTTATAAATTTGGTTGTACATTCAAAAACAACGTGACTTAAAATTTTGTCCAAAAAAATGATTTTTATTAATTCAGAAATGAGTGACCGGAGGATTAGAATGTTAATACAAAGTTTAACTGTATTTGGATTTATCCTCGAAGAAAAAAAAAGGAAAATACTAGATTTTTACTAGACCTGTCCCAAGTTCATATTTGAAAATGTAATTCCTACTTGGTTATTTGCTCAAAAAATTTTTTTTTCATCCAAAGTTTAATTTAAAAGAAATCACAGTGAACTTTTAATTTGAAAAATTCGTAAGAAAGGAAAGTTTTTTGCTTTTTTTGAAGCAACGGCTGTTCCTACCTTGCCTAAAAACAATACAGCTCTTCTATAGAGCAGCACGGATCAAATGTAAAAAACTAGAAGTCTCTACAATGTCTCGTTATTGAGATTTCTTGCTGATTAACTTGCTTGCTTGTTTGCTTACAGAAAGCGTATTTTGCGATTTTCTCAGCAATGCCATAACCAATTTGAAATCTGTTTTTTGAAAATGATGTAAAATTTCAGGCACAAACTTTTCATGTCTGAACATTTTAAGCTATCTTGCTCCATATCCTCACAAAATTCAAAAAACTGATTTTTCAATCTGAACAAAACCAATAGATTCACACGTGAAAACGGTGTGAATATAAAAATTCAAAAAAGTTCAAACCGTTAAAAAAATTTTAACTTAATTTTGTCCATTTGGGTATGTTAATGCAGCAATTCAAATTTTTTATAAACTCAAAAATAACAGAATTGAATTTTGGACCTAAAAATATACATTTGAAGATATATCAAAATTCCCAAAAATTGTACGTGAGTGACGCTTAGTTAAAGTGATTTTTTCGATAAACTGTAAACTTTGATGAAGTGAATTGTACAACAATAGACGGAGATTTTAATTCTCTTTTCAAAAAAGTAACTCTTAAATTTGTCACTTTTAAGGATAAGGACTCACGTACAATTTTTTTGTGACGAGGCCCATATAAACTAATTAATGTCTTCCTAGATGTAAGTACCTCGAACGAAAGCATAGCAGTAAGAAATGAAGCAGTAAATAATGAAGAACCTACAACAGAGTGCGCAAATGGATGCCATTGTCATCAACATGATTATACACCAATTCGACCTAGACCAACCAAAAAAAGTAATTTTCATGAGTTTTAAAGGCTTTAAAACTTTAAATTAATTAAAATTAATTCTAGAATCTTCCAGTACAAGCCCATTGAAAGTAATCACATTACTACTGTTTGCTTCAGCATTCCTAATTACAGGTTCTGCTTTAAAGGATGCATATTATCCGTAAACAGTTCCTGAATACGGTCACGACATGAAAAAAAGCAATAAAAATTTATTTAACGTTATTGAGAATTGTTATTTTACACCTTTAAAGTTTATATCTAAAAGCAATTCTAAGACACTTTACGGTTTATTTTTTAATTTTCTTGTTACTCATCTTAATATATAAATAATTAATTAAATTAAGCTTGTTCAAACCTTAATGAATAAAATAAATAAATAAGGACATATAAATTAATAATATAATGTAGAAGTAAAAAAGAAGAAGGAAAACTTGTTATGGAGAGCAACGAAGAATAAATAAAAATAAAATAAAATAACAAAGCTTGTATTAGTTCTTTCCATTTCCATCATCGGTTATTTTTAAGGTCGCTAAATTCTATGAATAATTAGTGCTACATATTCTAATTTTATCCTTACGTTTTCAATATTTCACGTGCTCTAAGTCATCATTTGTAGAATCTGAAGAGTGATTTCTGCTTCTATGTTCATAAATCGCGATCCTTAGAGTACATGAATCAAAGCTTCCGAATTAAATTAACGAATATGTTTTATTTCGATTTGTTTAAACTTTTTAATTTTAAAATGACATACAATAAATCTGAGATATAGTTTTTCTAGTCTGTTCCAAAGTATTTCTGGCCGAAATGATTTGGAGCTATAACGTGTAATTCACTTGTCAAGATTTTCATTTCTGGAAAATGATTTATAATCATTTGGGTAGCAACAGGAGTACAGAAGAGGTTTGATAAAATAATACATTGTTCAGAAACACCATGTTCTTTTAATACATTAACTGCTTGAACGACTGTATTGCCAGTGCTCATTATAGGATACATTAATAAGACTTGTCTCTTCGATATGTCCTCTGGAAATCTTGCATAAACCACTTTAGCTTCATGAGTGTCTGCATCTGATTCAACTAGAATTTTTCCAATTCTTATTGATCGGCAGCATTCTCTCAGACCCTTTTCCATTGCTTCTCCAGACCGTACGATGGATACTCCACAGTTGCCTGATCTGTACTTTAATCCATCATAAATAGCACCTATATATATTACTATTAGTCTTAAACTATTTTTAAGCTTTATAAAGCACATCGATTACCCGTCGGTGTTATGACTGAACAGTCCGAGTACGGTAGTTGATTTAAGGATTCTTCAATGACTAATCTAATTAATCGATCTGCGTAGAATTTGAAATCACTTCTTGATGTATTTTTATCGCGTAATATAGTCTGCAACTCTGTTAATAATTGTCTGTTATTAAAAAATAACTTTATTTAATAGAAAGCACATTGCCTTACCTTTAATTTGATCATTTGGAGGAATTATCTTAAAGTTCTTGCCATAATCAACTTCCATTTTATTGATCTCTTCAGCTACATTATTCATATTATCCTCAGAACTTCGTGTCATCTCTTTATCTAATAAAATCTTACTTATTTCACAAAATTTCTAAAAACTTCTTAATGTTTACTTTTTTTGCTCTAAAACCTTACATTTAAAATTATAAACATTTATACCGTTTAATTTGAAAAAACCGTTAAATTGCAAAATAATGTTTTTTAAGGAACATTTTTTTTTCTATGATTTAATCTTTTTTTTGTTGAACCAGGAGTGATTTTAAAGTCTTACACCTCACCAAGACTGCTTTAAATCCTCATTAATGGAAACTCACATCTCAACATACGAGAGAAATTTCTCAAGTTAAGCATGTGATGAAGCCTTTACGATTGACATTTGGCAGCATGGTAAGAAGTCTAAGCAAATTATTCAGAACTATTTTCCTAGTATTAGTCTACAGAAGGACTTTACGGTAAACCTGTATCATTAATAACGCATTATCATCCGGAAACTGAATTATCCACCACGTTGATGAATCGTCAACAAAAAATAAGAAGTTTAAAAATAATTCACTGAAAAACCATTAATTCTATTTTCTGCATTATTTGCTTCCACAGAATTTCGGTTGTCTATAATTTGAAGCTATGACGGAAATAAGTAATTTTCTCAGCCAAATTATGATAACACAATATTTCATTGGCATACTAATTTAAGAATTATAATAAATTATGTAAAGTTGGTAAGAAGCCATTAGTTACCACCTTATGCTAATGCGATACGACAGTTTTCGGACGTGATTACAGCCAGAATGTATCGCAAGTACATAAACAATTAATTTATCAAACTGGAATCGGTGAATTATTTTTTTTTTGTGATTAAGTTCGCAATTTTTTTTATGTGGCTATGACCATTTCTTCTTCACAGTCATAAGCTTCTTTTTTGATGCTTAAATGGAGCGAAAATATATAATAAGTAGCATGCGAAGTCACGCAAACAATTAATGGTGTGGGTAAATTTTTGGAATGTATTTAAATACGACTTTTTATAGCCCGAAATTGCACTGCACGGTTGACAAATGAAGCCAAAGGTGGTCTCTTATAAGAGATTTAATGTCTTTTATAAAAAAAAGTAAACGATTGCGTGTTACATATCAATTGACTTTTCTTTCTTTTTTTGACGATCGTTGATAAATAACGTGAGTCAATCAAAGGCTATATACTCCTTACTATCATTGTCAGATTGATTATTTAAAATTTATCTTCCAGATCCCTCAAAAAAAATTAAACATCATTTTTGAACAACTCCCATAAATAAACTAGTGTATCGGGGAGAAACCCAATGCGGATATTTTCACACCGTACCATCAAAAGTCTTATGGATAGACCAAGATTTGCTCAGCATAAGTTTGAAGGTATAAAGCTAGCGAGTCAGCTGAGCTTTGTTCATCACAAGTTTGAAAGTATAAAGCAAACGAGTCAAAGTTTAAATTTATAAAAATCACAGTGAACTTTTGTTTTAAAAAAATTCATAAGAAACGAAAGTGTTTTGCTTTTTCTGAAGCAACGGCTGTTCCTACCTTGCCCAAAAACAATACAGCTCTTCTATAGAGTAGCACGGATTAAATGTAAAAAACTAGAAGTCTTTACGATGTCTCGTTATTGTGATTTCTTGCTGATTAACTTGCTTGCTTGCTTGTTTGCTTACAGAAAGCGTATTTTGCGATTTTCTCAGCAATGCCACAACCAATTTGAAATCTTTTTTTTGCAAATGATGTAAAATTTCAGGCACAAACTTTTCTTCTACGACATTATATAATCAATTTTGCTTCGTTTTCTCAGAAAATGCGAAAAACTGATAATTCAATCTGAACAAAACCAATAGATTCACACGTGAAAACGGTGTGAATATAATAAGGGCTCAGTATATCCAACAGCCAGTCAGTCACTCACAAACATTTCATCAATAAAATTCCTTACGTAATTGAACTTAAAGCGTTCATTTCTTTCACTTCTGACGTCATAGTTTGTGTGCTAGCTCAGTTTTACGGTTTTAATAACATTCGGAAATGAGGTAGCTAAAATATCTACGATAGAAATTGGTCCGATGCCTTTTCATTTTTATTCTTTTTACTACGACGATATATTTAATTGGAATAAAAAAGCATGGTTCAATATCAAAAATTTCATTGAATGTTTTCCATATTGCCTTTGATGTTCGAGTGGAATGGGAGCCTCAAAATGATGGAATAGATAGATAAAAATCATATTCTTTACTTAATGAATGTTTTTAGATGTTATTCCTTTAATTTTATGATTAATGTCTGAATACTTGTCATATCAATGAGACTTTATCAATAAGAAACGGTACATCATAGTCTTTTACAAATTAGAACTTCTCTCGGTGTGTCACTTTTAATTCAGGTGCCAATTTTTAGCGCTATCGACGGTACATACCCAAAATACAGTTATTTTTCAGAGTTGAGTACATGGATTTTCAGTTCCAAGTAATTATACCTCGAGCAGCATAGAATCTAGTTCTATCTTGTTCTATTTGGTTCATTGCACTTAAATGGGTCTTAAGAACATTTTCCTAGAGCTTAAAAATGCATAACAGCATTAAAGTCACTATAATTATGATTTTCTTGTTCGGCATTAATGAGAATGACTAGTAAACATGCATCTTAGGAAGTGCATGATGCTTTTTTACGCTATTACAAAAGTTAAATGGATAATTCCGATAAAAAGTAGTCCAAGAGCAAGCAAAGTTACATAGAGCTAATACTAAGGACGAATTGACATTGAAAACTTCAAACCTTTAAAAAATGATCACAACAATCAAGATTTTGTTTTGTTAAAACATTCTTCATTATTTTTTTTATACCCTCGCGCGTGTGTTCAGCACAAAAAGCTATCAACAATGGTCAGTCTAATTAAGAGTTACAAAAGTAAACCAAAAGAGTAAGAACTTAATTTCCTTTTCATTTCCACAATTATGCATGATTCTTTAATTTTTCAAGTGCCTCGTCTTCTTCATTAATGTCAAAATCCGAAGTGTCAGCGTCGGAACTTTCTTACCTCAAAGCAGAAGTATGGTCATTACAAAATAAATTGAGAGACGAGAAGATTAATACGAGTAATCTGAGTGAATCTTTTAGGACGGTAGCTAATGAAAAGTATGAATTACTTGATGAACTGACTCGACATAATTTATTGATTGCTGAACTTTATGACAAGCTTGATCATGAAAGAGAAATCAATAACATCCTCATGAATGAAATAGAAGAACTACAGGAACAAATTGATAAGAATCAGACTATTATGGTAAGTTGTAAGCATAAAGGTCAAATGAATTCGTATTGTATGAATTAAGATTGATATTTTACAGGAACAAGCTGTTATTCAAAATGTAGAACTAAAAAGAGGTCTGATTGAGGCAAATGAAACGATTCATCAAATGGGTTTAGTCTATCTAAAATTAAAGGAATATAGCCCTTGACATTTTCGTACTGAACTGAGCTGAGCTGAAGTGAGGTTAAAGTATAAGAAGTAAAAATAAAAAGGAAAAATCAAAAAAGTGCGATAAAAAATAAAATAAAGGAATTTTCACTGTCTGCTTCCTTGATAACGCTTTTGTAGCTCTACAATTGACTCCACAAATTCTATGTTTTTTGTTTCTTATAACATGCAAGGAAGTCATAAAGAAAAGCTTTTGTTTTTGTTCATAAAACTTACGCCTGACGTCGATGAATTTCTCCCTTCTATTGTTTTGGTGGCAAGTCTATTGTAATTACTAATTGTTGCTTTTGGTCAGTCACTCAATGGAAACCTTCAATTTTATTTGCACAAAGCTCACATTTTTTTTTTTCATTTTAATGCTTTTTGATATAAGAAAGAAAAACATGAACATCTTGTGCCATTAGTAATTCTTTTTCGTGTTTTTAATGACCAATTTATTTTTAATTTTTTAAAGATAAGGACGCATGAAAGCTTTAAAAAGAATTTTAATTTTTTAACTGTCAATTTTTTTTTTTGAATTTTTTAAATCTTCAAATTTGAATATTTTTAAGCCGTTAAAAACTTCATAAATAATTGGACAGAATAAAAACCATCGACAAAAAAAGAATTTTAAAGGGATACACATTCAAATCGTGAAACAAAACTTATTACTAGGATTTGGGGAACCTGTTAACAGAAAACAGAAAAACAGCTGTTTTTCGACAAAAATCAGTTAACAGAAAAAATGTCTCAAAAACAGATCTGTTTCCTGTTTTTCATTTTTACATATAATTTACAGAAAAAAAAATTTTCTTAACTTTTTGAAGAACTTAATATAGTTTTCTAGAATTCCAAATTGAAATTTGAAATTTGAAATCATTATCAAATTTATGATTAATCATTACTAATTTTGCAATCGAAATTTTAAATTTGTTGAACCTTTTGTAGTATTTACTAAAGTTCAAAAATATAATCAACAATTTTGCAAGATATTTTTTTGTTTAGAAAGATTTTTTTGAAGATTTCAAATAAAATATTATAGTTTCTGGAACTTTTGCAATGCAACAATGCAATGTTTCTTAAAAGTATAAATATTTTTTTTTAAAATTTTTATAGGTATTCCATTATATTTTAAAGAGTTAATTAACGAAAAATTAAGAAATAATAATGCTTAGCTCTATAATGTATGCTTAACTGCTTATAGCCAGGGTGGGGAGATTTTTTGCGATTTAAATCAAAATCACAGAATTTATTTTTGATTTTGATTTAAATCTCAATGAAAAATGATTTTAAAAAATGATTTTGATTTAAATCATTTTTCAAAGGGATTTTTTTTTTGGGATTTTAAAATTCCTCCATATAAAATTTTTGTATGCACTTTCTCAAATTATTTTTCAAATCAATTTCATCAGGAACGAAAGGAACCGGTCAGTTCCGCAAAAATTTTTTGACTTCAAGAGATGATTCCTAGATGAAAAAACAACAAAAAAATTTTTTGTGGATGTAAAGGAACTAGGCAGTTCAAGTGCGTATTCTTGCTTATGATTCATTAAACTAACGTAGATTACTATGGTACTGTAATAAAAGACATTTAAGATTTTATAAGCATTGAAAGCAGGTTGTTCCTCATATAGAGTAAGATCCAGGCATGCTTGATGAAGTCAAGTTATTTAAATGTAAGCAGCAAGGCACAGAAGATTAAAAATCACGAATTAGATTTCGTATAAGTCAAACAGCACGGAACCAATCAAAAAATGATTGGATCTAAAAGATCCAGTTGCAAGATTCTGTCCGAAAAAGGATCAACTGCATTCTTACTTATGAGGAACTACAACTGAAAACTGTTGATTTGAAAAATAATTTGAGAAATTGCATACAAAAATTTTATGTGGAGGGATTTTAAAATTCCAAAAAAAATCTTTCATACAAGAGATTTAAATCAAAATCCCAAAAAAAATCCCTTTGCAAAAATGATTTAAATCAAAATCGAGAAAAAAATCACTTGGGTAAAATGATTTAAATCAAAATCCCTTTTTAAAATCATTGCAAAAAGATTTTGATTTTGATTTTGATTTAAATCACCCACCCTGCTTATAACCACCAAAAAGTTTCATTATCTTTTTAAAAATCAAAAACCGAAAACAGACTGTTTTTCAAAAACAGCTGTTTTTCACAAACCCTAGGAGCGATTTTAAAATCCCAAAAAAAATCTTTTATACAAGAGATTTAAATCAAAATCCCAAAAAAAATCCCTTTGCAAAAATGATTTAAATCAAAATCGAGAAAAAAATCACTTGGGTAAAATGATTTAAATCAAAATCCCTTTTTAAAATCATTGCAAAAAGATTTTGATTTTGATTTAAATCACCCACCATGCTTATAACCACCAAAAAGTTTCATTATCTTAGAGAAACACTTAGGATAACTCAATTTATTTTGAATTCAAGAAAAACAGGAAAACAGCTGTTTTTAAAAATAAAAAAAACCGAAAACAGACTGTTTTTCAAAAACAGCTGTTTTCCACAAACCCTAGTTATTAGTGACCTTTACAAATATTCAGCACAACTGATTATATGAATTTTTAACTAAACTTTCGACATACAATTTAAAGTATTTTGCTATTTCTTGAACGCATTTTTCAACAGAGATTGCATGTACAATAATTTTTATTTTCTTTTATTGCATCCAAGACCATTTCTAATGTTTTGATTACTGACCTTAAAGTCCACGATACACAAGTTATAATTGCAGTTGGAAGTTTTGAAAAATTCATTAAACTCATGAGGAATAAAGAAAGTGAAAAAGTAATTTGCCATCCATACAATGTACTTTCTTAGCCTGCTTTAAGTAGGTGGGTCAATGTCGATTCCTTTCCTTTTCTGTTCACAAAAGAAAATTCTTTAAAGTCGCAAAGGAATAAGGAGGTAATTAAAAATGCGCGAAATTTATGTGTATGAAGTAGAACGATTAATGTTTTGCAAAAATCTTTATATCCTTAGCCTTTCCACATTTTCATCTGATTTGCTTTACTGTAGCATGAGACATACATGCATGATGTAACAGTTTTGAAGTTGGCATTAAATATAAATATATATTTATATTAAACTAAAATAGTCCATTCCAGGGTGGACACAGCCAGTTAAAGTCCATTATTGGACAATCATTTAACAGTCTTTTAACTTGCCTAAATTTAAACGACATAGAGAACTAAACGTTAACTAGACTTTAACTGGACATTCATGCTAATCAATCAAGTGCTCGAAACTCAAAAATAATTTTCCTTGCTTTTTTGACCATATACTTCACAAGCGCTTGCAGAAATCACTTATATAAGGTCTACCAAAATTTGTATGAAAATTTTAAGTAAATATAAATGTTTCACGCGCAAGTGTTCGAGACTCAATTTTTACTAGAGATTTTTCATAAGTGTTAGTGTACTTTAATTAATTAATTACACTAATACAATAATAAAATTTTACAAAAGAAAAAAAAATGGAGAAAAAGACACGTGTTATTTATTTTATTTCGATTTTTTTGTAACTGGACAATAACTAGACATATGTGCAACTCCTATGTCCAGTTAAATGGAAAGCGCAAAATATGTCATTAGTCGTCCCTAAGTCTAGTTGCAAAGACACGTCAATGGATACTTACTCGCTATGAACAGGCAAGTCATTGGCAGGCTTTTAAATAGTACTTTGTCCACTCAATATTGATAGTTTTGAAATTGTAATCAAGCTCCTTCATCCATAGAACTCATTGCAATGTCCATAAGTCATCTGCGATTAAACAATAAACATTCATTCCTAATTTGGCATCCTGTAAATGTATAAAATATTAAAATCCAATTTTCATCAGATTGATAAGTTTCAAGCAGTTTCAAGGAGCATTCAGCAATCTTCACAAAAGTCACTGCCAACATATTTATTTCTCCATATTATAAAGAAAAAAAAATAAGTTTCGCGTGATTGAAAGCTATAAAATTAAAAACCGATGGAAGAAGGTAGATAATTCCTTGCCTTCTTCTTTCCAATTGATGTAAGTTCCTTCAAGTTTTCTTTCATGTTCATGGAAAGTTCTCAATATATCTCATGATATTCAATTGCCAATTTCGATTTTAAAAAGTAATAAATTATTAAAAAACTTCGTTTCCAGTTCCGTCAAGTTCAAGCATTTAATAAAATCACAGCATGTTGATTGCCGGAACATAGGAAAGACAAGTGAATAGATTGATGGAATAGACAAGAAGACAAGTTAAAAAGCTCTTTGAATAATCACATCAATCTTCTTGTTCACCTGTCGAATGCGCATGCCTTGAAAAGCTTCTCTGGTTCGCTAAAAGCAAAAGCTTTGTGCTTGAAAGAGCGAAAAAATTCCATCATTGTGCTTTATACGATCATTTCATTCAGTTGTGTTATTCAGTTGATTAAGGCTTAATCTGAAATCATTTCCTTTATGATTCAAATCGAAAGTTATTCTTGAGGATCATAAGTAGAAAGCTATAAGTGATCTAAGAAGTGGAATTGAATAAAATTATTGAAGATAAAAAGTGAAATAAATTAATAAAAACTTAAAATGCAACAGCCACTAAAGAGCTGTACGAAATGTTCTAGTCTGACTACATTTTTTACTGTCTTTATAATTATGTTCTCACTCAGTTCGACTGCATTGACAACATTTGGGATTAATAAACCAGCTAATAATCCAGTAGCTCCCACACATGCTCGTGAGTAACAAACATTTATCAAAAAATATGTTTTTTTTATTTATTGATGTTCTGTGCTCGATTAAACTTTTTATTTTTTTGGAATATAAGTTGAAAGGTTGCAAAAACAATTATTTAAGCAGTGCTAAGTGTATGATAAGCATGATCTCAAATGTCAATGTCAATGAAATAATGATAACGAGAAGGTTTTCGTATTGCGAAAAAAATCATTATTTGAAAAGTTTAATTAAATTTCAATGAGATTGGCAGGGATTGGAAAATAATTTTAAAGATAATCGAGGATTAGAATTAAAACTTAAAGCTTACAAAAATCAGTTGTTAAAAATTTCAAATTTATTTTCAAAAAGCCATACAAATGTAATAAATTGAAAGGTTTTGGCTGTTGTAATGCTTTGTGCTCTATTTTTAAATTTGTATTTTTTTTACAAGATCAAGACAATAGCTTAATCAAGCTTAATACTCTGACAGTTTGCATATTAATGGCATGCAATATATTTAAATGACCAATTGCTACGCAGTGCGTTTAAAGCATTACATACCTAATTGTAAATGAAAATCCAGCATTAAATGCATGCAGGTGCCTCTAATCAAGGCCAAACAATGCACAATAAAGTTTGTTTGTCTTACGACGATCTAAATAGAACAAAACTGAATAAATTCATCATTTTATGAATAGACTCATCGTCCTAGAAAATTTATTTCGTGAACTTTTCTACAAGTGTCTTTTTAAAGCAGGCAGAAGTTTTATCAATAACCGAAATCGAAATTTGACTCTCATTTTCTTTCGACATAAATAAATGGAATTTTGATGGAAATCATAAAACGAATATTAGGTTGTTTACTACTTTATGTGCTTAAAGTGAAATCACATTTTCGTTGCTATTATTTTGATTTACATTCTTAGCGACGGTTTATATTTATTTTCGGTATTATCTTTGCTACGGCATCAGCCGTAGACCTTACATTGTTGATGATAGGAATAAAAAAAATCCATTTTCTTCAAGATCATGTGAAGAGTTGTTCTTTAAATTGCCTCCACGTGTATCTTGACAATAATGTTAGTTCTGATCATTCTTAACCCCCCACTTACATGTTGCTGTATGAAAATTACTCAGTAGGTCAAAAATCGCTAACGTTAACGATTATATACGCGTGCAATCACAACATTTTATTCATTGTGACGTAATAATACGACTTTCTTCCTTTTTCAATTTTATTTTACATTTTTTTTTCTTCACCTCTCCACGTCATAGCTTCAACTATAATCATGACTGACTAAGTATGAGCTTTAGACTTACTTTTTAGCATAGTCATTATTTTTATAAAGCTTTGGGCATTTTTTGGATACAAAAATGATTAGATCTTTTAGTAGAGTTGTTCGTGAGGCTCATTGATATGCTATATTTATGATAAAAGGCATTGAGTATGACTCATTTAACTATGACGACTAGAATTAAGTGCTGAGTGGGGTTTCAAAGTTATTGACGTCTTTTACAAGAGATTAAAAAGTATTCTGCATTATAAGTAATTCAATCCACATGATCCAGAAATCATGCTAGGTTATAATAAGCTCTTAACACACAAATAGTAAGCTAATGGTCTTATTGATTTGAAAAACTAAGCATCTTTCCAGTACATTCTAGCAAATTGTCCACTTTTATGTAAGTGGGTGTGCTTTATAAGAGCTGTAACTGTAGGAAGTAACACACTCGATGGATTACAACATTCAAAAATCGTGTTATCAGGAAATGTATATTACTGCATACTTACTAGAAAACCACAGATTCCAAAAAAAAAAGCAATTACTTTTATTGGTATGAAATAAATGAACAGAACTTATTGTAGCTTTAATATAAATCATGGAATTTGAGCTTACTATCCCAAGTTTTCTAATTTCTGGATTATGCTTCACATCATACTCATATGCCCTGCAATAGCTTCAATGACCTAAATCAATTCTAACTGCTCAGCACACCTATTTTTCATATCTATTTTTAAATCCTAATTGAGCATTAATTTTCTATGCATTAGGAATCATTTCCATAAAAAGGATCAAACATGGCTCATTCATCAATCTTTATTAATAATAAAATCATAGCTATACATTTCAATTAATCGCGACATGTCTTGCTTGTGGATTTTATTCTCATTTTCATTCGTTGACCTCAAAATTTAGGAACCTCCAACATGTTTAAAAATAAAGGTTGAAAGCTTAGGCGTGTAATGATTTTTATGACTGTTAAATTAACGAATTCATTAAACTTTATAAATAAGCAATGAATCGAGTATCATTTAATTATCCGGATGCATAATTAAACGACAATTTTTCGGCACCTTGTTTCATTCTTTATCATGTATTAAATTGTAGAGTATGACTTTTCTACGACAATGCTTAATCAAAATTCACTATTCAAATTGGTCGTGTAAAGGCAATAGAGAAAGAAAACTATAAGAAACATTTGCATTTCTTGATGATTTAGTGGAGCATGGATCGTAAAAGAATTCTATGAACACGAAATTAGCATTTGCATAAATTAAGTAGTTTGTTCTGAAAATTCTTGGATATTTTTCATTTTCTTTCTTCTAGACATGTTCCAGATAAGGCTCTTTTTGTTAAAAAATTAACGGTTTTTACACATTTAAATTTTGGTTAAGAAAATTTGATTATTTTATGGCTGTAATCTTTCAAATATTTTCTAATCGTTATATTTTCAAATCTTCAATATCAATTCTGTGCTTTTAAAAATTGAGCTTTATAACTCATGAGTGACTTAGTATATAATAATTTCCTTTCTGTTTTATTGATTAACTACAAATGGTGTAATAATATGAAATTCAAAACTGGAATCAACAATTTTCATTCCTTCTAATGCTCTCTAATTCCATCCATAAATATGGACATTAATTTCTTCCTCTGTTTTTTTTTCTTTCTATATGAAAATAGCAAAAGGCAAGGAATGTTACACCAATGCTGATTGCGTTGGAATCGCTGATTCGTCATGTGTAAAAGACTATGATTTTAAGCCAAGATGTTTATGTGGGGATTTCTTAGCTCCAGTTAATGGTTTATGTACAGCGACATTAAAAGGATTAAGGCATCAATGTAAAAAAACTGATGAATGTGAGGACAACATGTTATGTCGTGAGAATAACAGCACAAAGACAACAATTCTTGGTTCATTCTCGAAAGACACGAATAGAGAAAAGTTATGTTTATGCGACGAGGAGAACGGATGGATGGAGAATTTAATCGAGAATCACTGCAACGGTAAATTTAATGCTGAATATCCTCGAGTAATTAAAAATATTTATTTTTATATTCTTAACAGCGGCTGTTAAAAATTTCATTGCCAGCATTTTTGGATATATCGTTGCTGTAATTTTCTACTTTGCCATCACACAAAAGGTTCTCCAATATTAAAGCTGACCAGTTAGCTAGACGAGCAGAAGTGGGAAAATCAATTTTCCATTCACCATGAAATCGCATAATTTTTCTCATGCTATAACTTTACAACTCTTAGCCGTATTTTTTGCAATATGAATGCGACAATATGTTCACTTTTTGGTGGATTTAATCACTTAATATATAACTGTATGTATTTTTGACTGTTTAATCACACTAGAATAGCTTATTATTTAACGGAAAATTTAAATTTGAAAACGTCTTTCAGTCATCCATTAGTTTATTTAATTTCAGTTCAAATATTTTGAATTTAAAGAGTACGTTAAAAATCAAAAAGTCATCATTTTAAAAATTGATCGAAGCCATAATGCAGGAATGCGCTTAATACATCCATTCTGGATGACATTTTTACATAAATTCTTTTCCTTATCAAAAAGGTTTATTCCGTAAGTTTTCTGTCGTGTTTTTAATTTACTTATAATATCAACTCACTTATATTAAAAATATACATTCTTATACGTATTGTGTAATATAGACCTAAGGTTTAAAGGAAAAATAATTATATCCATAGGGGCCATTCACTTATTACGTAACGCTTTTAGGGGGGGAGGGGGGTCTAAGATTTTGTTACGGTTCAAACAAGGAAATTTTTTTTTCATACAAATTTTGTTACGAGGGGGGGGGGGGGGGTCTAAAAAGTCATTTTTTCGCGTTACGTAATAAGTGAACAGCCCCATAAGAATTAAAGTTTTTTTTTTGTTTTAATGTATGTACATCCCACACAAATAATGAAAAATTGCCTTAAAACTATTCAAATTTAAATGCTTTTGGACGTACTTTTTTGCACATTGCACGCAATTAATTATTTCCCTATCATAATAATCTTAACGTAATAATAGAGTTGTTTAATTAAGTTGTAAATAAGGCAAGAAATGTTCCCCATAGTGCAGCAAATCAGTAATGATAATGAATTATTATTCTGTATTAATTCGTTGGAATACATTAATCAAATATAACGTAACGTGCTATTTTATTGTGGAAAGACGAAAATGTTTTCGTTATTTGCCATTTCTCCTTTTTCAAGTCAATACTAATAAAAAGTCATGAGAAAGCTCAACAGTTTTTATTTATTTATTTTTGCAACAAACAAGGAATCTAACTTTATTAACTTTTCATAATATTAAATACATGCTGAACATATCAAAATAAAGTTTGAGAGGAAGGTAAAATAAAAAAATCATAGCTTAACTTAGTTCAAAATTTGATAATTGAAGATCTTGTAGCTCATTACGAGCACGAAAATATCCAGTGTCATGAGGATCGTCTAATGATGGCACAAATGGAGGTTCCATGTTCCTTATGTCATCAAAGTTGATTGACTCGAAGAATTTCAGTCTTTTACATTCATCAGCACCTGGACGTTCTGTTGGATTTGCAGTCAGTAATGCATTAACGGCTTCCATGGCTTCATCTGACAGTGCTTCATCATCAATTGGAAATTCGAGGTCTGCAATTGGGTATAATTAATTAAATTAAATTTAAATACTCGGATTAAACATCAGATTAGCAGCAAATCTTGGGATTAAAACATTCAATCACACTTACTATGCTGTAAAATATTCTCAAACACTTTAATCGGCGTTTCATCATTAAATGGCGGAATTCCTGTCATGAACTCATAGAGACAAACTCCTAAAGCCCACCAATCGACTTCACAACCATGTCCTTTCCTATAAAAAAAGTACAATAAAGATTTTTAAATCTTTTCTACTATCCTTTAGTAGCCCATAATACTCACATCAATAATAATTCTGGTGCCAAATAGTCAGGAGTTCCAAGTATTCGTTCATCAGATTGCGCAATGTTCCCACGACGAACACTTTTTGGAGTACGAAACGGAGTTTTTGGCATTTTTGGAGTGATTTCATTTTGAATTGATGGTCGTGTTGTATTTGCATTAATTGGTGACATTGCAGGATCTTCAGACATCTTTACATACTCTAATATTTCAGTTTTTCGCTGTTGTTCAATTGAAGAGTGAGGTAAAGCAAAACGAAGCATATTCTTCTTCTTGGTACGCATGACTTTTTGACTAGAAACCGGAGTTGATACAATCACATTGGAACTAATAGCACTGATACGAATTTCTTCGTCTGGCGATGATTTCACCTTATTTATTTGATTATTCATAGATTCATTCTTTGATTTGTGTTTTTTTGGTGTGCTACTCCCAATATCCATACAATCAATTTCCTGCGTAAGACCTGTATGCGGATTGATAGGTTCTGTATCTGATGAATAATCAGTTCGTCCAGTAAGTGTACGTTTTCGTTTCATACTAGGTCGTTTAAATGGTCGCAAACCAGCACGTATTGGTGAATGAAGTTCATTAAACTTACTTGAGTCACTATAATTACTTTTTGACAAATCTGATCCTAAACTATTTGAGTTTAAGAAATTATCTACGGAAATTTCATTATTATTTTGACTAAAATCACTTTTGCGACTTGATATTCCAGAATCTTCATTATATCTCAACTGGCTGATACTCTTGATTGGTGGAATCGAGAAATTAAAGTTCTTTGAATTTTCCTTATCGCTGTCGGAATCAAGCTGTATTCGTATATCATTTGAAGAAGCTGTAATGTAAACATTTGAGCTAGCGTTTGATCCTTCAGCTGTACTATAGCTTGAACATGATTCAATTGTCTTACTGAATTTATTCGTTAATGATATGGAAATGTTGATATCTTCTGCTGAGAAAAATGGCGATACACCTGATATTTTACTGTCATTTGATGGATCTGATTGCGAATTATCAAATTCGTCATTTTTCATATCAATTCTTGAAGCTATATATCTTTTTTCAGATGATCCAAATGACAGGTGAGACGTCAATGAAAGAAGCTGTCCAGGTGTTCGTGTTTGCAAATTGTTTGGCGATGTATTTATCAAATCCGAGATTTCCAAGTCCCGTCGGACATCAATTTTACTCAATCCAAAATCGGTAAGTTTAACATGTCCATCGCCACTAATCAACATATTATCCCTATGAAATAAAATGAACCGTTATGAAATTTAAGAGAAATTGATAAGTTGACAAAAAATATCTTACGGTTTTATGTCACGATGAATTATTCCATGTTGATGAAGATATTGAAGTGCCAATAGCACTTCTGCACAATAGAATCTTGCAGATGACTCATCGAAAAATCCATAAACTGCCAACAATGATTTTATATCGCCACCAACCATGTATTCCTGTGAATTCAGTTAAAAACGAACGTGTTTGAACATGTTATAATAAGAAGGGAATATGAAAGAATTTACCATGACTAAATAAACTGATGAAATTGTTTGCAAGGAATAAAACAACTTAACACAGAATGGCGATTGAGACAGTGCTAGAACATTCCGTTCAGCTATTACTTGTGCTACTAAATTTTTATGTATCATCTCAGACTTTTTCATTACCTGAAATTAAATGTTTATTTGATATTACGTGACAAAGTACACAAACATACTCATTACATACTTTTATTGCAAACAACTGATCCGGTTTGGTATTTTTGTAGCCCAAGAAGACTTTTCCAAATGCTCCGCGTGAGATAGGCTTGATGATGCAAAAGTCAAGAATTGAAGGCGTTTTTGTGAACGATAATGTCGCTGCTATTTGACACTAAATTGGTATTATGGAGATAATTACTACTTTGATGATTGAAATGACTAGACAATGTAATGTGTATTTTTGAGGAGCAACTATTTGAACTATTTGAACTGGATGGGGTCCAATTATTGACGTGTTTTATGACCTTTGGATTATTGAGATAATATTTCTCTAATCATGGGTTCTAGATAGCTTGTTCTGCATCATTAACTCTATCAGTTCCTTCATGAATCTTTAAAAACATTCATTTTCAAAATCAAAGATAATACTTTCGAACAAATTTATGCATATATGACACATGGGAGATTATCTAGACATAACAATATGCTAATCAGTCACAAAAAATAACATCCAGCATATCACATATTCAAAACAACCAGTACAATTTGAAGATCAGAAAATAAACGTGTGTGTTTAGGATATTAGCAAATTTTAAGAGTTCTATAGCTTATTAAGTGTACTAGACTATCAAAAAGTGGACTAATGAAGTGTTACTTACAGTAGAATCGTTTCTAGCAGCCGTAAATTGATTAATTTTATTAAATATAGACACATTTGATTTACTTTCATTGTGATTATGTGAAATGTCCTTTTCTGATAACTGTGAGGATGATTCGTCACGTGAACTATCCATTATCAAGCATTAAATATAATTAAAACAGATAGAACACAATTATTTTCCACTTTTTTCAATAATTTTTCACTTTATAAAAATTTAAAAAATTTCTCCAACTGACATTTTCAAAGGGTTCAAAATATAAAACTACGAACCAGAGTATGCACCTTTATATAACTTGGTACTACTGGAAGTAAGTTACAGTAAGTTTTCAATTTAAATAATTTTGAAAAATCATCAAAAATCTGCATCATTTGAGTTTTTAATGTCAGTTGACTTTTTAAATAAAATTCTTATTGAACATTATTGACAAGAAATGCCAATGACCAGCTCTGGATCAAAACAATAACAACAAAAATAATAAAAAGGATGTGAAACTACGAAAACCTGACAAAAAATAGTTTGCTTAGAAAAATAACTTAATTCTCAGTTTATTATAACAAACACGATTAAATCGTTGTTAAAAGAGATATTTAATTAAAGTTTATTGGGAAGCAAATAGAAGAGGTCTAATTGTTATTGTTTTTGCTCAATTTACGCAAAACTGTCCAATGAAATAGGAATTTTATGCAAAAAAAGACAATTGTTTGAGAAAAAAGAATTGTAAAAAATTAAAACCTCAAAATACGCGAGTTTATAGAGGACATTTGGTTAATTATAGTGTATAAAAGAGCGTATTAAAGACTTAACTTATAATACGCAAAAGTGATTATTGTAAATCCCATTGTGTGAAGAAGAAATTGTTAACTAGGTTAAAAGGAGTAAAATTCAATTCACGAAAATCATCAGAAAAACTTTGTTGCTTGCTTGCTTCCTTCTATTCTATAAGGTCAGTATTTATTTATTTTCTATGATATTTTAAATCGTTGGATGTCGTATTGATTTTGTTAAAAACTGATCTATGACAGAATTTCCTCAGTCTAAAGGTTGTTTAAAGGAATTTATTTCCAAAAAAAAAAATAGAAGCGGTAGGCAGTCACAGTATAAAAATATTCCAGCTCATACATTTGAAAGTGAAAGCAGACCAATTAGCAAAAAAAAAAAAAAATCACCAAAAACGAATTTGCATAGTTTTTTTATGCTTAAAATTATGCTACACAGCACCAAATAGATAGTTTAAAGAATTTACTGTGACGAAAATTGTATTGAGAGATTACACTATTTATCTCTATTTCTTATTGGCACGTACGTATGTTGTAAACATGAGTTTTCTTTCCTACTTGACTCATTTCTGTTTTCCATCTTTATATATTATTTTCAATGTTTCGTTGATCATTAGAGATATCCAAGCAATGTTAAAGAGAGTCTAATAAGTCTCACGAAAGTAGAGAAGAATGTTAGAAACGAAAGGTGTATAGAGAGGAATAAAAAGTAAGCATAAATATGTAACTGTTTATGCTCACTGTTTTCTCTCAAATGAAATGTTATCAACATCAGTAAAATGCTTGCCTTTGTTTTCAATTCACAATCCACAAGCTAGTAATAACTCAATAATTCTAATGGATATATGTATATTTGTATTTTTCTCGTCCAATTTTAGGGTGAATAAGAAGAAGTGAACTTTATTTTACACATCTATAGTTTATTAATGAAAATAATGAAGTAAAGCAAACGAGCGATGGATAAATCTTCAAAAAAGCATAATCATAATAAATTTGGAGATACTGATAAGAACAATAAAATGAGAAATGTACAAAATGGTTTCCATGAATCTGGATCTGATAGTGAAATATATGAGGATGTACAGCGTGACGTGAATCGATCATATAAAAATCATCGGGGACCGCCTGCAAAGCCTGAAACTGAAGACGAGGAGGAAGCAGAAGAAGTTATTGAAATCGATTCAGAAGATAGCCGTGATGGATACAGAAACAACAATAATGAAGAATCATCACCAGATCGACAACGAGCTTATGAACAAAACAACAACAATGAATCGGAACGAGAAAGTACTTCAAGTGATGTCGTTATCGTGTCTGATGATTTTCAGAGGTTCTATGAAGACATTGAGCAATCATCTAAGATAGTGTCAACAGGTAGATTAAATTCAAATCCTCCCGTAATTGGTGTAGTTTTTGACAGAAAATTTTCTATCAATAACGCTATAGTGCAATTAAATCCAGAAGATAAGGTCAACAAGAATGACTTTAAAATCCTTAAATTACTCGGAACTGGCGCTTATGGAAAAGTGTTTCTAGTTGAGAAAATCGGTGGCGTTGATAATGGACAACTTTATGCTATGAAGGTTCTAGAAAAAAGCAAAGTTACACTAAAGAAAAAGACCACAGAACACACGAGGACTGAGCGTGAAGTAAGCTATAACTAAAGTTTTTATTATATCTAGAATTGTAACTTATTTCAAATGAATTTTTTAGGTATTGGAAAAAGTGATTGACTGTCCGTTCCTTGCAACTTTATTTTATGCATTCCAAACACCGGAAAAGTTGTATTTAGTCATGGAATTCGTTCAAGGCGGCGAGCTATTCTCGCATCTCTACAAGACGGAAAATTTTGCCGAATCACAAGTCCGATTTTATATTGCTGAAATTATTGTGGCACTAGAACAATTGCATGAGGTAAAAAAAGCGTGTAAAAAATAGCTTAGATCAGCTTAAAATTGTCAGTTAATGAAAATTTAATATTCTTGTTTTGCAGTACAACATAATTTATAGAGATATCAAATTGGAGAATATATTGTTAGACAAGGAAGGACACATAATTATAACAGATTTTGGTCTTTCGAAGGAGCTTAAGGATGGCGCACGAGCTTATAGCTATTGCGGAACAATAGAATACATGGCTCCAGGTAATTGTATCTTTTAATGACTATTAATAATTGGATTGAGTCTTAATGCCTCTTTGTTTCTTTCGTTTTTAGAAATTGTCAATCCAAATTGTGGTCACGACTTGAATGTTGATTGGTGGAGTGTAGGAGTCTTGATAATTGAATTGCTTACTGGACAGTCTCCATTCTCACGTGAAGGCGAAGAAAGCAATCAACAAGTCATTTCCGAACGTATTCAAAACAGTCCACCAACTATTCCTGAAATTGTAAGCTCTCTCTCTCTCTCTCTCACTCTTTTTATGTTTTGCTGGATATTTTGTATTAATTAAATTAAATTTTTGCTGCTAGATTGGACCAGAAGCTAAAGATTTAATACTTAAGTTGTTGGAGAAAGATCCAAGGAAGCGATTAGGCTCAAAGAAAGGTGCTCAAGAGATCAAGAATCATCCCTTTTTCAGGAAAATCAAATGGAATGTACTAAAAAATAAACAATATGAAGCACTGATGGTTCCAACACTAAAGGATCGTTATGATGTTAGTCAATTCTCTGAAGATTTTACAAATCAAAAAGCCATAGACGGTCCAGCTGAAAACGGACCGCCAGTCGGGCCTCGTGCAACTCGCTACTTTAGAGGTAATTTTCACTTTTGCTCATTGGCAATTGTCAAGACATTGAGACATTTTTGTTTACAAATAAAAAATTAGCAATAATATGGCAACTTTATTAACAACAAAAATTCTCTTCCCGAAAACAGGTTATTCATTTGTTGCTCCTCATTTGCGAAAAAGCGTTTATATGCTAGATTTAAATATTGCAAGCAAGCCAGAGATGAATCAGCCAACTTTAGAAGATGTTTACAGCATGCAGCGCAGGGTAAATTACATTTTCTCATTCCATTAAATTTGTTTACTTTAATTTACTCAATTCATTCTTATTCTTCATTTTCAGTCAAAATCTCCATTTTTCAAAAAGTATCGTATACAAGAAGATTCGGAGCTGCTGGGTGATGGAACGTATTCGCTTTGTGTTAAATGCTTTTCAATTGAAGACGGTCAGGAATATGCAGTAAAGATAGTTAAGCTGGATCACGATTCATCGCAGGAATTTGAGGCATTAGAAATGTGTCAAGGACATAAGAATGTTGTCAAGCTGATTGAGAAAATAAGTGACAAGAAATTTACTTATATTGTCTGTGAGCTTCTTGATGGCGGTGAATTATTCAATCGAATTCGTCATAATGGATATTTATCGGAAACGCTTGCACGACTTTATTTCAAACAGATTGTTGACGTTGTCTCATTTATGCACTCAAAATCGATTGTTCATCGTGACTTGAAGCCCGAAAACTTTGTTTTTGTTAATGATGATCCTGAATCTGACTTAAAACTTCTTGATTTTGGATTTGCATGCCATGAAACGACAGATGAGACTCCACCGTGCTTTACATTGGATTATGCAGCTCCAGAAAGTTTAATTCGAAGTCCTACAAAATCTTCGCGAGATTTGTGGGCACTTGGAGTGATTTTATATACAATGTTGTGTGGAAATACGCCATTTAAGCCAACAAATAAGGACCAAGATGAACGAAATTACAGAATGCAATATACTGAGAATATACGTAGAGCATTCTACAATATAAGCAATGAACGTTGGAGTCATATTTCACGTCAGGTAAAAGATCTTATTGCAAGTTTATTGGTCGTCAATGAATCAAATAGATTGACATTAAAAGAATTAAAAGATCATCCGTGGATGAATCCAGTAGAGAAATTTAAGCCAAGTGAAAAAGATCCAACAAAAATATTTCATCGTGCTGAATCTGAAGATACAGTCATTAATGATGATATTGATGACGATGACTATAACGATGACTATAATAATGTAACAGTTAAAATTAATAATGATGATGAAATCACTCAATTGCCTGAAAATCGTGAAGAGACACGATCAAATGATGACAGTAGTAGTGGAATTGTCATGTCCGAACGAAATGAAGGATCATCGTCAGTAAGTAGTCATCACGAGGAATTGGACGAAAATGTCGTTCAAGTATTTGATGAGTATAAGCCAACAGAAAAAGAAGAAAAAGTGATGCAGGAAAATCACAATGAATTTATTGCAGTGCAAGAAGAACCAGAAAACCTTAGCATGAAGGAAGAAGTTATGCCTGAAAACAGTGAGGTTGACAATGAAAATAAAGAAATGCCAATTGACACGAATGAATCATCAGAATCTATCAAAAAATCTAAATCTATTAAGAGAACTATTCCAAAGCACAGAAAGAAGAAAATCACCAAGAAAAAGACTGATTGTGAGACAGAAACAGGAATGGAGAAGGTTATTGTTACGACGGCGTCAATTGATGATAATAAAAGTGCTGGGAATAAGGTCGAAAATAAAGAGGAAGAGATAAAAATACAAAAGTTAGAAGAATCGCCACTTCCGAGACATATTTCAGGTGATATTGAGGAGAAGTTTACAGGATATGATGACAATTTAGTTGATGGATATCCAAATATTGGTTTTATGGATCAAAAGGAAGATGTAACCTTAATATTGTTTGGTAATTTGTTTAGTAAGTGTAATGAAAAGTCACTTCAAGAAAATCCTAAAGTATTACAAGTGATAAAGCCACCAAATAAACGTGGTCGAAGAAAACTATCTGGTCCATCAGTTAAATCCGTACAAAGCACCACAAAAAATAATGCAAGACTATTAAGTGCTAAAACAGAGCCAGCAAAGAAACGAGGCAGAAAACCTAAGGACGATATTAATTGTGTTATTCAGACACAGACGTTAGTTGATATCAATACAAGTAATAATGAATCAGATAGAAGAACAAGATTACGACGAAAATGTGCAGACGATAAAGTCATTAGATATGATCAAGTCATTATTAATGTTGAGAGTTATCCACAACAAAAACGTGCACGAAAGAAAACTGCTGAAAATGTCAAGCCAATGATTGCTGTTATTAAGGAAGAAGCTGTTTTACCGACTAAACGAGGTCGTAAGCGTAAGAATGAAGGCATGACTGAACAAAAGCGATCACCACAGAAGCGACGAAAGATTCAGGAAAATAAAATTATTAATATTAAAGCTGAAAAGAATCCACGACCAAATATCAATGAGTACACAATTCCTACCTATCCTTCATATGCTATTCAGACGCCACAATTTACAAGACGACCTTTTATTAAAACAGAATCAATTTTTACGCCATCAGTCGTGATACATCATCAAGATCAAAACTATTCAGGACGTTCCTACAACATATCAGAATATGTCGATAATAAGAATCGACACTCGATGATTCAATGCACGATTAAGACACCAATCAGTTGTGGCATAAAGAATGAAAAGTTTGAAAAGTCGCCAATTAAGCAGTATGGTGTGATTCCTAGCAGGAGAATGCCAAGGAAACATTAATGAATGAGAGGCATCCTTTTGTGTACATAAGTCATTATCTGTCTGTTTCTTATATATGTATTTTTTGGAACAATGATTTTTTTTTAATTATTTCATTTTGGATTTCTTGAGTTAATTTTTATTAAGTCAAATGCTTAGTTCCATTTACAATACATACAAAAATGAATGATGAGAGGAAGTAATGAAATGAATTATATAGATTGTCTAAGTGCACTTAAAAATTTAAGATCTACATACATAAATTATATTGAACCTTTTATTAATTTCCTTACTATTCCTTTTTACCACCTTCAAAAATTGATGAATGTTGAATGAATCATCAGACATACTTGTTTCCTTTTATTTTTTATTACTTAAACTATTATTAACCTTTTTTTGAATTTCATGAATCCTTTTTAGAATTATAAATAAAAAAAAAAATCTATTAATAATAGATGAGAATACAAAATAAATAAAAAAATTGTTTACACAAAAACCTTTTTTGCCTTATTCCTAATTACCTACTATTTCAAGACATTCTGTGTTTAACGGGTCAAAATACTAGTTTTTTGCAGCTATAAAAGCCAAAACTTGACGAGAACGAGCTCACTTTGTGTTGTGCTGTCAAACTATCATCACTCATCAAATATAACAAAAAGGTACTTAACCAATTAAAAACAAAATGGCAGGCGGACGTGGAAAACCAAAAAAGGAACCAAAGCAACAAAAGATCCAGGAACCAGAACCCCAAGAAGAAACAAGTGAGGAGGAACAAGAAAATGAGAGTGGTATAATCGAATCTAATGTTGACATGTCGATTGGCGAAACTGAGGATATTGAACAAGACCCAGAGGAAATGGAAACTGAATCCGAGGAAGAACCAATGGAACCTCCAAAGACTGTAGTTATCAAGACCGATAAAAAAGTTGCAGGCAGAAAGAAGAAAGTTCAAAAAGTTTTAGAAGAAAGCAAGAAAAAGAGCAAGAATGATGGAAAAAACAAAAATAGTATAGTATTTTCCAGATACATACATCAAGTGCTCAATCAAGTCCATCCAGAGAGGACTATTTCAAGTAAAGCAATGAACATAATGAACAACTTTGTTTGTGACATGTTTGAACGCATTGCCAATGAATCTTCGAGCTTAACAAAACTTGGCAAGAATCTTACAATGTCAAGTCGTGAAATTCAAACTAGCGTGCGATTATTGCTGCCAGGTGATTTTTATTTGTGTCGCCATGTTTAAAATATTTCTTTACTGAATCTTTGTCTATTTACAGGCGAACTGGCTAATCATGCGATGAGTGAAGGAGCTAAAGCTGTAAAATTGTACTCAATCAGCAAAGCTAAAGACAAGAAATGAAGAAGAAGAAGACTCCGAATGCCAATTTAATCAAGTTTTTTTGTAGATTTATTTATATTAAATGTGTTGAGCAGTTAAGGCCAATAGTTAATTAAGTTAAAGCAATAAAATTGATGAAACCCTAGTAAAAAACTCTTTTTATTATACACATTACGTGAATAAGCAGGATAGTCCAAAAACTAAGGTTGTGCCTGAAAATATCTGCTTGAGTTTCTATCAAAATAACGAATTTCTAAAATTCGAAACCTCATCTTTTTCAAATTTGTAACGGATAATATGAATTCAAAAATTTCATCAGAAAAAAATAATAAACAAAAGGCGTGGATCCATAAAAAATTAATTTTAGCACATTTATATTCGGGTATCTGGTTTTATAACTATGCACATTCCAAAAGTAAGTCTTGATAGATCGTTGTAAATACGAGATTTATGATTTTCTATTGTAATTATTTTTTTAATAGTGCTAAACGTAAGAATCAATGGAAAAGTCAATTTAAATCCTCATTTTGAGCAGGAAGAACGTACAGCTATGATGACACAAAAGTATCAAGCTAAACTGGATGCAAAACAATTGAAAAAGTCAAAAAATGATCCGTACGAGACAATCAAAATAATTCAGAAGAACTTAATTAGTGATTTTGATGAAATTATTGCTGAGAAGAGAATTTATGCTTACTTAATGCATACAGACATTAAAAGTCCATTATATCACATTGAAAAACTGTCGGAACTTATTGGAAAAGCAAAAGCAATCATTAAGTCAAAAGTTTATAAAATTGACCGTAGGACAGCATTACAAAAGGCTATTGATCTATTTAACAGAGTAAAGGATCGATTAAGTTCAGGATTACTTGACGATTTAAAAAACTCGTCATATAAACGACAAATAAGTGAAACTCCTAGTCAATATGAAAATTCACCGCAGCTTGAAAGGAACTTTTCAGCACAAGAAGTCTTTAGTCGTCATATTCAAGATTCAATCTATTTAAATCGACAACGATTAGGAAATGATGATCCTGACAACCTCTCAGAACCTTCACAAAAAAGTGTATCTGATTCTGGCGACGAAAAAGATTATTGTGAAAATGTTTGGTCTAGAAATCAACCATCTAGCACATCAACTCATTCATGTCAATCGATGCAAGACAACAATTATGATCCTTGGAAAAATTATGGAAGTACTCAAAACGTGTGTCATGCAACTCCTTGCATTTCACCTCCTTTACCGACAGTCACACCGCTTTATACGAATCATAAAAGTATTATTTCAGCTACACCTTGTATTTCACCACCATTGCCTCGTGTAACTCCATTATGTTCAAATTGGAATGTGCCTCGTATGCCTCAAAAATCATCATTTTCTGAAAAATCTACATTATATGATGATTTATTTTATGGACATGCTCCTACTCCAAATGTTAATTCCGATGAGATTGAAAGTATTCAGGCAACATTAGAAGGTCTGGGTAATTTTGAAAATTATGATGGAAAGTCATCAAACTCTAATGAAGACAGTGATTCTGGCACTAAACATTATTATTATGTTGACGGAGAATTGAGTGAATTTAAACATCCAAAAAATAAACCAAATCAAAGCATTGACAGCACAGAAGCATCAAAATCTGGAAGTGACGATTGGAATATCCTCAAATTGACTCAAGAAAATTTAGCAAAATTCGAAAAGGCGTTTAATCCAATTAAGAAGCTTGCAGATCAAAAGGTTAGTAAAATGTTCTTGGATGACCTCGACAAAAAACTTAAATTAATATCTAAAAAGGTTGAAGCCACTAAACGCAAGATCGATGAAGTTGATAACAAGAAAATAGACAATCGCATTCCAAAAAAGACCAAGACTGAGCCAAAGAAAGTTAAAAAGATCAAGTTGATCCGCGAAAAGAAATTGTATGTTAAGGAATCACCAGAAATTTACAAGATCCTAAAAAAGTATAAGAAGTAAGTCGCAAGTTATCTGCTGGAATTAAGTTAACTTGAAGAAATATGAATATTAAGGAAAATAACTGAATAATGAATTTAATATAATGAACTATTTTTAATTCTGAATAAAGGATTTTATTTTATTTTTAAATGCTGCCTATCTATCGCTTTTAAGACTTGAATGTTTGTTTAAATTTAAACAATTTGTTTAAATTATATAATGAAAGATTTCAAATTTGGAGAAAACTTTATAATATTTTTGTTAATTTAATTATGTTTCCGTGAATTTTTGATGGCATGAGATGCCATCTTATGGCATGACACTTATAGAAACTTTCCTGTAAATTGATAAAGTATTTTGAATTTTTAAGCAGAATTCCGAAAAATTAAACGTCATTTACTACAACAACAGTGGTACCAATTTATAGGTCTAGGGGAATTCTATAATTTCTTACCTTTTGATTTTAATTACCTAACACGAAAGTTCATTTTAGTTCAGTTTGTTCAAATCTGTATTTAAAAGCTCGCATGAATTGAAATTTCATAGAAAAATTGTTTAATTAAAATAATGGAGAAAAGAGCAGGAAATTACTACTTTTATTTGTCAGAAATTAATAAAATTAAGTCCTTCATTGCTTTCCATCAAGAATACAAGCAATTATATATTCGTAAGTTTGTAAAAAGTTATTTGACAAAAGCTTTGGGGTTAACGTCCGAAATTAACGGTCATTCTTCAAAAAAGAACAATGAATTTCCTGGAATTTCTATTGTTCTTTTCTTGCTGACCCCCCCCCCCCCCCCCACCCATATATTAGCATTCTATATCATTTATAATACCTAGATATGTTTTAAAATGCAATTTAAAGCATTTTTGGTTTCGATCATAGTAGGCTATTTTAAAAAAAATATCGATTTTATGTCTATATTAGCATTCTATATCATTTATAATACCTACATATGTTTTAAAATGGAATTTAAAGCATTTTTGGTTTCGATCATAGTAGGCTATTTTCAAAAAAATATCGATTTTATGTCTATATTAGCATTCTATATCATTTATAATACCAAGATATGTTTTAAAATGCAATTTAAAGCATTTTTGGTTTCGATCATAGTTGGCTATTTTCAAAAAAATATCGATTTTATGTCTATATTAGAATTTTATATCATTTATAATACCTAGATATGTTTTAAAATGCAATTTAAAGCATTTTTGGTTTCGATCATAGTAGGCTATTTTCAAAAAAATATCGATTTTATGTCTATATTAGCATTCTATATCATTTTTAATACCTAGATATGTTTTAAAATGCAATTTAAAGCATTTTTGGTTTCGATCATAGTAGGCTATTTTCAAAAAAATATCGATTTTATGTCTATATTAGCATTCTATATCATTTTTAATACCTAGATATGTTTTAAAATGCAATTTAAAGCATTTTTGGTTTCGATCATAGTAGGCTATTTTCAAAAAAATATCGATTTTATGTCTATATTAACATTCTATATCATTTTTAATACCTAGATATGTTTTAAAATGCAATTTAAAGCATTTTTGGTTTCGATCATAGTAGGCTATTTTCAAAAAAATATCGATTTTATGTCTATATTAGCATTCTATATCATTTATAATACCTAGATATGTTTTAAAATGCAATTTAAAGCATTTTTGGTTTCGATCATAGCAGGCTATTTTCAAAAAAATATCGATTTTATATCAAGTATTAGCATTCTATATCATTTATAATACCTAGATATGTTTTAAAATGCAATTTAAAGCATTTTTGGTTTCGATCATAGTAGGCTATTTTCAAAAAAATATCGATTTTATGTCTATATTAGCATTCTATATCATTTATAATACCTAGATATGTTTTAAAATGCAATTTAAAGCATTTTTGGTTTCGATCATAGTAGGCTATTTTCAAAAAAATATCGATTTTATGTCTATATTAGCATTCTATATCATTTATAATACCTAGATATGTTTTAAAATGCAATTTAAAGCATTTTTGGTTTCGATCATAGTAGGCTATTTTCAAAAAAAATATCGATTTTATGTCTATATTAGCATTCTATATCATTTATAATACCTAGATATGTTTTAAAATGCAATTTAAAGCATTTTTGGTTTCGATCATAGTAGGCTATTTTCAAAAAATATCGATTTTATGTCTATGTTAGTATTCTATATCATTTATAATACCTAGATATGTTTTAAAATGCAATTTAAAGCATTTTTGGTTTCGATCATAGTAGGCTATTTTCAAAAAATATCGATTTTATGTCTATATTAGCATTCTATATCATTTATAATACCTAGATATGTTTTAAAATGCAATTTAAAGCATTTTTGGTTTCGATCATAGTAGGCTATTTTCAAAAAAATATCGATTTTATGTCTATATTAGCATTCTATATCATTTATAATACCTAGATATGTTTTAAAATGCAATTTAAAGGATTTTTGGTTTCGATCATAGTAGGCTATTTTCAAAAAAATATCGATTTTATGTCTATATTAGCATTCTATATCATTTATAATGCCTAGATATGTTTTAAAATGCAATTTAAAGCATTTTTGGTTTCGATCATAGTAGGCTATTTTCAAAAAATATCGATTTTATGTCTATGTTAGTATTCTATATCATTTATAATACCTAGATATGTTTTAAAATGCAATTTAAAGCATTTTTGGTTTCGATCATAGTAGGCTATTTTCAAAAAAATATCGATTTTATGTCTATATTAGCAATCTATATCATTTATAATACCTAGATATGTTTTAAAATGCAATTTAAAGCATTTTTGGTTTCGATCATAGTAGGCTTTTTTCAAAAAAATATCGATTTTATGTCTATATTAGCATTCTATATCATTTATAATACCTACAGTAGCGTCCAAAAGTTTAGAAACAGTCTCAATTTTGTTGAATTTTATCAAAAAAACATACTTAAACATAAGCAAATAAGCTCAAATTTTCACCAACTGTGTAGTTTTTGCTATATTTTAATTCAATAAAAACATTTTGTATTATAATTAAGTATTTCAAAAATTACCGTTAAAATTCAAAATGGCTGTCGTCCAAAAGTTTGGAAACGATTTTATGATAATTTATTTTAAAGCTTTATACCAGGGCTCGTGAGGAGTAAAAAACATTTTGATTTTCTGAAATCTGTTATTTGTGTGATTGAAAAAAATCATGATTTTTCAAATCCTACGTAAATCTTCACATAGGATTTCCTTACGTAGACAAAATCTCAACGTAATGATTTTCATTACGAATTCAAAATCTTTCCGTTAGGATTTAACCTACGTGAATTTGTAATTGTTTACATTTTTTGGAAACTGATTGTTTTTATTGAAACTTGACAAAATTAATGCCTTAAGGACATCAAATATATTGATATACTACAAAGATTGACTTATGAGCTCGGAATAGCAAAGATAAATATATTTTAATACGGATTGTTTAAATATGTCAAAATCATCAACAGATGCCGAAACTCTAGGCTGTATGCAGCATTTCATAATTTTTTCTAACACAGCTGCTTCGTTACTTCTTTCAGATCCAGTTGGAAGTTGATCTTCATCCAAATACATGTCGAATTCTGTAATATTGGAATTTAAATGGGCTTGCTCAGCTGTTTTTGGATCATTTGAAATGAAAGTTTCAAGTTTCAATAAAAACAATCAGTTTCCAAAAAATGTAAACAATTACAAATTCACGTAGGTTAAATCCTAACGGAAAGATTTTGAATTCGTAATGAAAATCATTACGTTGAGATTTTGTCTACGTAATGAAATCCTATGTGAAGATTTACGTAGGATTTGAAAAATCATGATTTTTTTCAATCACACAAATAACAGATTTCAGAAAATCAAAATGTTTTTTACTCCTCACGAGCCCTGCTTTATACTTAATTTAGGTATAATTTATAACTCAAAACATAAAATTTGGACTTTATTCTTGGTTTTAAAACAAAAAAGTATGTTCAAATCGGTTCCTTTCATGATTTATTTTCGATTTCAAAATGGCTGACATTTTTATATGATATTAATCAAAATTAACACTTTAAGCAAACTTTTTTCTAAAGTTTAAATGCTTATTGCATAGTTTTTTACAATATCTTTCAGAAAATATATAGTTTATTATGTTTTGGTGAGTTTTGAAGTCGAATTTAAAAAAAAATACTTTTTTGGAGAGAAAAATTTGCTGCTTAGAAAAGTTCGAGATAATTTAATTAATTAAATACCAACAAACTATTCCACATTTTGGTACCAATTTATTGCATTTCAATTCTCCTTTACGTTTTTGTATGATTTCGTTAACATATTTCAAGGATAAAACGTTTATTTAACTATTCTTTAACCTACAACAGACAACCTTGAACGACGCAAAATGTTTTTGCAAAAAATTGTTGAAATTTACTATCAATTTTATTGCAAAATGACTAAAATGTATTAACATAACATTCTTTTGATGAATTAAACAAAACATGTTAAATTAATTATGGAAATAAGAAATTTTTTGCAAAAACATTTTGCGTCGTTCAAGGTTGTCTGTTGTAGGTTAAAGAATAGTTAAATAAAAGTTTTATCCTTGAAATATGTTAACGAAATCATACAAAAACGTAAAGGAGAATTGAAATGCAATAAATTGGTACCAAAATGTGGAATAGTTTGTTGGTATTTAATTAATTAAATTATCTCGAACTTTTCTAAGCAGCAAATTTTTCTCTCCAAAAAAGTATTTTTTTTTAAATTCGACTTCAAAACTCACCAAAACATAATAAACTATATATTTTCTGAAAGATATTGTAAAAAACTATGCAATAAGCATTTAAACTTTAGAAAAAAGTTTGCTTAAAGTGTTAATTTTGATTAATATCATATAAAAATGTCAGCCATTTTGAAATCGAAAATAAATCATGAAAGGAACCGATTTGAACATACTTTTTTGTGTTAAAACAAAGAATAAAGTCCAAATTTTATGTTTTGAGTTATAAATTATACCTAAATTAAGTATAAAGCTTTAAAATAAATTATCATAAAATCGTTTCCAAACTTTTGGACGACAGCCATTTTGAATTTTAACGGTAATTTTTGAAATACTTAATTATAATACAAAATGTTTTTATTGAATTAAAATATAGCAAAAACTACACAGTTGGTGAAAATTTGAGCTTATTTGCTTATGTTTAAGTATGTTTTTTTTAATAAAATTCAACAAAATTGAGACTGTTTCTAAACTTTTGGACGCTACTGTAGATATGTTTTAAAATGCAATTTAAAGCATTTTTGGTTTCGATCATAGCAGGCTATTTTCAAAAAAATATCGATTTTATATCAAGTATTAGCATTCTATATCATTTATAATACCTAGATATGTTTTAAAATGCAATTTAAAGCATTTTTGGTTTCGATCATAGTAGGCTATTTTCAAAAAATATCGATTTTATGTCTATGTTAGTATTCTATATCATTTATAATACCTAGATATGTTTTAAAATGCAATTTAAAGCATTTTTGGTTTCGATCATAGTAGGCTTTTTTCAAAAAAATATCGATTTTATGTCTATATTAGCATTCTATATCATTTATAATACCTAGATATGTTTTAAAATGCAATTTAAAGCATTTTTGGTTTCGATCATAGTAGGCTATTTTCAAAAAAATATCGATTTTATGTCTATATTAGCATTCTATATCATTTATAATACCTAGATATGTTTTAAAATGCAATTTAAAGCATTTTTGGTTTCGATCATAGCAGGCTATTTTCAAAAAAATATCGATTTTATATCAAGTATTAGCATTCTATATCATTTATAATACCTAGATATGTTTTAAAATGCAATTTAAAGCATTTTTGGTTTCGATCATAGTAGGCTATTTTCAAAAAAATATCGATTTTATGTCTATATTAGCATTCTATATCATTTATAATACCTAGATATGTTTTAAAATGCAATTTAAAGCATTTTTGGTTTCGATCATAGTAGGCTATTTTCAAAAAAATATCGATTTTATGTCTATATTAGCATTCTATATCATTTATAATACCTAGATATGTTTTAAAATGCAATTTAAAGCATTTTTGGTTTCGATCATAGTAGGCTTTTTTCAAAAAAATATCGATTTTATGTCTATATTAGCATTCTATATCATTTATAATACCTAGATATGTTTTAAAATGCAATTTAAAGCATTTTTGGTTTCGATCATAGCAGGCTATTTTCAAAAAAATATCGATTTTATATCAAGTATTAGCATTCTATATCATTTATAATACCTAGATATGTTTTAAAATGCAATTTAAAGCATTTTTGGTTTCGATCATAGTAGGCTATTTTCAAAAAAATATCGATTTTATGTCTATATTAGCATTCTATATCATTTATAATACCTAGATATGTTTTAAAATGCAATTTAAAGCATTTTTGGTTTCGATCATAGTAGGCTATTTTCAAAAAAATATCGATTTTATGTCTATATTAGCATTCTATATCATTTATAATACCTAGATATGTTTTAAAATGCAATTTAAAGCATTTTTGGTTTCGATCATAGCAGGCTATTTTCAAAAAAATATCGATTTTATATCAAGTATTAGCATTCTATATCATTTATAATACCTAGATATGTTTTAAAATGCAATTTAAAGCATTTTTGGTTTCGATCATAGTAGGCTATTTTCAAAAAATATCGATTTTATATCAAGTATTAGCATTCTATATCATTTATAATACCTAGATATGTTTTAAAATGCAATTTAAAGCATTTTTGGTTTCGATCATAGTAGGCTATTTTCAAAAAAATCTCGATTTTATGTCTATATTAGCATTCTATATCATTTATAATACCTAGATATGTTTTAAAATGCAATTTAAAGCATTTTTGGTTTCGATCATAGTAGGCTATTTTCAAAAAAATATCGATTTTATGTCTATATTAGCATTCTATATCATTTATAATACCTAGATATGTTTTAAAATGCAATTTAAAGCATTTTTGGTTTCGATCATAGTAGGCTATTTTCAAAAAAATATCGATTTTATGTCTATATTAGCATTCTATATCATTTATAATACCTAGATATGTTTTAAAATGCAATTTAAAGCATTTTTGGTTTCGATCATAGTAGGCTATTTTCAAAAAAATATCGATTTTATGTCTATATTAGCATTCTATATCATTTATAATACCTAGATATGTTTTAAAATGCAATTTAAAGCATTTTTGGTTTCGATCATAGTAGGCTTTTTTCAAAAAAATATCGATTTTATGTCTATATTAGCATTCTATATCATTTATAATACCTAGATATGTTTTAAAATGCAATTTAAAGCATTTTTGGTTTCGATCATAGCAGGCTATTTTCAAAAAAATATCGATTTTATATCAAGTATTAGCATTCTATATCATTTATAATACCTAGATATGTTTTAAAATGCAATTTAAAGCATTTTTGGTTTCGATCATAGTAGGCTATTTTCAAAAAAATATCGATTTTATGTCTATATTAGCATTCTATATCATTTATAATACCTAGATATGTTTTAAAATGCAATTTAAAGCATTTTTGGTTTCGATCATAGTAGGCTATTTTCAAAAAAATATCGATTTTATGTCTATATTAGCATTCTATATCATTTATAATACCTAGATATGTTTTAAAATGCAATTTAAAGCATTTTTGGTTTCGATCATAGCAGGCTATTTTCAAAAAAATATCGATTTTATATCAAGTATTAGCATTCTATATCATTTATAATACCTAGATATGTTTTAAAATGCAATTTAAAGCATTTTTGGTTTCGATCATAGTAGGCTATTTTCAAAAAATATCGATTTTATATCAAGTATTAGCATTCTATATCATTTATAATACCTAGATATGTTTTAAAATGCAATTTAAAGCATTTTTGGTTTCGATCATAGTAGGCTATTTTCAAAAAAATCTCGATTTTATGTCTATATTAGCATTCTATATCATTTATAATACCTAGATATGTTTTAAAATGCAATTTAAAGCATTTTTGGTTTCGATCATAGTAGGCTATTTTCAAAAAAATATCGATTTTATGTCTATATTAGCATTCTATATCATTTATAAAACCTAGATATGTTTTAAAATGCAATTTAAAGCATTTTTGGTTTCGATCATAGTAGGCTATTTTCAAAAAAATATCGATTTTATGTCTATATTAGCTTTCTATATCATTTATAATACCAAGATATGTTTTAAAATGCAATTTCTGGCCCATAGTGCAATAATATGCAGAAAAGTATCGAATCTAGTGGTCCAAATCTCACAATTTCTATCCAATCGCCCGGAAGCCTTAATATTCAGCTTGTTTCAAACATTAGTGGCAGTTCCAGCAACAGTCCAATTGTTATTAACACTTATAAAAACGTAGAATCTCATGGTAGCAATTCATCTTTTTATCAAAGTCCCGTTCAAAATTCTACTTTAATGAGTATTTCACGCAGCAGTTACAAGCGCAGTTTAGACGAATCTGAAGAAGACATTAATTCAAATCCTTTATTTCTAGATACTTAACTGTTTTTTTTATAACGTATACGTTTGTTTCAAGTTTTGCAGACCAATTTTGAGACGCTGAATAATACAATTGACTATAAGCCTTCTTATATACCATTTAAGTTATTGAAATCCATTACAACTAGTTCCAAAAGCTTTACAGAGAACAATGAAGTTCAACAAACTGCTTACATAAACTATTCACAACCTTATAACTGTCTACTAGACAAATTCTTAATCCGAGGATTTATTTAAATTTTGGTCAGTTTTGGTCACTTGCACCAACATGTCTGAATTGACGAAAATAGATGAAAAAGTAAAGGAAATCGCAAATGAGCAGAAAGTTATTGACAGCTTAATTCCTTGAATAGCGGTTACTTTTTAACCACAATTGAAAATAAAATATGCCAAATTCGATTAAAAAAAATAAGTCTATCAAGCTTTATTCAACGCTCATTATTGTTGTTACATTCTCAACATAGATATGGCATTTAAAAGAAGGCAAAAAAAAATAAAATGCTATGATTAGATTAAAAGCAGCAGATATACAGAACTGATTATATAACAAAATCATGAGAAATTACTTAAAGGATAGATAAAAATCTGTTCTATATGGAATCGAATATAATCTAATTAAATATATGTTATTGGATTTATATCCAAGCTACAGTCTAAGGTTAATCAAATAGACATGTTAAAAAAACTTAATTAATTAATCGAACGAGATTTGATGTCGTCGCATGGACTTTTTAGACGAAGAACGAGGCGTTCGGTGCTTTTTTGTACTTGATTTTTTCGGTGTCTTGCTGTTTCGTCGTGGCGTGTTGCTTTGTGACAAAACTTTTCGGTTTCTTGGCGATGCAATTTCATTAAGGACATCCGATTTAAGCAGATTCACTCTATTGCTACGGTTGTCAGTAGCATTTTCCTTAATTGTTTTAAGTACAGGAGATTGAGTTGATATCCTTAAATTCATTCGACGATTTATACCAGGCGATCTTGAACTTCTTCGTGGACTATGTGTCGAATTCGATGACACTTGATTTTGTGTCATATCCATATTCATATTCTTTATATTCTCAAGTTTTTTATTAATTATGACACGAGGAATTTTAATTGATCGATCGACACTTTTTGTCAAGTCAGCAGACAAGTCATCAAATAATTTCGCCTTTTGAGCGACCATGCCAGCATTTTGATTTCTTATTTGAATAATAGAGGCTCGTCCTTCGCGTGATTCATTGCTCATTGATGGAGTTAACATCATTGTTCTATTCGTTGACGGTGTTTTTTTATCGCTCATTGGTGTGTACTTCCGGTTGGGAGTTATTTTCGGTGGCAGCATTGGAGTCTTGTTCATGTCAAATTCATTAGCAACAGTAAATTTCCTATTCGGTCGATTTGGTGTCTTAAACATTATGTCCGGTACTTTGTTTTCATTCTCATTACTTGAAATACTTTTTGTATTGTTGAAAAAATCCGTTGCAGGCATCCAAACTTCTGATGCAATTTGATTAACATTTAAGCTTATTGACTTTCTGGCTGGTTTTTCAGGCTTAACTTTTTCTATTGACTGTGGAATTATTGGCAGTGTCTTTGTTTCTTGAATAAGTCCAGAATCGACTAAACGTGCTCGTTTTAAAGTTGGTTTTGGATAGAAACTTAATGATGAGGTCAAAGTCTTATTTTTCTCTGGACTTTCTTCAACTTTTGGATTTAAGGCAGATGGACCTAAATGCCATGACTGAGTACGAGATAATCTCGTGGTTTTCTCTTGACGTCTTCGTAAACTTCCAATTTTACGTGCACTTGGTGATCGAATGACTGGATTTTCAAGCTGTGGACGAATCTTTAATTCACGACTTAGACGTTTTGCAAGCTGTTCAGTTTTTCGTTCTGAATCACCAATCTTTTCAACTTCATGCAAAGTCTCATGAAATTTATTTTCAACTTGCTGTGGTCCATTAAATTTTTTCTTGCCCAATTCAGCTTTAACTGAATTAAGTTTGACTATATTAAACTCGTGCGTTATTTTTGTCTCAATGCAATTTAATCGTGTCTTGAATGCTTCATATTCACTTTTTGGAACTCGCACATATTCTTCATATCGACGATTAAGTACTGTCTCATTAGTTTTGTTCTCCTGTAAAGGTACAACTTGTTTATTTCTCGTAAGCGTATTTGGTGCCAAACTATGACGTCGTACCTTTGGCGATACATTTGACTGATTTACTTCCCCTAAGCTGTTTTTATTTTCACTGTAAGCAAATGCTTGTTGTAGTAAGGAAATAATTAATGTAAATTAGAGTGACATACGGTTTCCTTTGAGCATATGGCGAATCGTCTATTTCAGGCAGTGATGTTAACATCATTGGTATTGGGTCTTTCCTAAAAAAATTAATCATACTTTTACTTTTCATTAATTCAACTTTTATTGATAAACATACTTTTTCTTGGAACTAAAGGCCAGCACATCAAGTTTCTCCAATCGACGTTTCTTAGTAGACTTTGTGACATTTGGTGTCATCATCGTTATATCCTCAATCGTATTTTCATGCGACTTGTCGAGACTTTCAGATGACCCCAGAGTCCCAACAAGCTTCTTTTTGATATTGGTAAAGACTCGATTTAAGGACCCACTGCGACGTTGCTTCTTCTTTTTACGATCGTCTGTCATTGGAACAGCATTTAAATCGTCTCGTTTAATCATTCTGTCAGGAATGACACCAATTAAATTGGCATTTTCAATGAGCAATTCCAGGACTTTAAAATGTGACTGTAAGCGTTTCTCTGGAGCATTTAATGGAAGTGGCATGATTGTTGGTGTTAAAACTTTGACTAAATTATCAAGTGTCATAAAGTTTTCTGACGAGTGCTTTATGATGACTTCAAGGAATTGTAGAAAATATGCCAGTGTATTAACGGCTATTGGTGACAGGAACATGCAAGTCATCAGTAGAGCTTCAACTTTGTCCTCATATTTTGTACAATAAATCAAGGACTTGATTAACGTATCTTGAATCGTTCCTTGTGGAATCAACGGTTCAGGCAGCTCTCGAAAATACTTTTTTAATAAATTTGCTATGTCAATTACATTGAAGTGCTTATCATTCAATGATCCTCCGTTCTCTAAGTAATCTTTTATTTCCTGTTGCTTTTTGACACTTCCAGTTTTGCGAAAAATTCCTTCCGTTTTGCTCTCCTTTTGTATTTTCTGGCATGCTTGGAGCACAAAACGTGGGACTGCTGAACATTGTCCATTACTGAATAATGCATTATCAACAGCCTGATGATTTAATTGAATTTTAAACATCTTTTTATTCATTCGACGCTTATTTTCCAAGTGTTTTTGATGTTTTTCACATCTAATTTTAATCTCATGCTTTCGTAGCTCTTTCGATGCTTCCAATAGTATCTCATCTCGATTTGTATACTCACTTATTAACATAATTAATATAAATTTAACTTTTCTTTACAATTTTATTAACAGCATTTATTTAAAATCTTTATTTACAAATGTTTTAACGGCTTTTAGCTTAGTTTTTGAATTGTTGTTTTTTCTATTCGCACCTCTTTTGTCCAATCCGTCCACATTTTTTTGTATCCAACTCTATAGTAATAAAATTGATTGCTGCTTGAATAATATAGTCAATAGTATATTTGCTTTCTGAATATCCTAGCTCTTCCTGAATAATTTCAAATGCGCTCTAAAATCATAGTGCATACAGTTTCAACTTGATTCAGTGGCTTGGTACATTATTACAGAACATATTTTCTAACCAACAACAACAAAACAATAATAAATCATTGAGCTATTTTAATTAAATGATTTAAAAGCATTATGGCAACAAGTATTGAGATTGTTGTAGGTACATATGAAGAATTCTTGCTGGGCTATCGAATCAGACCATCGAGAAGTGTAAGTAGACTTTAATTAAAAATTTAACATAAACGTGACATTAAACAATACAAAATTTAATTAGAATAACCGGAAGTATGACATGTACCAGTCATTTTCAACACATTCTCATACCTCATCAATTAGATGTTTAGCATCGAATGGAAAGTATGTAGCAAGTGGTGGATGTGATGACAGAATTTGTGTTTATGATTTGGAAGCAAGAAAGGAAGTTGAAGACCTTTATATCCACGATGGTACAGTCAATTCAATTCAGTTTGTACCTGATTGCAGTTATTTAATAAGTTGTGGAGCAGATGGAAAAATGGTATTTACTAAGACAAGCAATTGGAAAATTGATAGAGTTTTTGAAAAGGCACATAAAGGAAGTCCAGTCAATTACGTTAGTGTTCATTCGTCAGGAAAGCTAGCATTGTCTATAGGAAACGACAAGATTTTAAGAACCTGGAATTTGATTAATGGAAGACAGGCGTTTGCAACATCGCTCAAAAACAACAAGGCATTAGGGAATTCTCTAGAATTTGTTATATGGTCTATAAGTGGCGAATATTTCCTTGTTGCTGGCAAAGATACTGTTGAAGTGTGGAGCACAGAGAAGGCTGAAGTAATATCAACAAAGAAATGTGAGTCAGAACCAACAAGTATATGCTGGATAACAGACACAGACATCTTAGTAGGGATGGAAAACGGTAAGCTGCTATTTTTCAATTGGGAAGATGAGAATGAGGAAGCAACAATGTGTGAAATATATGATAATAGAGTTAAAGCTATGAAATATCATGATGGATATCTAACAACAGCATCAAGTAAAGGAGAACTTAATTTATGGAAAGTAATTATCGATGAAAAAGTTGAGATTGAAATGATTTGTGGAATTGACATTGGATGTAGATTAACATGCTTAGATGTTATTGATTTATCTAAAATTGGCATAATTAAGGAAGTTAAGGAAGAAGATGGTGATGAGGATATGCCATTAAAAAAAACCGATGTCAAGACATTCAAAACGAAAGGAACTGTCGTTGTGGAAATAGACAATGATGATGATGATTATGACATTTTAATAACTTCAAAAGCATCAAAAAAGAGACAACATGAAGGGAGCAGCACTAAAAAGAAGCCCAAAACTCCAATTAATAATAAGAGAAAATCTGTAAGATTGAGTAACGGCTTTGTCGAAGAAGATTGTTAATTAAACAATTTTGTTGAAAATAAAGGAAATTATTTACAGTTTCAAATCATTTTGGTTTAAACTCTTTATTAATCCTTAAATTTCTAGCAAAAATCAATCATACATATTGTTTTGTTTCAATGAGAGTAGTTTGCAAGATCATTTTTTAAAAAAAAATCATAATTCACGGTCTGCAAAGAAGCTGATAAAGGTTTTGTAAGAGAATTTAAAAAAAAAACAATAAAGTAATAAAGTGTTAAGGATTAAAAAATAGTATAGGAAGTATGTATGTATGTATATATAAATGAATATATGGGTAGGCAACTAAAACATAAATTTCCGTTTTTAGTAGAATTCCACATATTCTTTTGAACTTAATATTACGCGACTTTTTGCTACTTCTTACAATAAGGTAGGTAAGTCCATTTACCATAATTAGAAAAAAGCACAAGTTGAACTGCAAATTGTCAGAGGTAAGATCACAAAAATTATTAATAGGTCGCCGTCTTTAAGCGTTTTGTGTTTCGTCGATCATGTTCCTCATTTTCGTCTGAACTTTCGTGAGAGCTGACATCTGACTTGACATTATCCATGGCTTCATTTGCACTTTCCTGACCGAAATTTCCACTTGTTCGTGCTCTCTCTAATGATCGTATTTGCGCTTCCAACATACTATTTTGTTTCTTTAAATCCTCAATGTCTTGCTGGTGAGAATGGTTCTTGCGTCTCATAAACTGAATATATTCTGCGGCTTTTTTTAATATTTGCGCTCGACTTGCCTGCAATTTAAAAGTGCACCATATTATTATTCTATTCTTAATAACTTTAATTATACTAGTCACGTACTACCTTTTCGCCTTGCAATGAAGGAACAGAATCGCGTAAAGATGTGAAACTGTCCTTTATATGCTGTCAATAAAAAATACATATAAATAATGTTGTGTTTAAACCAGTTGATTTTAGGTAAACAAAGAGAATACTCACATCACGTCGTTTCCTTTCCAAAGCATTATGATGAGCACGCTTTTCAGCCTGTGAGAATGTTCAATTACATTAAATCACGTTATGGATCATTGACAAAGGCAATATTCATGCATAATATTATTGTTAATGATGATATTTACCTGTGAAAAGTATTGACTGCCTGACGAGCGCGATTTATTTTCGTTGCTTAAATCTTCATCCTGGATTTATTTATTGACAAAATATTTGTAAAAGTATGTGACGAACAAAAAAAATAAAAATGGTCACTAAAAAATTCTTTTACATTAAAATCGCACTTACATCACTTTCTACGTCTAGATTTTCGTCTTCACTCATCGCAGCACTGTTTTCTTCGTAATATTTCATCTGGAAACTTGATATTTCTGATCTAAATTGTACTTTAATTAAAAAAGAAATATTTTTATGAGAAAAATATTTTTGGACTCGTTCACAAATGATGTCCTCTTGTGTGCATGATGGTTGATTTTCCCCTGTTAGCATTCATAAAACATGTGCATTAATTCTCTATTTGTCTGACTCTTTTGTATATTTTAAAACTATTTGAACCGTTATTTATTTAAATTGTTTTTAACCGTTAATAATTGAGCACTAAGTTTGACACTTTTATAGATGCAATTTGTTTATGACATCAGGTAGTGCGCTTTTTTGAAACAGTTTCTTACGAAACTTTTTACTTCTTCTACACCTAATATAATAACATAAGTTTTTTTTCTCTCTTAAAATTTTAATTAATTAAGGAATAACGATGGAAGGACACACTAGAAATTTTACTGAAATTAAGTCTGCAAAATTCGACGATGAGAATTTAGAGACATTGACATCCATAGAGCAAGTGAGTAGTGATTTATAGGAAATTACATTACCTTTTAATTATTATTATTTGCGGTTGACAGATAAAAGTTGAGAATTTGGTCGAGAAATGTTTTGATAGAATTGAACAGCTGTCGAGCATGGATAATACATTGCCATACTTTTATCGCAAGGAACACATTCGTTTCTTGGAACGCTGTTTACGATTTCTATCAACTGGATATGAATGTCTTGATGCTTCAAGAACTTGGCTTGTTTACTGGATCTTACAATCTGCTCACTGCTTGAACTTTAAGTTCTCCTATGAAGTTCTTGGTGATGTCATTCACTTTCTCAAGAAATGTCGCTGTCCTTCAGGTGGATTTGCAGGTGGACCAAGTCAATTGCCTCATTTAGCACCCACTTATGCTGCAGTATTAAGCTTATGCTTAATCGAGACTGACGAAGCACTCGAAGCCATTGATCCGTAAGTCTAAAAAGTAATTAATTTTAAAATCTCGTTTAATAAGTTAACTTGTATGTGATTTTAGGGAAGGAATCAAGAAGTTCCTGTGGAGCGTACGAGAAGAGAATGGAGCATTTCGAATGCATGTTGACGGAGAAATTGATGTTCGTGGCGCTTATTGTGCAATAACTGTTGGTCGATTGAGTGGAATTAGTCCACAAAATAAATTATTTGAAGGAACTGCAAACTGGATCGCTAAATGCCAAACTTATGAAGGAGGATTTGGTGGATCTCCTAATTTGGAAGCTCACGGTGGCTATTCATTTTGTGGTGCTGCAGCATTAGCTTTATTAAATGATGTTTCGACTGTTAATTTAAAGTCTCTTTTGAGATGGGCTGTATACCGACAAATGAGATATGAGGGTGGATTTCAAGGACGTACAAATAAGCTTGTTGATGGATGTTACTCATTTTGGATGGGCTCTTTAGTTCACGTTATTCAAATGTTGATTGAAAAGAATTCATGCCATGATGGATATACGATTAATATTGACGAATTGATGTTTCATCGAGAAGCTTTACAAGAATATATATTGATTTGTTGCCAAAAACCACATGGTGGTTTAATTGATAAACCAGGAAAGCCTGAAGATTTATATCATACATGCTATACACTTAGTGGGCTATCAATTGCTCAAAATTTTAACTCAACTAAGCAGCCCATTGTAATTGGAAATCCCGATAATGAAGTTTTGCCTACACATCCTTTATATAATATTGCACCAAAAGCCGTTATGAAGGCATACTTTTACGCTCAACAACATCCAATCGAGTCTGAAGAAGATCTCGTTGGATGCACCAAAAATCAACATAATGATGAACAAAATCCAGCGAATGGACAAAAAGAGAATGAAGGAAATGCAGATCAATAGTCATTTTGTACCAATTTTATAATCATGATTTACTAAAACAATTTAATAAAATAAAAAAAACTTTAATTAAAGATTCCCCAAAAAAGAAATAAGAAGTAACATATGGCGCGAAATTCCTTAACGTCTAAGCATCAGTTTCGAAATGAACGAAGGCAGTACAAAGGCATGTCGAAAATTCGAATGTTGTACGAACAAGCCTCAACAAGACAAAAGAAATCCTCAGTTTCAACTATACATTCAAAGGAAAAACATATAGAAATGCTCGTTTTTTAATAAAAATCCACAAAAAATTTCCAAAAAGGAAGCACCGGGTAAGGATTAGTGAATATAATTAAAATTTACATCAAGACAAGCCCAAAAGTGATAAAATTATGTTAAATTTCGTTATATAAGCAGCATAGAATGTCAAGTGAAAATTTTCTTTACTCGATCAAACGCCATTTTTATTTCCATCTCTATATGCTTTAAACGTACTTCCATTTTTGTCTCCAAGTTAAGAAACTTCTCGCGTTTTATTTGCTCAAATCCCGTTAATACATGTTGTAATTTTACCTAGAATATTCTCAAACTGATTACAGCTAATTATGCTACTTAAGTGATATTCAGTAAAAATTCAAAGAGAAAATGTAATAAGAAAAGTAGATAGTCAATTAACTGAATCAGCTGAGAGCATTCGTTTGAAGCTTAACTGCTTAAAAATCAATTGAATATGAGAGAAAATTGTATAATATTTCCATTTCCCCACCAATCTCATTGCCTGCATTAGGTTTTAAAATTAAAGAAAAATAGCTATGTGATAAAAAAAAATATGTAGGACAGGTAGAAAGTTATAGTGATCGTCTTCAGCAAGGCTTTACGTTTGTAACTTACGTGCGAAATTTCATGATTTTCTGTGCATTTTGCGTTGATGATGAAACTTTTTTACAGTATTGATGCATTAAAATGCATATGATCCATACTAGATAGACTACTGAGACGCATTTGCACATAATAATGAAATCTTAAAGAAATTTCGTCATCGTCTGCTACTTATAAATAATATTTTCTCGAACAATGTTCTCTTCTAAAATTTCGCAGTTCAGTTATTTACTGCTACCCATAATGCTTCAATACATATGTAAATGAAAAGAAGAAAATATTTTTAAATTTCATCAAGTTTAAACATGTTTACCTCGCATCTAAGCGCGTCATATTCCATTTTGGCTACAAATGTACAAAAATATCTCTTTGGCTGTACAGGCACAATCGTGAATGATTCAAAAATTTTCTCCCCTATCAAGCATTAGCGAAATGATGGCATTTACGATCGCACATTACTGTTTATCATTATATTATACTTTTTTTGTGTATTTATTAATAGCGTCACATGCTTGTATGAGATCATTTTTGATTTCATGCCATTGCTTAATATTGCCAACTACTATGGGGCCATTCACTTATTACGTAACGCTTTTAGGGGGAGGGGGGGTCTAAGATTTTGTTACGGTTCAAACAAGGAAATTTTTTTTTCATACAAATTTTGTTACGAGGGGGGGGGGGTCTAAGAAGTCATTTTTTCGTGTTACGTAATAAGTGAACAGCCCCTATGGACATAAAGGTTTTAGTACCAGATTTTAAAATTTAATGACTTAGTACTCATTGTTTTAGTACATGACGAATTTTGAGATTTAAAGACTTAAATGCTCTAGATTAGTAAAATATCAATGTTTTGGACATAAAAAACTGTGACTCATGTATGGATAGATAAAAATTTAAGCGTACATTAGTCATTCAGTAGTCAGATTTCATGTCATTTCAGTTCACATTACAAAATTTAAAAAAACGTTAAATTTATTTTAAAAAAATTAATAATCTTAACTACAGTTCTGTCCATAGTTGTTAAACCTAGTCATACCTACACTCACATTTATTATTTTATTTATCATTTACCTTAACTTAATTTCTTCTCTTTTATTTAAATCAAATTTTTACAGAAGACATTGTAAGCGCCTATAAAAAGTTATATTAAGCAAAGAGATCTAGGAAAACTGTTTTAATACATTTTACCCTTAAATCTCAATTTGCGTACTTATTGTATTTGAAAAAGAAATTTCAAGTTGACCCATTTGTTTTATTGCCAGTGATAATTTTGTTGATTTTGCAAATTCCAAATCACTTGCAAGCATTTTCTGCTGTCTCATTGATAATATTTACTTATTATTCATATCTGCTCTCACATTAGTCACATAATCTATAGATTGCATATAAATCTGCTATACACAACAAATCCACTCTGTAAACGTACGAAGATCTCAGCTGATAATTGATATTTATCTCTTCAAAAAAAATAAGCTGTTGATCGTTGTGTACTGTAATCTCATTGTCAAATTAAGACTAGGCAAGTGAGGACGAGGAACAGATTTGTTGTCGAAATTAAATAGTAGTCGTGCAATACTTAAAGAGCGCGAAGATCGAAAAAAAAGAATATACATTCATTCGATCAGTGTGTGCTCAGGGTCAACTGAAGTAGTTGCGAATATACACAACTCAAAGAAAAATATAATTAAATACACAAAACAAAATCTGCTCAGCTTTTTCGCAACTGCGAAGTTGTAAACTAAACTAGAAAAAAATAAGTTTATTTAAAAAAAAGAAAAATTTGCAATCCACAATAGCTTATAGACAAGAAGTAAGTTTGTTGTGGCAACGCAAATAATAAAGACATAATTTTATATACACAAGGATATTGAAAATAATTAACAAACTCGTTGATTATACTTCAATATATAATAACAAAATATAAAATATAGGTCCTTTGGCCAGCCACCCTAAATTCATCATCAACGTTATGTCGGTCCAACGCTTTTCTGCCGATACTATTGTTGGTCCATCAACAAGCAACGGTTATCAACACGCATTGCAGTCTGGCCAAGTTTATCATAGAAGAGATGTCAATGACTTCAATAGTATGAGCAGCGGTATGACTGAGACTAATGCGCTGATGAATAATTGCCAACAACATCATCAGGGTAGGCATATGGAAATAGGAACTCCGGATGCTAACAATGCATCAAGTATGAGTTCTAACAACAACAATTTTCATGATTATAATAACGCAACATCACAAGCAGCGGCTATTCAACAACCACCACCACAATACAACACAACTAGTGCACAACATTTATTTATACAATTTCATGAAGCCCTTGCACTGGAACCTAAATATCAGCCCAATTTGTTCTTACCACAGCAATCCAATGTAAGTTTACTCTCATTCTTATTTTTAATTTATTATATCACTTAAGATGACTTCTTCCCTCAAAAAAAAATAATTATTTTTGTAAGGGGCCGTTCACTTATTATGTTACGCAGAAAAACCTTGTTACAATATGTTACAACTCACAACCCCCCCCCCCCCCCCCCCCATGAACGTTCATAATTTATTTTATTATGAAAGATTTTATACACGTTACATACTTCTTGACAGACCCCCCCCCCCATATGCTACATTTTATTACAATTTTTTAAACCCCCCTTTCCCCTAAAATCCGAACGTAATAAGTTAACGGCCCCTAACGTTAATCATGCTTTTTTTTTCAACTGTAAATTTGCTCCTTGACTTCATATCGGTCATTATTTCACTGTCAAGGTTTCAATTTCTTACTACAATTATTGTAAATTACTGTCTAGATTAGATTAGATAAGTTAATTATTTTCTTGTTTTTAAATTTTTTTTGCACTTTTGTTTATTTATAGGATGGTGAGATAACAATCGGGACTAGAGATGGTGCCGCTCATGTTTTAAGATGCCTCAAAGTCTGGTATGAATTGCCAAATGATGTTCTATTTACCGCAATCAACCATGTAGATCGCTTTTTGACTAAAATGAAAGTGAGACCTAAGCACATGGCATGTATTTCTGTCGGGTCACTACATCTCGCAATTAAACAGTTGGGCGTAGAAGCAATTGATACAGAGGATTTAGTTGCTATATCTCAAGTAAGTTGTTTTTTTTACTTCTATTTTTCAAGCATTTGTTCAAGTGTTTTGTGACACATGACGACACGAATAATGAGCACACATAAAAATTGTGAAAAAAAAACAACAATTTTATGCTCTGACGTCGTTCTTTATAGATTGTGACATAATAACATATAATTACATTTAATTTATTTAATTTCAATTTTTCTTTCTCTTTTTTCCTTCGTCCATGAAATAGTGTCGTTGCACCGCACGTGATCTAGAACGTATGGCAGAAATCATTCACAACAAATTAGGAGTTCAAATGAATTCACCACCTACAAGCGGACTCACATTTATTCGACTCTTCTATCACATTTTTCGCTTGACGGCTATTGATATGGGTTTAATTGATTTCTACGATTCCTCTATTGTTCTTTCTGATCTCGAACAAAGAATGGAAATTCTAGCTTGTGATGCAAATTGTGCCAGTATTCGTCCATCGGAATTGGCACTCGTTTGCATCTGTACGCAAATGGACGCTGCATCAATTAGCAAGCTAGAAGCTGGATCAACTCAAATTCATGGATTAGTCGACTATGCTATTCAACTTCAGAAACTGTGTCGGGTAAGTCATCCTTAACATTTCATAATTGTTGCGCACTTTCATGACATCATCTTTGACTCATAAGTAATACATTTGTGGAAAATTCTATAATTTCGCTATCACTGATAAGCTTTGATGATTTCATGACAGCGATCAATTTGTTCGGTAATTCAAAGTTCGTTTCTGTTCAGTTCAGTTTGAATTTTTGAAAACCGTTATAATTTGAATTTGCAAAAGCCGTAATAACCGTAATAACATAATTCCTTTTTATTTTCCTAACAGATACCAGACTCATCGTTCTTTCACACACACGACCTCGTAGTAAAGATTCTATCAAACTACAATGGTCAACAGAAAATGCCCTACCGTCAGCGATTAGTTTGGAAATTAAGCTCCAGAACACTTCGAACATTACGACCAACAGATAAGTTAAAGGTTTCATCATATCTTCCAACAATTGAGGAAGATAACAATAATCTGCGATATAGAACAGGAAGTGTCTCGTCAGAAGATGGTTCAGAAGAAGACTGGCCCACAAGTCCAGTTGTTGCTGTTTGTGAGCAATGTTAATATTTCATCATCAAGCCATTCAATTGTGAGAACAAAAGAAAAAAAACAACACAAAATCTTATTTAATTTATTATTTAAAAAAAGATAAAATCTACATCTTAAATATGACGGAAAAGAGCTGCGCTTAAGAACCGTAAGCATTCTTTCAACCAACTATTATTCATTTCATGATTGACAATTATATAATTTTGGGGGTGAAATATCAACAACAGCCTTTACCTATTTTCATATTTTTTCTTTAAAAAAACATCTTTAAGTTAATTTTTCATTTTTTAAAAAAAGAGAAAAATACTTTAAGGAACAAAAAAAGGTGGAAGTACTGGACTCGTCCAGGACTGACACAAAAAACTCTAAAAAAAGATTAAAAATCCTTTCAAAATCTAGTTCTAAAAAAATATTAAAACTTTTAAAAAAAAGAAAAGAAAAAAAGTACAAAAAACTGATAAAATTTTCAAGATGAAAAAAAAAATCATAACGTTTTAGTCATGTAAGTCTCTAATTTGTGAGAGAATGAGGTATAAAAATGCATGTTTGTAAAATTCATTTTTGCACGTATATAAAACACCACACGTTTGTAGATGACGGAACTTCCATTTGACTGTGGAATTTTTTTTTATTTTTTTAAAACATCTACTCAGCACCTTTAAAAAAATTATTTAACATCAAAGAATGAAAAAAAAATCTCATAAATCTATAATAGCTCTTCTTTTTGTCCCTTCCATATGATTTTTTTACATTATTTCCTGTTTACATTGAGCCAGTAACACAATATATAAATATATATTTAAAAATAAATAAAATAAAGCAAAAGATATGTAAAATTTTTGAAGATGTTAATCATAAATGAAATCAATTTTAGATCTGCTGGTTTCAATAAAATGAATCGTTTACGCTCTACCATTTCTGGATCATGAAAAAAAAACTTATGTCTAGATTTGTTTTAATCTGAAGATTCTTTTTATCAATTCAGGATGAGATTTATGAATTCTATAGACTTATCTTAAGCTTGGAATCTCGGATTTATTTTCTGATCATGTTCCTAAGATCTAAGATCATTAAAATTCAATTTTAAAAATAAATCCCGGGAGATTAAAATTAATCCGAAAGATTTAAATCTCTAGATAAAAAAATCAAATCATTTTGAAGATCAGGAGCTTAGGTTTATGTCAGAAAAAGAATCCGGGATTAGGAACCAACATCCAGGTTAGTGATTTCAATTAATTCAAAAGACAAAAAATCCAAAAAGATCCTTGGAATTAAACAAATTATTAGAAAGTAAACTCATTTTATTGGAACCAGCAACAATTTCATTAACATAATAAGTACATAACAATAGTTAAATTCAGAAAAAAAAATTATAAAAAGAACTTATTCAACAAGTAGTAGCAAAGAAATTTTTTCGTAGGCTTTAAGCTCATTATCAAAGCATGCCACATCGACCGCGTACGTTATGTCCGTTATGTTGCTAGACAGAGGTTATAGCCGTTGATAAGAAAACAAAAATAAAATAAACATTCCTCGTTTGTTGTCGACATAATAAGTAGAAGATGATTTAAATGCCGCGCGAAAAAATAATGGGGAGATAATGATCGTTTAACGGATTCCTCGTTGAGATCAGGAAGAAGCTACTAGAAAATTTCTTTGTTGCATAATAAACCTGTAGCGCAAAAAAGAGAGATAAAAATAGTGATAAATAGCAAAAATTTACACATTTACAATAATTAACTTAACAATTATGTAAATTCAAACATCATCTCGCATTCTGTATCTGTAAATGTATCACTGCAATTGATCAAACCTATATCAATTTGTTTTGGGTTTTCTGCTTTTGAGTTTAATCGTGCGTACTTTAATTAATGTGTATATATCTTCTCAGCATTGCCTGATGTGAGCCTTTTGACTGCTGATAGTCAGTTAAACTTTCAACGGTTTTTCAAATTTTTTTTTTTTCAAATGGTTTTTTAAAATTCAAAACTTGGAACTTTTTTAAAATTTAAAAAGTTTCATAATTGTTAACGGCTACTTTCACTGTTTCGAGAAGATATATACAAATTAACTTTAATTAACACCTGATCAATTGCATTTTTATATTCTTGAATAAGCTTCGATTTTCTTTCAACATTTTCATTTTATATTTTTGTGTACCCAATTAAAATTAAAACATTTTACTTTCACGTACTTTTTAAATTTATTATTTGAAGCCTAAATTTTTGTGCAATTAAAAAACAACAAAAACTGAAAAAATGAATTTCTAAACAAAGAAGCAAGCACAGGCAATGTTATTTTTATATAACAAGTGCAGTCACGAGATGCACTTGAAGATTATCTTGGAGAAATTTATTTTAATAGAAATTCAATCAAAGTGAAATTGAAGAAAAAAAGTGAGAAATATGGACAGCATAAGCATAAGTGAGAGCATAAAAAGTGAATATTAAAGCAAAAAGAACTTTAAAAAGTGTCAATTCCAAAAAAAAAAAACTATGAACTATGAACTATTACGAAAAAAAAGAGTGAAGAAATATGGCAATACTATTGGAATTAACTGATAAGGAAAAACTAAAGTTTCCATCTTCAAATCATGTACAATGCACGACTCAAGGCTAATCATTATGGGCATTTTAACGAGTACTTGTCGTAATTATGAGCTGACTCGTGCATGAATGCATGCAATTTAAATGAGATTATTAAAATATTGAAATTATTAGTTTTTTCTTATTTAATGTTAATCACCTATTCAAGGTTGATGACCATTCCACAAAGAGTGCAAGACCAAGCTAACCATAAGAATAACAAGTTTCAATTTTTATTATTTTGTACGTCAGTGATACACAATAAAAAAGAGATCTCTTAAAGGTGTTCAATATGTGCTCATGTACATCCGTCTTACTTTGTTGCTGTTGCTCACAGGCTAGCTTCAAACTTAGTTTTTTTTTTCAATGAAAAACTATTTGAGGGTCGATTTCATAAAACATATAAATATATTTTTGTGATTTCTCAAAAGCTGGGTGTGAGATTTAGAGGACATTAGAGATTCTAGATTGCTGGATTGCCTCGGGATAATCCTGAGGTTTTCTGTATTAGATTTTAGTAAGGTTTTTACTATTTTAATCCAAAAATTTGAATTTTGAGATTTTCAAAATGAATTTCTAAAAGATTCAAAAGTGAGGATTAAAATAGAAATAAAAAAAAATCACAGCATAAGATTGTGAAATCGACTCAAAAAATGAGAGGCAAAGATCAACGATGAAGCAACAGCAACGATGTAGAATTGAATGGGAAAATTATGCCATAAATTGATCACTGATGAATAAAGTATTTGTATAGAAATGAAGCATGATCTTGCAGACATAAATAGTATTTTCTTTCACAACCTAAAGTTTAAAAAAAACGTAATTTATATTTATTTGACAGTAAAATTGTATAGAAATAACCAACAAATGGGATAAATTGTGATCTTAAAAATACCTAAATGAAATTAATTTATAAAGTTAAAAAAGTTAAGAAAAAAAGTAAAATTATTGTGAGATGATGAAGAGCTTCTCTTTATATACAATATATACGAATATTATAACATAATCACTCTCACATGACACACCAAAACCACCAAATGACTTATTGAATCTTCAAGTAAATCTAAAAGAATGGAAGAGTGTTGAAAGAAATCATTTTTTAATTTTAATAATTGAGATAATCCGTAGAGTTATGAATGTGGAATAAAAAAAAAACGTAAGTTTAAAATTAATAACAAGTGATTGTGTAAGAAGGAAGGAGAGTATGTAGCTTATTGACATTGAATTTAAAGGCTTCTCTCATATTTTGTTTCCTTCAACTTCTCAAAAAGCCTTCCTCTCTTCTTATTATGGTCACAACAAAAAAAAAAAAAGTTAAAAAAAATCCATAAATGTCTTATAAAAAATCATCTCTGAATGTATTTATAGTTTATTCATTAATTTAATATTAATTTATTTTTTAATTAAACTAGTATCACACAAACAATTGTGAAGACCACTTTTCTGACAAGAAAAAAGAAAAAAAAACTGAATTGATTTCGGAATAAAAAAAACCAATCAATCAAATAATAAAGAATAGAAAGTAAAAATTGATAAAAAAACATAATTTTTGAGCGTTATTCTTATCAGCTTTGACTCTTTTTTTTAGACTTTGAATTTATTTTACAGCCTAGGCTCTTCGGAAGTGATCGATTTTCAACTTGTGGCGTACCACAAAATTTGGTCATGTGATATTGAGTATTTGTTTTGTCAAATATTTGAGTCGAAGTTATCCTAGAGTTTCTATTATCTTTCATGTCTACTTCCTCATTGTCATGCTTTTGGAAATTTGATGTTAAACATGGTCAAAAACTTGGTTTCGAGTGGATTTCAATCTCAAAAATACTTAAAAACTTATTATTTAACTCTTAAACGAACTCATTTGAACTTTGCAACATAAAATTCTACCAAATTAAACTGAAAACCTTACAAATTCTCAATAATCAATCAAAAACAATTTAAATGTTTCAAAAATTTTACTATGAATAACTCATTTGCATACAAAGTAAGTATAACTTTAAATTAACAAGTTCAAAAGTATTTAAGTATGTCACAAACAAACAGACCATAAATAGCAGTCCTGTTACAATATACCAAAAACAAAAAAAAAAAACAAAACGTAATTTTTATTGATTTAAATAACAGTTTCGATTAGATTACGATATCAAGTACCAAACATAAGATACAATATCAAGTTTAAAGTCAATAAAAAAAAGGCATCTAAGTTAAAGGAAGGAGAACTTGATTATATAAAAGATTTTATTTTTGCACGTACGCATTCACCTTCAGAAAACTTACCTCGCATACAATTGCAATAAACAGGAATGTGTGTATATTTACAACAATATAAACATATGTGAAGCATATGAACACACAGCTGTTAATTTTTTTTTGCAAAATGCATCGCGATGTGCATTCGATTCTTTATACACATCTTAACTTTATCGGATGTGTAGAATAAAGGAAAAGGGAAATGAGCACATAGCACAGATGGTGTATTGGTTTGTCAACATTTAAGTTTCTTTTGCTTCAGCTTTATGTGGCTATCTACACTTTTTCAAGGCCAGTACATAAGCATCGTTCGAGGAATCTTTCTCACTGTTTTTGAACTCATTTAAGTTTTAAATGCTGATATAAATTTTTTGTCAATCTTTCTTGTTTGTTTCTTTTAAATCGCCTATGTTGTCATCTACACATGAGAGTTCAAAAATTATTCTTTATTTTTAGACTGAATGTTACCGTAATACTCATCAACTCGTCTGTATAATATAAACATTGTTGACTCTGACTCTTCACACTGACAGAGAAATACGAAGTCAATTAAGGTGTTTAAATACTTAGGAAATGATCAATTGTTGGGCATTTTTAATTATACTATTTTCATTTTAACGTTTTTTTCAAATTCAAACGATGTGACTTTTATGAACCGAAAAGAAATAAACTTGAACTACTGAACAGTCTAAAATTCATTTCATAATCTAAAAATTGAACTGAAATAAAATGAAACTATAAATTAAGTCAGACCGATCGAATGGGGCCGTTCACTTATTACGTTCGCATTTTAGGGGGGAGGGGGGGTTTGAAAAATTGTAACAGAGTGTAACATAGGGGGGGGGGGGTCAAGAAGGATGTAACGTTCTAACTGTCGTCTGTCTTAAAAAAAAGTTCACGAAAAAGGTTTAATTACAAATTCATACCAAAAACATTTTTTTAAATTTTTCACCTTTTTAGTGATAAAATAAATTATGAACGTTCAGGGGGGGGGGGGGGGGGGGTTGTGAGTTGTAACCTTTTGTAACAAGGGGGGCAGAGGGGGTGAAAAAAAGTCGTTTTTTTGCGTAACGTAATAAGTGAACGGCCCTAATCCAAAACAAAATCCAGCTCAGACTCGACCAAAATATGAGATAAGACTTACTTTATGCTTACTAATTTAAACAAAAACTTGAGTAAGAGTTAGCGACCATGATATAAAATTTTAAAATGCTTTTATCATTGAAAAAATTAAAGTCTTATCTAAACTGATATCAATAAATATTTAGCTAGCTAATCGACTCAAAATGTGCGTCATATCAGTTTTGTTTTTCAGACTCATTCGCGCTAGATTTTTTCTGAAACGAAAACTATCATGTACTAATAAATAAAATATTGAATGTTTGAAAACGTGCAGTCTGATTGATCAGCACGTGCAGCAAATGTTCTGAAATTGACAAAACAGAAATAACGATTAATTCACCAAAACAAAATGATTTTATTCCACAATCTAATGACCAAATGACTACTTCAATACAAATAAATTATATAAATTGTTTAGTCTACTTCCATGCTTGCTTAATAGTCTTTTTAGCTGCTAAATGCTTAACAACATATGATGCTGTGATTAGTCCAATGAGGACAATTGAGATCAAGAAATAATCGAAATCTTCTTTCAATAAGTCAAATGTTTTTGATGGAGAAACCCGAGTCACGAATATATCAAGTCCATACACCATAACAAGGCACGTGCTTTCTAATCCACTTGCTGCAGTATAAATCCCGCTAATTTTTGCTATCGTTTGATTATAGTTGATGGTATTTTCATGTTGAATCACGAGTTCTGGAATATATGGTATTATGCCTTCATATTCAGTTGGAACCATTGAATTTCGTCGTGGATCAAGCAACATCCATGGCATTTCGACGACAGCACCAGAGTCAAGGGCCACTATATATTATAAAATTAAAATATTAAAAGCATTATTGATTACAATCAATTATTCTTTATCGTAATTGTGCATACTTAAGACATGCTTATTTGTAATTCCTTTCTCCGTTATTGTTTCGCGAAGTGCAGCGATACTACTCGAAATTATATAAGTCTGACGTTCGACAAGTGGTGATGGTGGAGCATTCAATGAACTCCAAATTGTGCTATTTGTCTGTGTTTTGCCTTCATATAATTCTATTGATGCTATAGGGCGAAAAAATGAATGAAATAAATAAATTAAAAAATATGAAAATAAGTTTAAATTAAAAAGAAGAAAGGAAGCATGATATGGAATAAAAATATTTATCAGTTGTTATTTTTTTCCACTTCAAAACAACCATATTCAGAGGCATTTGTACTCTATAAAATTTATAATAAAGAAATAATTTTACACGTGATGCGCAATTGCTTTTAATCAAATGCTCAGATTACATAGTGAAATCGAAAACTATGTAATATGGACGTGATCACTCGTGACTGACGTGAGTGCAATCATGTTCCATCATTCATTTAATAACAATATCGGTTGAATAATATTTGAAAACAAAAGTAAAAAAAATAACGGTTATTTCAGAATTTTACGACAAATAAAATATGAAGAGACAAGTCAAGAACCCCAGGTCAACAAAATAAATCGATAACTCGCAAAAGTACAGGGAGTAATGGATGATTACATAAATAATACTCACTAATCTCATTACGGCGGATTTTTTCGTTGTAAAATGAGTAAACAAGCCAGTTCTCTGAATGGACGATTCTAACAGGTCCTTTTGCACGACGATGATTCATCGAGAATACAATTGAGCCGCTTACAACGTCAATTAGATGAACATTCAGCATATCTAGAACAACATAAAATAATAACAAAAATATGAATTGGTCGTGATAAACAAAAGTGTGCTCAAATTCCCATTCTTTTCAGTTTTCTTTTTATTTGGGCACTTACATTTATGAATACTATCAGGTCCTTCAGTAACGACCGCAATTAAATTTGGGTTAATGTATTTGTACAATACAGATCTGTCAGCCAAAACACGACCTTGGGAATGAACACGTTCGACTGAGTTCTTTGATACAACGTGTGTGATTTTCTGCTCATTTTCAGTTCCTCCTAAGTTCAAGTTCCATGTTGGCAATAGATCTACTTTCTGTAAATAGTAAAATGGTTTTGTAACTTTTAAAAGTACAACGGTTTTGAAAAGTTTAATACTCACGTTATTTTCGTGCTGGATCATATATCCATTCAAGAATCCAGTTTGTCTGTTGACTGTATAGAAAAAGAATCCATCGGCTTGTTTCAATGAACTTTCAGGTAAAATATGAACATTATCATTAGTGTCAACCAACAGAATTGGACGTAAAAAGTTATCGCCGTAGTTTAACAATGCAGCTTGTTTTATTTTATAGTCCAAGTTCAATAGCCCTTTATCAATTGTTTGTCCCGAAAGAGGATTAAATTGGAAGATAATACCATTGCCTGTAATTTTTTCACGTGCAATAATTACACATTGAGTTGGTAATGGATAGAATTTTGATGTTCTTTGAACCAACAATCTTATGCCTTGTCCATTTGAGAATCCTTCAGAATTTTTCAGTACACGTACCCAATGTTGTTTACCCGAAACATTATCAATTCCAAAAAGTTTTCCTGACTTTGTCATAATAACCATCATTTTATGAAGCCCAAAATCATCACGAACTAAGCCAGCACGTTGAGAAAATGAAGGAGGTGGTCCAAGTCCCAATAAGTGTAGTACGATGTTTTTGATCATTCCATATTGACTGTGTAAACGACGGTACAATGAACTCAAAATATCAGCTGTATGAAATAGGAAATAAAGAGGATAGATTAATATGTTTGTTTTTTGCCAGTTGAACACAATAAAGTTAAACAAAACACGCAATTAGAGAAATAAAGCACACACAAATAACATAATAATCCAACATACAATTAGAATGTTCCTCTAAAGACATGAAAAGAGTGTAATTATAGAGAAAAAAGTTGAAAATTGTGTCAATGTATAAATAGCGTAAATTTTGACCTACCATCACCGCTATTTAGTTCCTCCTCGATTGCACCTTGTGCATCTGACAAACTTAATTCAATAAACTCTACTGCTGATATTTTGGTCAAAGACTCTTCTCGGACCCATTTGATTTTTCCTGAATTAATTATAAATTGCATTAGTAAGGGACATGTATCAATATTTAAGGAATTATTACCTTGTTGAACAAGAGCTATAGCACCGTCATTTGTAGAAAGAAGAAAACGGCATGCAATTTGATTTGTGTCGTCTCTTTTAGGCTTGCATTTTGTTGCCATAATCTTCAAGTTGTTGTCTAAAGTCTCAGGTAAATCCTCAATGGATGATAATTCAGCATTCTCGGTTAAAATCTTTACATCCTTCTCATTCTGAACTACTCGAATGATTTTATCACTTTCTATGTACAATTCAACATCATTTTTATTCTCATAGATGACTGTTAGATCCTCTAAATTAAGAACTGACTTGCCAACTTGAATTACATTGTCTTTGCCTCTAATGACTTTAATAGAACTATTTGGAGATTCAATTGCTTTGGTTCGTAAATTGTTTTGGTCAGCTATAAGATCTATCACAAGCAATTGCTCCTTAACAATACATGCAAAATATTGTCCATTGAGGACACAGTTATCTTTAGTGATGTATGCTGCAAAAATTGATGATGTTGTTGGATTGCTTTGTTGTCCTGTACTTGCATGATATTCAGTTACTTCAATATGTGAGTTCCAGATAGGTAAAACATGATACATGCTGTATTCTTTGAAGAAAAACAGTGAGTTTTCTGGATCTTGGGAAGTTGCAGTTATAGACCATTCCCAAAGTAAATTTCCATTATTCATATTATATCCTCGGAAAAAGAATGGATTATTTCCATTAACCGTAATTATATCAAATGGACTTTGATCACCCGATTGACTTGCTATGGATTTGCCTTCTCTCGTGACATGCAGGAATTTAATTTCTCCTCTTGTATTGTCTGTCTCAAACACTTTTCTCCATAATATATCACCATTTTTACTTGATATTGCCGCTAGTACATTCTCATCTGTTGCTACTATCGATTTATCGGCATTTTGGGCATCGAAATAGCCAAATTTTATTGTTCCTACAAATTTTTTCCTCCTTAAAAAAATATGACGAGCTTTTAAAGATAAGTTTTGGATGAATTAATAATGAGATGCTCACCAATCAAACTTGCCAATTTGATCTTCATATAAAGCGCTACATAAACTTGTTACTACACTTAAAATAATTACAATATTCATTAAACTGTACTTAAATCTCCTCATTTTTACTAAATTTCTTCTTAATTATCAATTATCAATTTGATGTCCGAAAAGTCGAAGTTTGCATGATCCAGTCGAAAATGAACAATGACTGAAGCGGATCTCACTTTACAAGACGATTCACACCCGTAGTACTTCCTTTACCCAAACTCTATTTATTGCCGAGCTCTCACAGACTTTATAATCTAATTAAATACTTAAATCAAAGATCCAGAAAGCATAAGAGTTAAAAATTAAATCAGGATTAGGCGTTAATCTCGCGAGATTAAATTAAATTGGTGAGATTAAGTAGAAGTAACGAACTTATAATATTCATATATAGAGGTGCCAAAGCGACACAAAGTTTGAGATTTACTGACCAAAACACAATCTTAATTTCCTTGATAAAATTCATGAAATAATTAAATTTGATGGTAATATGAAGGAATTAAAAGTAAAGGAGAAGGAGAAAACGGAAGAGTCACCAAGACCATTTAAATTAGCACATCAGATATTGGCACTGACTGGAATATCCTTTGAAAAAAAGAGTATAATTGTAAGTTTGTTTATTTAAAACTGATAAAATTGATTATAATTAATATTTTCTTTTTTTTTGCTGATTTATAGGGTTTTGTGGAACTAACGATTGTTCCTGTGAGAGAGACACTAAAATATATTAAGTTGAATGCAAAACAGTGTCGAATATATAAAGCAATCTTAAATGACACATATGAAGCTCAATTTCACTATTTTGATCCGTTCACAAATATTTGCCAGGAAAATCCTAATACGCGTTCATTAGATCAGTTTTCAAAGCACCATTTCAATGCATCTCAATTAATAGATCCAGATCAAAATTCTGGCGAATTAGTAATCATAATTCCTCAAGAAGCTAATCATTTGATAGGTGAAGGACGTGGATTGAGAGTAGGCATAGAATTTTCATTAGAGGAGCCATCAGGTGGCATTCATTTCGTAATTCCTGACGATGGAACTGACAATCCGAATGCAATGTATGAGCTTGGTGCTCACATGTTTACTTATGGACATGAAAATTCATCACGTCTATGGTTCCCATGCGTTGATTCCTATGCTGAACCATGTACATGGAAGCTTGAATTTACAATTGATGAAAAAATGACAGCAGTTTCGAATGGTGAATTAACGGAAGTTGTAATGACTCCAGATTTGAGACGAAAGACTTTTCATTATGTCGTTAATACGCCTATATGTGCACCAAATATATGTTTAGCTGTTGGACCTTTTGAAATATATGTTGATCCAAATATGCATGAAGTCACACACTTTTGTTTGCCAAATCTATTGCCACTGCTTAAAAATACCGTGAGATATTTGCATGAAGCATTTGAATTTTTTGAAGAAGTATTGGCATCACGTTTTCCATTTTCTTGCTACAAACAAGTGTTTGTTGATGAGTTGGAAGGACAAGTTCATGCTTATGCTACAATGACAATTTTAAGTACACATCTTCTTCATTCAATTGCAATTATTGACCAAACTTTTATGTCACGTACGATAATGTCAAAAGCAATTGCTGAACAGTTTTTTGGCTGCTTTATAACGATGAAGAATTGGAATGATGTATGGCTTGCACGTGGAATAGCTGAATATCTAAATGGATTTTATAGCAAGAAATGTTTCGGTAATAATGCTTATCGTGCATGGATAAGAAGAGAATTGGCAGAAGTCGTTCAATATGAGGAGAAATATGGAGGGATAATCTTAGATCCATCTCAACCACCTGCTCCACTTCCAGTAGCTAATCAATCAACAAAAGTGGTTGAAATTCAGAAAATTGAAAATGTTCATTATTTTCCCATAAAAAGTCTGCATACAATGTCACCAAAATATGTGGAAATTATGCGAAAGAAAGCTCATTTAGTAATAAGAATGTTGGAACATCGAATCGGACAAGAATTGCTTCTACAAGTGTTTAATAAACAATTAGCATTGGCAACAAATGCAGCAACAACAAAAATTAGTGCCGGCTTATGGCACCAACTGCTGATATCAACAAATGTCTTTACAAAAGCTATTTTCACTGTGACTGGAAAAGACATGACAGTTTTTATCGATCAATGGGTACGAACGGGAGGTCATGCTAAATTCAGCCTGACATCTGTATTCAATAGTAAGCGTAATACAATAGAATTGGAAATACGACAAGATTCTGTTAATCAGAAAGGTGTGAGGAAGTATGTTGGACCGTTATTGGTACAATTACAAGAATTGGATGGAACATTTAAGCACACACTTCAAATTGAAAATACAATTGTCAAAGCAGACATAACGTGTCACAGTAAATCTCGAAGAAATAAAAAGAAGAAAATTCCATTATGTACAGGCGAAGAAGTCGACATGGATTTATCAGTCATGTCCGAATCACCCGTTTTATGGATTAGACTTGATCCTGAAATGACTTTAATGCGACATGTCAATTGTGAACAACCTGATTTTCAATGGCAATTTCAATTAAGACACGAAAGAGATGTGACAGCACAACTTGATGCCATTCAGGCATTACAGAAATATCCAACAGTTGCTACTCGAATGGCACTTACTGACGTAATTGAACATGAAATAACATTCTATGAAGTTCGATGTGAAGCTGCTAAATGTCTGACAAAAGTAGCAAATGCTATGCCTTCACAATGGTCAGGTCCACCTGCTATGCTAACAATCTTTAGAAAGCTTTTTGGATCATTTTCAGCATCACATATTGTGAAGCAAAATAATTTTACCAATTTTCAACATTACTTTCTTCAAAAAACAATTCCATTAGCTATGGCTGGATTGAGAACAGCACACGGAATTTGTCCACCTGAAATCATGAGATTCTTATTAGACCTTTTCAAGTACAATGATAATGCAAAGAATCATTATTCTGACGTTTATTATCGTTCAGCACTTATTGATGCTCTTGGGGCTTCAATAACTCCAGTAATTGCTGTTGTAATTCAGCAAGGATCAAAAATTAAATCTGAAAATTTGACACCAGATGCAAAGTTAGTTTTAGAGGAAGTAACGAGAATATTAAATCTTGAAAAGAGTCTTCCTTCATACAAGTTCAAAGTGTCTGTGTCATGCTTAAAAGTTTTAAGAAAACTCCAGAAATGTGGACATTTACCACCAAGTTCTATGATTTATAAGAGCTATGCTGAATATGGACAGTACATAGATGTTCGCCTGGCCGCACTAGAATGTCTTGTTGATTATATAAAAGTTGATGGAAAGTGGGATGATATGGAATTTATTATTCAGCTCCTTGAAAATGATTTAGATCCAGAAGTGCGTCATCAGCTATCAAGAATGATTGTAGAAAATCCACCATTTGAGCGTGGCAAGAACCATCGATTAAATCGTGAGGATTTACGTGACAGAATTTGGAGTAGCATGAATACAACATTATCGCATGATACACGACTTAGATGTGATCTTGTGGATGTTTATTATGCACTTTATGGCGCAAAAGAACCGATGATGGTCAGAAATCCTGAACTTGATGCACTTTATCAGCCACAAAAGGTTGAACCAGCAAGCAAAAATGAAAGAAATGAAATCGAGGATCTTAAAATTGACATGGTCGATGCAAAAGAAGAGCCAATCATTGAAGGAATTGAAGTTGTCACCGAATCAATGGAAGAACATAATCCAGACCAAATGATAATTGAGACTCACGAAGAACTTGACATGAAAATTGATGCTGATGACTATAAAGCTATTGAAACTTCATTAATTCCAACAACATCAATTAGCGACACTGAAAAAATTCAGACACAATTTACCGAAACCATCGAAGTTCCATCAGCAAAGAGAATAAAACTTGATTATGCATCAGACTCCCAGTCACAACCAAGCACTGAACTCAATGAGATTCCAAATCTTGGAGAAATTAGCACTGCTAATGTTGGAGAGCCAGTTACTAAGGAGCACAAGGTGAGTTTAATCTCGCGATTTATTTTTAATCTTACAAAATGTTTTAATTAATCCACAGAAAAAGAAAAAGAAGGACAAGAAACGACACAAAAAGAAGCATAAAAAAGAGAAGAGACGTGAAAAGCACAATTTGGAGATGCTGGCAAAACATAAAGGAGAAGTTACAGAAACATTATCAAGCGGTGAAAGCTCTCGTTCCTCATCAGTTAATCTTGATTTAACAAATTAAAAAAATTTATGTCAATTAAGTGAATAATAAAAAAATGTTTTATTATTTTGTGTAATCTTCCTCGCCATTCTTTATTGATTCCAAATTCTTCTTAAACTCTATTTTAAGTCTGCGAAGTTTATCGTTTTTACCGTGTCGTTTCACAGACTTTTCTTTTTCCAGCCTTTTACGTTGATTTTCTACGGACATTTCCTTATTATAAAGTTCATCAAGCTTGTTAATCAATAAGGTACGAGCGATTTCACGGTTCCTTGACAATAATCTAGTTCCATGATACTTGACGACAATATTTGTTGGAATATGACGAATTTGGACAGCATTGGATGTTCTTTGTACTGCTTGTCCACCAGGACCACTTCCTCTCATAAATTCTTCCTCTAGCTCAGTTTCAATTAGCTGTGGAACTTTAGAATAATCAAGCTTCTTCTTTATACTACTAAAAAGTCGAACTAATGTTACTGGATTACGTTGAATTAAATTAGAGAACATTTTTGGCGAGCATAAACACTCTTGCTTGTTTCATACAATAAGGTATGTGAGCTTCCTTGACTTCCTTATTCCTTATAAATTCTTCCTTGACCCAACGTCTAAAGTATTCCTTATCTGTAAGCTTCAAATCTTTACTGTATCGCAATAATTCTGCAATTATACAATATTGACATTTTAAGTTGATGTCACCTGATACTATTAGTCATAATTACCTCTATAAAGCGCTAGAACTTGTTGTCTGTAGACCATTTTACACGATATTAATTAATTTTATTGGAATAAACAATATTTTTCAGTCTCATGTGTTTTTCACTATTTAGCGATTGACACGACCTCTATAAACAATAGAATGTTATTCGAGAAAGCTCTTAAACTTGTTTGCTTTTGAATTACTTAATTAAATTCACTTATAAAGCTTTTAATTTTAGAAAAATTGTTTATCAATATTACACGAGTAAATTGATGTTTACAAAAAATAAGGAACTTTTGAAATTTGAATTTTATGAAATAAATCAAGTATTTGAAATTTTTAAAGCCGTTATTTACAAATTTACAACGTGGTACATCAAAAGCATAACGTGGTGCATTGGATATAATTTCAAAAATTGCTAGAAAATCGTCTGTAAAGCTTCATTAGCTAAATCCAATATACATTACAATTTTAAGCACAGAGAAAAGTTTACCGAAGTGACATCTTCAGTCAAATCTCACAAGTTTCTTCGTTCGCAAAATTTATTAAAGAAATTATTTTCAATAAAATTCATCGATAATCATACTTAGCTTAAATATTAGACAGTGATAACGTAATATTATTAAACATATTCTAAATCTGTAATGTAATTAATCGGAGTACAGTGGATATACGTTGCCTATAGCTTGTTTATAGCGTTTTTAAATTTTATTATTTTTGGTGACTTGGAATTTTTTTCACTCGCAAAAAAAAAAGAGAAAAATGATCTAAAGAATTTTCATCGGAAAAGTGGAAAGGCAGATAAGATATTATATTAATAATAAGCTTGTTTGGAAAATAGCCCAAAAATATATATATATATACATATAAAATCAAATTATAAAGTGGAATGAGTGAAAACAATATTAGTAAATCGATAACATCGAATGATACAGCAACAAAAAGGAACAACACGAGTAGTCAAGAATCAGCTAAAATCATTAATATGTCTGAAGACGAATCGAAAAACAACATCAACAGCAAAATAACTAAATCTGGATGGTTGCTAAAATGGACAAATTATTTAAAAGGTATGTAGCTGGTAGCATGTACAGCACACAAGATTGCATCATACCAGTCCAATATACATGCACAGAAAAGAGAGAAAAACATATTTAATCAAGTTCAAATCGATGTGGATTTCAATGACACCGATATACTCAATATTTCTCGTCTTGTCTTGTCTTTTATATTTCTCAGGCTATCAGAAACGATTTTTTGTGCTCTCAAATGGCGTTCTGTCATACTATAGGTGAGCTTATTAATCCACACTTTATATTTAAAAAATTATACTGCGTTTCTCATTCCTATTCATTTTCATTTGTTTTGGCCGTCTGTATGAAGCTTCTTATATACAGTATACAGACGTGGTGAAGATATTGATATTGATATGTCTGTACAGACCTAAGATTATAAGAAATTCAAATTATGTAATGAATGGTGTGTGTTGTTTGATGTATTTTATAATTTCCTTTTTCTTTTACTACCTTTATCTATCTGTCATACACTTGAAATTAAATTAATAATTGGAATATCAACATACATTACACATTGATTATTTATCCTAATTTTCTTATTTACATAAACCTAATTTCTCATACATTTCATTACTATCGATAGTTTCATTAACCCAAATGCAGTATTTTAGAAGAATGTATGGATATCCTCAATGCTGACTAAGAATCGACAATTTCGTGAGAATCAGCATTGGGTATATCCTTGATATTAACACTTTATTGATATTTTAACGTACCTACATATACATTTATTGCATGCATTGCATTATGAATTTATTCACTTGTATCGTGTGCTGAACAGGTGGTAAATAAAATGAAAGCATAGCACAGGCTCGCGCGACTTGACACGCAAAAACGAGGAAAATTTTTCATTTCCTTATACTATGTTCTCTGTTCGAACGGAATGTGTGCATTGATAACATGATTTTATGTTCCTTATCTTTCCATTTTTAAACTTTTCTTTTTTATATTATTATCAATTGAGAAATGCTTTATTGTCATCACTTCTATTGATAACATTCGTTTATTATTAATGAAATGGAATGTTATGGTTATCGACAATTATTAATAATATTATTTCATGCCTAGTTAAACGAGAGAAATTGCTCCGCTACATGCTTTTATTTCTCAGACAATAATAAACTTTTTCAGTCTCGTCACTTCTTTTTTTTTTTTTGACAAGACACACGCGCCTCTTATTCTCTTGAAAATGTATTACTTGATAGTATTAACTTCAACTTTGTTCACCGTTGCTGATAGCAAAATTTAATATTGGTGCAATATGACAAATTTTGGTTTACTCAATGTGATAACCAAAAGAATTTTTGTAGTTGGAGTCAAGTACATTGCAAAATTAACGTAGGTTAAACATTCATGATTTTTTTTTTGAATGATTTATTATTTTTTTAAATTAATTTTGTAACGAACATTTTTAAATTTAAATCCAGTTCTAAATGAACTGAAACGAAATGAACAAAAGTTTTCTGAATTCTCAAATTTACTCAAACCGTCGACTTCACTAAATTATCAGCTAACATCCTTTTCACCATTATAGATTAAAAACAGATTTTTAAAATGTTAACTTAACCCAGCCATTATGTAAAACAAAGCACGCACAACAACTAGGTCAGAGGTTTTTTTTCTCGGATTTTTTTTTTACCTACCTAATTGAATAAATTATGCAAATTTGTGAGAATGTGTGCAAATTTGTGCACATCCATTGAGTAGATCGAATAATTTATTTACAATCTAGTTATGACATTCCAACAGTTTACTTTTTTTATCGGCATGAACTTTTACTTTGACAAGGGCAGATCAAATTTCAAAGAATTTAAAGAGTTTTGGACATGAAAATCATTTATGAATAGACAGTTACTAATCTCCACCACACTCTTGATATTTTTATATTATCAACAACGTGAGACTTTTGATCTTTTCTAATGATCAAGTTGATATTGATCTCACGATAAAGGTGACGTGATCTTATACCAACCTATAATTTAGTGACAGACATACAAAACTTTGTTCCATACGAAAATAATTATCAGCATTTATTTAATGTCATCGGAAATTAACACGTTCATGGCATGTGTGAGAGAGGTGCATTAATTAGAATATCGTTTAGTTCAGGGAAAAAATTAGTAACCAAAATATTTAACACATCATTCATAATCAAGCCAATAATATCATAAAGTCCATACTTCATTTGAATTATTTTTATAGATCATCAGTCATTATTTAGCATTATTTTGTTATCTTTTTTATTATTTTTTGTTTTTATTTTTTTTTCTTCTTTTTTCCTTTCATTTTTTATATTGAAAATTTATTGAAAAATCTGAAAAACCTTAAATCTGATTTTCATACGTCACCTCCATCTGTATAATCTTCTGAAACCTTTTCCTTAACTTTAATTGGATTTTATTGCTTTAAATAAATCACGTTATTGTAAAAAAAAACATGTAAAAAAATCCTTAGAATGCCAAAGAAAAAACATTGGAAACGTAAAAAACTGATGAATTTGATAAAATCCAAAAGCTTAAATGACATTGAATATACCGAAAAATATGAAAATGATGTTTTGTATTTGGGGGACAGGGCTGAGCCAGGAGCAAGTGGTGGATCAACATTGAGTAGTAACAATAAAAGTTCCGTTGGTAAATTGTCAATTCGTCGACGCAGGAAGAATCATAATCATACATCCATAGTGGAGTGAGTAGTCATAAATGAAACTAAATGAAAAAAAAAAATCAATCAATTCCAAATCAGACATTCGTCATTGTTAAGTGCAAATTTTGGTTAGCTTATGCTTTGATTCCTTTATGTTCTCTAATCTTGTTATTTACATTTTTGATTAACTCATTAATTACTTTAATTAAGGTTATCGTTATAAAAGACAATCTAATAATTTTTGGGATCTTCTTAACGATTATTATATGCTGTGCCTCTATCTCACCTCATAGACACATAAATATTCCTGTATAATTATTTTTTTATTTGCGTATAGAACATACTTTCAAACCATTGATTTTTGATGCTAGAACATATTATAGTTTTAAGCAGTGGTCCCGATTGGTTTTAATCCTTAAGTTTGAAAATCGGGAACGGATTTTTGAAATTAAAAATTTTATCGTTCAACAATCCGAGTTCATTTACTTTTGGTTCTAATTTTCAAAATACTCACGAACGTTAAAATTTAAATTTTTGAAAACCGTTGAAAGCTAATTAGTAAAAGCTTTATTACAAGAATCAATAGGGACCTGCATTTCCTCATGCCAGTTTTTTTCCTACTCTCAGCATTACACCTCCATATCATAATAAATAAGGAACAACAGAAAGAAACATACAAAAAAAAAAGATTTAATTAATAATGTATGAAAAGCTAATGTGTATGCTCGCGATAATAGCCACACTGATTTTTACTACGTTTTTTTTTATTCGTAGTTCTATGTTATTTAAAATTTAATTTTATGATGATTTCCAAATAATTTCGTTTGCATGTTCTTAACAAAATCGTTTTTATTGTTATATGGATATTAATTTATGGTTTGTTGTTGACTAAATCAGAGAAAATAAGTCGTAAGGAAAGGACAATTATTGTTTGGAATGTGTTAAAAAGGCATTTGATTAGACTAGAATATTTGATTACTAATTACTTTTCCCTGTCACTAGTACTTTTTGTGTAGCCTGTGTTTCTTCATACACATAAAAGAGACCAGAAAATTTGTGTATGAGACACAAAGGTTCAATAAAAATGTCAATAAATTTTCATGCACTTCCTCCCTTAATACCCGTTGTATATATTGCCTTCTTATTCTTCATACTTTATTTATTTACATATTTTTGTCATAATTTCGCGTTACAATGAGTAAAAAGGTAGTGGCTTTGGTTGGAAGGAAACGAGCAGCAGAACACAAACAAAATCATATTTATCGATCTTTTCTTTCTTTTTTTATGTTTTGGAAAATTCCCTTACAGAAATCAAGCAGAAGTGGCGCATACATGTCGTGGAACAATATCTCTGCATGGCGCCCTAATTCATACAGTTGATTCATGTACATTCGTCATCTCCAATGGTGGAACGCAAACTTTTCATATTAAAGGTAATTTTCAAACTTTTATTTCCCATTATTGCCTTTATTGCATGCACTGTGCGGCAATGAATGAAAGATTTAGTGTGTGATTGCATGGAAATATAATATTATTACATAAAAAACCTTTAGAGCGCATATTCCCAAAGCAATTTAGATAACGTCCTCATTTTGACCAAACTTAGTCGAAAGGAAAATGCGCTGACTTTGTCTACATGCTGCCTTTATTTTCTTAATAACTTTTCTTTTATTTGCCTTTCTCACTCTTTACAATCCTTTCATACCACTCACATTCATCAATTCACAACGAAATCTATAGCAAGTAATGAAGTAGAACGACAATCGTGGGTAACTGCATTAGAACTAGCAAAAGCGAAAGCAATTAGAGCAATTGAAAGTGAGGAAGAAGAGGAAGATAACACTGCAAATGCCATTCCGAGTGAAGAACTGAATGCTGTCGTTCGTGATTTAACGATTAAGTGAGTTAATATTTTTTTGGATCTGACTTATATCCAATAACCCTTTTTTCCTTCTTTCTTTCTATGTTGCGCAATAAATAGATTAGAAAATTTGAAAACTTGTTATGATCTGATAACGAAGCATGGCAGTGCATTGCAGCGAGCTCTCTCGGAATTAGAAAGTGCAGAAGATTTAGCAAATAAAAATAAGATTGTGAATGAACGAGCTACATTATTTAGAATATCATCGAATGCTATGATAAATGCATGTACTGATTATTTATCAACGGCTCAAACGCAAGGACATAAATGGAGTAAAATGCTTCAACATGAGCGCGAACAAAAATTGCATTTGGAAGAAATGGTTGAACAATTGGCAAGACAGCATTCGCATTTAGAGCAGGCAGCTGCACATCAAGGACAACGTGCCCTTGTAACATCGCCAAGTGACGATGAAGAAAATGAGTTTTATGACGCTCAAGAAGGTGCTTCCATTGCCTCAAACGAGGATACATCATTTATATTAAAGATTCCTGGTCCGAAGTCACATCAGAGGGATGATGAGGATGACAGGAGCTCATCCGAAGGCGAGGATTATAAATCTCAACAAGTTTTGGTTGTTTCGGATAATAATGATCCAAATTTATTGAATAGTAACACTGACGTGACTGATAGGGCATCTGTTCATTCGAGCAGTTCCCTTACGCCGCTAAATCTAAAGAATTCGCTTGGAAAGAGACGAACAAAAGTTCCCGATAAGCCTAATCATCCACTCAACTTGTGGAGTATAATTAAGAATTGTATTGGAAAAGATTTGTCTAAAATTCCTATGCCAGTTAATTTTAATGAGCCATTATCGATGTTGCAACGATTAACCGAAGACTTTGAATATTCTGAGCTGCTTGATAAAGCTGCATCGTGTAAAACTGTATGCGAACAATTAGCTTATGTAGCTGCATTTACAATTTCTAGCTATAGCACTACAGCCAATCGTACTGGAAAGCCATTTAATCCCTTATTAGGTATGCATTCGATTTTTTTTCGAAGGTCATAGCATGTAAATTTTATGGCGTGCTTGATTTTTTAAATCGTTGAATTTATTTTTAATCTTGCCATTTTATTTCAGGTGAAACTTATGAATGCGACAGAACAGATGATTTAGGATGGAGATGTCTAAACGAACAAGTTTCTCACCATCCACCAGTCGCTGTCCAACATTGTGAAGGTGATTGAACTTATTTATTCTCATTTTTTTTATTGTTTGCTAATAAATAATTCTACAATTCTAAATGAAATATTTATGTTAAAGGTCGTGGCTGGAAGAGTTGGCAAGAGTTCACAATGACATCGAAATTTCGTGGCAAATATATTCAGGTTGTGCCATTAGGAAATTCGCATGTTGAGTTTACAGCAAGTGGTAATAAATTTTCCTGGCGAAAAGTGACGACAACTGTTCATAATATAATCGTGGGACGTTTATGGGTTGATAATCATGGTGATATGGAAATAATTGGTGAAAAATCAGCTACGGGATACAAGTGTCATTTAAAGTATCTTCCATATTCATACTTTACACGTGATTCACAGCGTAGAGTAAAAGGTGTCGTAATGGATCCAGAAAAACAAGTAAAATGGGTATTAAATGGTACTTGGGATAATAAAATGGAACTTGCCGCTGTTACATCGACCAGTGGATCGCCTGAAAATCCCGTCTACAGAACTTCAAATTATAAGACGATTTGGCAACGACGATTGCCACCGCCTGATTGTGATAAATATTATAATTTCACTACACTTGCATGCCAATTAAATGAGCCAGAAGAAGGTAAGCATACATTTTTTTTGTATATTGAATGATTTATGGGATATTAATGGATATAAAAATTAAGGTGTTGCACCTACTGATACTCGCCTGAGACCCGATCAACGTCTTATGGAGAACTCAAGATGGGATGAGAGCAATGCGGAAAAATTGAGGTAAATATTTACACATCCATTCTTTTTTGCATGTAATTTAATCGCACGCCTTACTTACTTATAGACTTGAAGAGCAACAACGACAACGTCGAAGACAACGCGAGGCAGAAGCCGAAAAAGCAACAATAGAAGGCCGTCCGTATCCACCTTATGATTCTACTTGGTTTAGTAAGGAGAAAGAGGAAGGCACTGACAATGTTATACATGTTTTCAATGGACAGTATTGGGACTGTAAAGCTAAACAAGATTGGTCTAAATGTCCTTCAATTTTCTAAAAAAAAATCTTTAATCATCACCAAAACCGATGGAATCGATTGATTGACAAACGATTTCTTGTGCAATGAACTTTGTAAACTTTTTCTCCTTGGTATTTCTTTTTGATATTGGTACGTAGTACACACAAAATTTTTTGCTTAAACTAAATACTTCTTTAATAACTATGAAGCTGCGTTTCCTAAAAAAACTAGGCTAAACTGTACTAGATGGGGCACCCTTTTATTTTTGATTTTAAAAGTGTTTTCTTATTGCTTTTAATGTGTAAATTTATAAAAACAAAAGTTTTTCTGGCGGAAATGCATTTGGAACAAAAAAATTTTTTTGCAGTTAATTTGCAGGAGGTTTGCAGTTGATCAAAAAAATTCATTTGCAGTTAATTTGCAGGAGGTTTGCAGTTGATCAAAAATTTTATTTTTGTAAAATGTATTTTTTTTTAAAAAAAAACTTCGATTTAGAAAAGAAAACCTCAACTGCAAACCTCCTGCAACCCATTTGCAAAAATAAATTTTTTTGATCAACTGCAAACCTGCAAATCACCTGCAAAAATAAAATTTTTGATCAACTGCAAACCTCCTGCAAATAAATTTTTTTGATCAACTGCAAACCTCCTGCAAATTAACTGAAAAACACCTGCAAAAATAAAATTTTTGATCAATTGCAAACCTCCTGCAAAAATAAGATCCTGCAATAAGAAAACACTTTTAAAATCAAAAATAAAAGGGTGCCCCACCTCGTACAGGTTTACCAAAAACTATAATATATTTGATGAAAATTTATCTCAAAAAAGTTATTATATTATTATTATTATTGCTACAACTATTATTATTATTGAAATAATAATAGTAATAAAAATTGTTAAATTTACAAAACATTATTTTGTTTTATTTTTAACGGTTTTTTTCAGATTTGAAACATTTGTCATTTTTGGGAAGTTCAGCTGATAAATTCAAATAATCTTCAATAACGACAAAAACATTAAATAAAATTAGATAATTTAATAATTTCACGTTAATTAAGCTTTGATTTGCATTAGAAAACATTACAATGAGCAGAAAGGAAGAAACTAAAGTATATCAGCTAGAAGATTTAAGTTCTTTAGTTGAAAATGTTCCAGAAAAACTGCAAGATGCTGTAACTCAAATTCATTATGGGATTTTGTGTCATGAAGCGTACAATAATTGTAGTTATGTCTGGTCCAAAGATGATTTCGAGCTTGGAACGCCATTAGGAAAAGGTTTGTATCATTATAAGCTGGCTAATAGTTGAATATTGAATGAAAATTTAATTCTGGATCTTTAGGAAAATTCGGACGTGTTTATATTGCTAGAGAGAAGAAAACCAAGTTTCTTGTTGCCATGAAGATCCTCTTTAAATCAGAACTGGTTAAAGGTCGTGTTGAAAAGCAAGTTCTTCGAGAACTCGAGATCCAGTCGAGATTAAAGTGAGTTATAATAAATCAAAATTAATACAGTGGCTAATGATAACATCAATTCCAGGCATCCAAACATCCTCAGATTGTTTAATTGGTTCTATGATGATCGTAAAATTTATATAGCTCTTGAATTGGCGAGTGAAGGTGAACTGTACAGACATTTAAAGGCCTCGCCTCACGGGAGATTTAATGAGCGTAGAGCAGCTAAGTACACCTATCAAGTTGCCGATGCTCTTCATTACTGCCATTTAAACAATGTTATTCATCGAGATTTAAAGCCTGAGAATTTGCTTCTTACTGGCGATGACAATATAAAACTTGGTGAGATCCAAAAAATTCAATTAATTACTAATGTACAATAACTAATAGTGAGTTAACTATAGCTGATTTTGGATGGTCTGCACATACGCTTTCAAATAAACGTAAGACAATGTGTGGAACCTTGGATTATTTGCCACCAGAAATGGTTGAAAGCAAGTCATACGACGATACAGTTGATCAATGGTGCTTAGGAGTTTTGTGCTATGAATTTCTGGTTGGGAGTCCTCCATTCGAGTCAGAAGATTCTGAAAAGACTTATGCTAAAATTAGACGAATTGAAGTTCATTATCCAAGATACGTTACACAAGGTGCACGAGATCTCATTTCAAAGCTACTCAAACCAAATGGATTGAGAATATCATTAAGAGAAGTTATGGTTCATCCGTGGATAAAAGAGAATAAGAAAAAGCAATTGGACGAGACATTTACAGCCGTTTAAGAATTAATTTTGTGTTAATTAATCCAGTAAACAGTTACAACTTTGTATCCAAATTAGCATATATTATGTAAAAAGCCAGCAGTTCCATTTTTCCGTTAATGTTCAAACAAATGTAAAGGGCGCTCTCTATGCTGAAAAAACATTGTAAAACATTCAATTCTCGCTCTCAGCACTCTCATTTTCCTCTCAGTCAAGTCAGTCTCGTTTTGCATTTTAGACTTGAAACAACTGCTTATTTTTTTATCTGCATATTATATTCCTATTATTTTCTACACAATTTATTTTACACACAATTTTAATTTCGTCTAAAATATTCATCGTAATCTAATCTCTAATTTCTTGCAACTGTAAAGCTATTCTTAATGCTGTAAAAATAAAGGAACTGATAAAATCTAATACGCAGAATATTCACACATTAAAAATAAACCTCAAACAAAACGCAAAAGAAATTCAAAAAAAAAAGATATTTACGTAAATTTTACGGAGAATGTACGATTAATTTATAGTATAGCAGTAACAAAAGTTGTGAAATAAGTATAGAAAGTTATATAAAAAAAAAGTTTAAATTTGCAGGAAAATCCTGTTTAGTGTCTACCTGTTGAACATATTAAATTTGTCTGTATTAGTCATAACAAAAGTAAAAAAAACAAGCATAAAAGTAATATAAAAAAAGAATCAGGAAGATACAGTACAATAAGAAGAAGAAAATAAGTAGAGTACATATCATATACATAGTTTAAGCTCAGCACGTAAACATCTGACGATTGAGTGTATTTGTAAATCGAGGATTTTACCCTTAATCATCATCATCAAGCGGATAAGTTTGCGGAAATATCCACAGAACATAAAAGATGCGTCATAAGAATGATCAATTCGAAGAAATTGGCAAGCTTATAAATAATTTTGAGACTGAAGATGTCATCATCCAATCGATGAAATTAAAGGAAATCCTTAAAATTTTTACTAAAAACATTGTGGACGATAAGACTTTAAGGTAATGACTAACACGTTGTTGTACATGCTATAAACGTAATAATAATATAATAATCTACATAACTGCTTTACATTCAGTGATTTATTTGACTTCCTCAACACAAAAGCACTTCAAGACGATGGCTTCATAACAAAATTCGTTTGCGTTCTTTGTACTCGCCAAATGGAAGCGTTTACAGCAAATGGCAAGTCATCGAGAAATGCATGCATCGAAATCTTGCAAAAGAACTTTCAGTGTAAGTGAATGTGACATTTTTTCTCGTCGTCACTAAAAGAGATTATAAACAAGCTTATTTTACGGCAGGTGCTGACCATTATAAACGTGATGATGTCAATAAATTTTATAATTCTTTGAAATTGCTCGGCGAATACTTCAATAAGGCCAGAAATGCTAATGGAAGTCCAATAAATATTTTGGGACAATCACTGCTGAATCTCCTGAATTTGGAACTTGAAAAGGAGCTCAAAACGCTCTTTCATTTAAAAAATGACAGCTTTAGTGAACTTATTCTAACTCAGGTACGGCATGGTGCTTTATATTATTATTGCCAACATGCTCATTGCTATGGATATTTCTGTTTCAGATGGCTCTTAATGGAAATCTCTTGAAAAATCGTCATAAAACAGAAATCGAATCAATGCTGATGAACACAAGGAAGTGCCTAATTGAAATAAATTCATTGTCATCCAAGACGAAAGCCTTTCTTATCATGACACTCGATCTCTATTACAGTAACTTTAATGATGCGAATTTAGAAAAGTCTATAGAAAAGATTTACGAACCGTATTTGCTGGAATGTGCTAATAAAAATATTTCAAAGGAAATTAAAAAATCTGAAGAGCCAGAAAAAGTAATAAAAGTCACCAGTAAGCTTCAACAGCCAACAACGTCACAAAAATCAACAGTATCAAGCGAGAGGAGGTACGAAAGACAACCAAGTGTTGCTAAAACTGTTCCAGTTAAGCCAATACGACCACCATTAAGGAAATCTGAGCCTGTTCAACACTCAAATAGCTACAATTCAAATAATATCCACCAACAAACCCAACGATCACATTCAGTTCCTCAAACGATCCAGCATAAATCACCACAAAAGAAAATATCACCAAAGGAATTACGTACAAGAACTAACAGTAACAACAAGACATCACCAAGAAATGACAAAGTTTCATCGTCGAATATAAGTCCAAGAGCATTGCATAGAGTCGAAAGTGCCATTGATAAATTACAAATCAAAAGTTCAAATGATATAAAACAAACGTCAAACACATCAGAACCTGTACCTCAATCAGCAAATGATGAAAATTTAATTTTAAAGCAGCAAAATTCCAATGGAAATTCAGCTGTAAAATCATCGAAAAATTCAGGAACGAGCAAAGTGTATTTTAAAGAAGAGAATGTCGAGAATTTAAGTTGGAATGGAGAGACGTCTTTTGAAGATCCCGAAAATCCAGCTGATCCAACATCACCAAATCAATATTCTAGCTCGTTCCTCAATTTCTTAAGTAACAATTAGACTAAAACTTTTAGATTGTACATAAAAACATGAGTAAAGCTTTTTTATTGTTAAAATATTATTTTTTTATAGATTAAACTTTTTATCATCGTCAAATCGATTATATTTTTTTTTCAACATTAGTTTTATCTTCCTTTTTTTATAAATAAAGTGCTTAGATGTATATTTTTATAAACTAAACTACGGTACACTTGACTAATAATTAACCAGAAAAAGGAAAAATTAATACACATTAACATCACTTTTTAAATTCTACATTAAATGGTTTGAATCTTTTTTAGCTTCGTTACATAAAATTCAAGGGTCAAAAATGATGGACATAATGAGTAAGCTCTTGTTGATTAAATTAAATTGCAAAACAACTTAAAGAACAATGCCCAAAAATATTTGAAAATTAACGGTTTTTGTAAAATTTAAATTCTCGACAACCATACAAAAGCTTTCGTTTTTAGTACCTAGGCAAATTAATTACGTTAAAAAAATTTGAATTTGAATAAAAAACCGTTAAACCAGAACCTCACAACAGATTTTGATCGTGGAAACTAGCTGTTTTCTTGAAACTAGCTAGAATGCAAATAATTTCAACATAAGCTTTATTTACACATCATTAACAGACTGTTGATCCCTCGGTAAAAAATTAATAGAGTAAGTCACACTAAATTTGCAATTTTAAATTCTGAATAATGAAGTAAGAATGTGGACTATAATAAAATGCAATATGTATATAACGCGTATCCTATAAAAAGAAGTCATCCAATTTGGCGCAATTTTATCTGGCTGATCTGATCTCATAAGGTATGTAAATTCATTAATGATGCAATGCACAATGTGTTATCATATTTGTAGCTTAAATGTTAAGTTACTTACTTTAAATTTATCTAGTTTGCTTTAATGCGATCCGTTTTGATTAAATTAGGTATTTTTTTTTAAAAGTATGATAAGTTGATTCCGTATAGTTCTTGCTATAGGAAATTGTTTAATTGGCCAAGCTGTGGATGTAGATGAGAAAATAAGAATCCTATGGTCAAATTTAAAGCTTAATACTTACCAAAGTGTGTCGATGTACTTCTTTATCAATGACAAGCTGTGTCTGCTGGGGAGTAAATTTTAAGACAGCTGCAATTACTTTCACCAAAGTCGTGCCATTGGCATTAACGTGACCCGAAAGATACTGTAAAATAAGTGGTTCTTAATCTTATGTGCATTTTTTGGACTGTCTAGTACTTACTTGGAACAAAATGTTTCTGAGATATTCAAATTCCGTATTGGCTTGAATTCCTTCATTGTGATGCATTGAGACCTGATTTAATGATTACATAAATTATTAATGTTTTTGCAGCAATAATTTATGACTCGTTTACAGAATGACGTCAATCGAAGACCTACATTTTTGGACGTCATTCTGTAAATGAGTTGTACGATGCTTACCAGAGTTTCATCAAGCTGCCTCATCAGCTTCTCATTCGTTAGTTTTAATCTTTCATTTGATTGCTCAAGTATGAGATAATTTTCGACCTTTTGTTCCAGGAATAGATTCTTATTTGACACATCTTCAACGTCTATCATGATTTTCTTTAATTTATCGGCAAGTTCGTCTCGTTCAACTTTGATGGATGAAAACTCATCGCTATTACTAGATTCAATTAAATCATCATCGCTTTTATTTGCTTTTTCTTTCACTAGTTGATCATATTTGACTTTTAGCTCATTAAATTCTGAATTGATTTGGGCAAAGTGTTGCGAATTTTCTTGGAGCTCTTCAATCTCTTGTGTCATATCTGAAATTCGTCTCTCGCTTGTTTTTTCAAGATTTTCTAATTTTTCAAGAAGCTTGGAATTTTCCATTTGAAGTGATTCATATTTATCGGATATTTTCATACTCTTGACTGTATTTAGTTCTTTATCCATTGTGGATATTTTCATATTATGACTTTCGACCTCCCCAATCAATTTTGCATTTTCTTCTCGTAGCGCTTCCATCTCTTTCAAGTTATCATTAAAATCTTTATTTAAATCACTAATTATGCTTCTGCTGCTCTCAATTTCCTTTTCAAGCTTACTTTTTTCTTCATTGGCTTGATTAAACTTGTTATTGACTTCTTGGATCTCATTTTGAATGTCTGTAAGTTTTTCTTCAGCTGCTAAATGCTTGTCTTTAGCTTCCTTACATTGACTTTGTAATGTTGCATGCTTAAGTTCTGTTTCCTTGCAGCGATTCTCGAGTGCTGCATAGTTCTGTTCAACATCTTTACAGTGATTTTCTATAGCTACACGCTTCACTTCCAATTCCTTACAGTCTTTTTCCAACAAATTAAATTTATTGTCGACTTCCTTCTTCTCATTTCGCAATGAATCCATCTCGATTACCAATTTATCATATTCGCATAACTTAATTTCAAATTCCTTCAATTTTGCAGACAACTCATTATTTTCGGTAATATGAGATGAGAGCTGTTCCTTCATGCCATCATAATCTGATAGTGAATTTAATTTGATTTCCAATTCATTGACTTTTGTGCTCAACTCAATATTTTCAGCTTGGATATTTGCTGTTAATTTTTCTCTCATTTCCTTGAGACTTTTAATTTCATCATTTTTCTCGTCTATCTCCTTTGCTAGTTCATTCTTGCTCGCCAGCTCGTCTTTTAAATTGCTTAAATCAGTTTGGAGTTGATTGACTATTGTCTGCAAATATTCATTTTGAATTTTAATTTCTTCGTAATTTTTCATTTTCTTTTCTATATCCGTTGCATTCTTATGCAATGATTCAGTAAGTGATTGTTTCTCATCACTCGTTAATTTTAGCATGTTCTCCAACTCTGCGAGTCTGTTTTGATTCTTTGCATTGAGTGTGTCAAGTTCACTTTTTAGTGATTTATTTTTCTCACTTAAATTCTTATTGAATCCACTCAATTTATCCATTTCTGCCTTCATGTTATCAAACGACTTTTGAAGTTCATCTCTTGTTACAATCATTGCTTCATTTTCCGTTTTGATGTTATTCACGACAATCCTTAAATTATCACAACATTCTGTCAAGTTTGACTTTTCATTTTTACATGCGGTTAGTTCCTCTTGAGCAAGCTTTAAATCTTCCATTAGACATAATTTTTCTTTCTCAATCTTTTCATTTGCATCTTGTAATGATCGATGTTGATGATCAAGCTGTTCCTTTTCGTCAAATAATCGTGCATGATCGCCAGTTAATTGAGTAATTCTATCATTAAGTGTGAGAATCTCTTCCTCTAATTTACTTGAATGATTAATTAGTCTATCATGTTCATCGCGCAGTGATTCTTGATTTTCTGACAAATTAGATTGTAATCTTTTTATTTCATCGAAATTACGATGTGAGCTTTCTTCTAATAAGCAATTCTTTTCAGCTAATTGAGAATTCTCACATTGAATTTCCTGCAATTTTGATTCAAGTTCTTTAACTTTAATTTGCCATTTATGTATTTGATCCTTTTCCAATTTAGATTTACTATCATTATGCTGTCGTTGAATCTTTTCGATTTTCTCTTCCAACTTTTGTTTTTCAGCTTGAATGCTTGAATGACTTGTCCTTACTTCCTTTAATTGTTCTTCTAAACGACCAATTTCCTGTAGAATGTTTGTGACTTGAGCTTTAAGTTCATTTTTCTCTCGAATTTCTCGTTCCAACGTTTTTTCCAAGTCACGTTTTTCATTTTTCAAGGAATCAATTTTCGACTTGCAAGTATCACGTTCTTTTTCAATATCACCATACTTTTCTATCATTTCCTCGTGCTTCCTTGTTAATGACGACATTTCTATTGATTTATCCTCAATTATTTTGTTGAGTTCATCCTTCGTCTTATGCAAGTTTGTTTCCAACTCAGCCACAGTTTTTCTCATTGATTCTTGCAGTGTATTGATCGTTTCCGATTCCGTACTTTCACTAATTATTTTAATGCTCTTAATTTCCTCGTTTAATAAAATCTTTTGTCTTTGTAGCTCATTTATGTCATCTTTACATTTCTTAATCTCAACATTTAGACTTTCATTTTGATTTTGAAGGGATGCTTTGTCATCAGCTAGTTCCTTAAACTTGTTATTGACTTTCTCAATTTTATCCTTCATGTCTTTCAGCTCATTATTTACCGTCTTTTTCTCTTCAAACACTTCTTTTAGACGCTCTTCAAGCTTTAATTTATCTTTGGAAATGGTCTCAAAATCACTTGCTTGCTTTTTAAACTTTTCTTTTATTGCTTTAAGCTCACCACTTAGTGCTTTCTCATTAACTTCCATTGTTGCTATCATTTCCTTATAATTTTTTACCTCTGATTCTTTATTTTCCAACTCAGAATGAATCATCATTTTATTTTGTGCCATTGTAATATTATTCTCGTCCTCAGACATTTTTAATGAACTTATTTCCTTCATTGAGCTTTCAAGCTGCTCAGTCAGCTGTTTTATTGTGCTCTCATACTTACTGATTTCATCAGTATGAGTTTGCTTTAATTCATTCAATTCCATTTCGAGTCTTTTGATAAGCTCATTATGTTCATTAGACGTGTCTGCTTCGCTTGAGAAATTTATAAGGCTATCTTCCTTCGATGAGGAACCATTTAAAATGTTATCGGGATTTTCACCAAGCAATTCTAATTTTGTTTTAAGGGTCTTAACTACACATTGCATATCATCCATTTCTAATCTTAATGCACTTTCTAAATGAGCTTTTGCTTGTTGCTCTAATTGACACTGTTCCTTTAACTCACTAATGCGACGAAGTGCTTTATCTTGGGTCTCGACGAGAACTTGCCGTGCTTTAGCATTGTCCTTTTCGAGTTCTCTAAATCTCCTAACAATATCCGTATAACGACCTCTATATTTTTGATATTTATCTAGTGAGTTTCTGTACGCTTGATAGATGTGTTCTTTACTAATTTGTTCAAGTTGAGCATCAACTGATGGCGCGAAATTTGAATCTTCAGCCTCACTTGCTGATTCCCAATCTGATTGAAGATTATGTGCCTTAAAAACAGTATTAATATATTTAAACAGTATTACTGAATTGTTATTGCATGTGCAATAATATTGAATAGCTTACAGGCTGCGAATCGTAGTGTGGTAAACGAAAACTGACATCACTTGCTACTGATGAATTAGATAATCGTCTTGCTCGCTGCTGCGATGTATTACCGTTATTCACAATTGTAGAACTTTGCGATGATGGACTGTATAAATCTACACTGACTGTTTTACTGCTACTTGATGGAGTCGACGAACTATTTAGTGGTATTTTCATTGGAGAATTTTGGGGTGTATCTTCGCTGAGTGAGAAAAAATTTTCATTTGCTGATGACGAGTATTCGCTGTTTTGATTTGTGTTGGATGTGACATTTTCATCAGAATTTGAACTAGAACTTGCTGAACTAACAGCCGCCTTTAAATAAATAGATACCGAACAATATAAATACACTTCAATGCATTGATTTACTTTGAATAAACAATGAATCGCTGTAATTTAATTATTTGATTTTCTCCCTTTCTCTTTTCGACAAAATTTCATTCATTTTTCACAATTTTCCCATACCTGTGCTGTATTTAAGATCTGTTCCCATCTAGCGGGCGATTGCTTCACTTCTTCTGCGATCTTATCCTTAAGTTTCTTGAACATTTTCCCGATCTTTTAAGGAAAAACTTAATTTTATTAAGAATTTTGCTCAAATATTTTCAATTTACTCTTCACTCTCTCACTTTTGCGTCTTTGTGCCACGGTTCGCATCTTTTAAGCCTCTTTTTCCTTATAAAATGTCCGATTGTCACAAATCCCAATATTTTATTTATAAATAGAAAAGCGCTTTTTGCATAGATTACATAGTTTTGTTTACTTGAAAAAAGTGAGACAAAAACGAAAATAAAGCCGAAAAAATTCAACAAATTAAGTTTTATCGTGTTAAATTAACTAATTTAAGCGTATAAATATAACAAACTCAGACTAGAAGGTAAGTAGAGCTGATTTAAATAGAAGTGTATCTTAAAAGGCTTGAATTTATATGATTTTTTGCAAATTTACTAATCAACATTTTGAAAACAGACATTTTCGATTCCAAACGTTTAGAAAAATGCGCTAGTTCCGCTTAATAAATTGATTTAGCTGTTTTATAGTCCGTCTATCTCATATAAATCCTATTAAAAGAGAGCATTAGAAGATAATTTAATAATACTAAGTTATTAACCTCAATTTACAGGTATTAGAAGGAGGATTTAAAGTTATCCAGCATGAATCCTTATATGCTACCACCAGGGATGGGTCCTCCCCAATCTCCTTGGACAGCACAACTTATGGCTCAGCAACAGGCAATGATGGCTCAACAAATGCACGCTCAGCAATTAGCAGCAACGCAAATTCAAATTCCCCCAAGTACAGGAATGGATTGGAATTTTGGAAATCCACCTCCACCAAGAGAAGAAACAAAGATGATCATAAGTGAAGAAAAATTACAGGAAAAATCACAGAAATGGTCACAACTTCAATCAAAACGATTTGCCGAAAAGAGGAAGTTTGGATTTGTTGATGCACAAAAAGCTGATATGCCTGCCGAACATGTTCGAAAGATTATTAGAGATCATGGAGATATGACTAGTAGAAAATATAGACATGATAAGAGAGTCTATTTGGGAGCATTAAAGTATATGCCTCATGCAGTCATGAAACTTTTAGAGAATATGCCAATGCCATGGGAACAAATTCGAGACGTTCAAGTTTTGTATCATATTACAGGAGCTATAACATTTGTAAATGAAATTCCATGGGTAATTGAACCTCTATATATTGCATTATGGGGTACAATGTGGATTATGATGAGACGTGAAAAGCGAGATCGTCGTCACTTTAAAAGAATGAGATTCCCACCATTTGATGACGAGGAACCGCCTTTAGATTATGCTGATAACGTTCTTGATGTTGAACCGTTAGAAGCTATTCAAATTGATTTAGATCCAGAAGAAGATGGCAGTGTCTTTGATTGGTTTTATGAACATAAGCCACTTGTTGGAACTCCACATGTCAATGGATCTACATTCAGAAAATGGAATTTGACATTGCCACAAATGGCTACATTATATCGTTTAGCAAATCAATTATTGACAGATCTTGTCGATGAAAACTTTTTCTATCTCTTTGATCCAAAGAGTTTCTTTACTGCTAAAGCCTTAAATATGGCAATTCCCGGCGGTCCCAAATTCGAACCTTTAATCAAGGATCAGCATTTAGGCGATGAAGATTGGAATGAATTTAATGATATCAATAAAATAATCATTCGTCAACCTGTAAGAACTGAATATCGTATTGCATTTCCATATCTCTACAACAATATGCCGCTTTACGTCCATCTTTCGTGGTAAGTCACTTGCTTTTTTTTTCTGTGTCAAGAATTCCATGTATGAATAGGGTTATTTTCGAAAGATTCTAAACTTCCCTTTGTTGGCGTGGATAGATTAAATCAAAGCAATTAATCTTTACTACAATATATGCTAATTTTGCATATGAACTGAATTGTAAAGTGAATGCCATTTCCTTCATACCATAAATTGGGTATATTAAGGGCTGAGTTTCACTTATATTAATACAAAAAAATTTATTTTTTGTAGGTATCACACGCCAAGTGTCGTTTACATCAAAACTGAGGATCCAGATTTGCCAGCATTTTATTTTGATCCATTGATTAATCCTATTGCTCATCGTCATGGTGTTAAATCTGTTGATCCATTACCAGATGATGACGAAGAGTTTATTCTACCGGATGAACTTCAGCCATTTTTACAAGATACACCACTCTATACTGACAATACAGCTAATGGAATTGCCTTATTATGGGCTCCAAGACCATTTAATATGCGATCAGGACGTTGTCGTCGTGCAATTGATGTTCCAATCGTTAAATGCTGGTATAAAGAACATTGTCCACCAGGAAATCCAGTTAAAGTTCGTGTCAGTTATCAGAAATTGCTGAAATATTATGTCCTTAATGCTTTAAAACATCGCAGACCAAAGCCACAAAAGAAACGTTATCTGTTCAGATCATTCAAGGCAACAAAGTTTTTCCAAACAACGACATTAGATTGGGTAGAAGCTGGATTACAAGTGACAAGACAAGGATATAATATGTTAAATCTGTTGATCCATCGTAAAAATTTAAACTACCTTCATCTTGACTATAATTTCAACTTAAAACCTGTAAAAACATTGACAACAAAAGAGAGAAAAAAATCCCGTTTCGGAAATGGTGAGTTAATGCATTTCATTTATTTAACTTTGAGATTAGTTTAATCGTGCGATTAAAAAAATATAACCTAGATTTAAAGAAAATTCCTTCTATTTTACTACGTTTTTCTTTAAAAAACAATTTTACTATTTAAATCTAAATAGAGCAAATTTATTTACAGCTTTCCATTTATGTCGTGAAATTCTGCGTTTGACAAAATTAATTGTGGACTCTCATGTTCAATACAGATTGAATAATGTTGATGCTTTCCAACTTTCGGATGGTTTGCAATACATTTTTGCTCACGTTGGTCAATTGACGGGAATGTATCGTTACAAATATAAACTTATGAGACAAATTCGTATGTGTAAGGATTTAAAGCATCTGATTTATTATCGATTCAATACTGGATCTGTTGGAAAAGGTCCTGGATGTGGTTTTTGGGCACCTGGATGGAGAGTTTGGCTCTTCTTTATGCGTGGAATTACACCTTTATTGGAGAGATGGTTAGGAAATCTTTTGTCACGTCAATTCGAAGGTCGTCATAGTAAGGGAGTCGCCAAAACTGTGACAAAACAACGTGTTGAATCTCATTTTGATTTGGAATTGAGAGCATCCGTTATGCACGATATCGTTGACATGATGCCAGAAGGAATTAAGCAGAATAAAGCGAGAACAATTTTGCAACATTTATCAGAAGCATGGCGTTGTTGGAAGGCAAATATTCCATGGAAAGTTCCTGGACTTCCGATTCCGATTGAAAATATGATTCTTCGTTATGTAAAAATGAAGGCAGATTGGTGGACAAATACAGCACATTATAATCGTGAGAGAATTCGTCGTGGAGCAACTGTTGATAAGACTGTTTGTAAAAAAAATTTGGGTAGATTAACAAGATTGTACTTGAAGGCTGAACAAGAGAGACAGCATAATTATTTGAAAGATGGTCCATACATTTCTCCAGAAGAAGCTGTTGCCATATACACAACAACAGTTCATTGGTTGGAATCGAGAAGATTTGCTCCAATTCCTTTCCCACCGTTATCATACAAACACGACACAAAATTGTTGATTTTGGCACTCGAAAGATTAAAGGAAGCTTACAGCGTAAAATCACGTCTAAATCAGAGTCAACGAGAAGAACTTGGATTGATTGAACAGGCTTATGATAATCCTCATGAAGCTTTATCGAGAATCAAAAGACATTTACTTACTCAGAGAGCATTTAAAGAAACAGGAATCGAATTTATGGACTTGTACAGCCATTTAATTCCAGTTTATGATGTAGAACCTTTAGAAAAGATTACCGACGCATATCTTGATCAATATTTATGGTATGAAGCAGATAAACGTCGACTATTCCCTCCATGGATTAAACCCAGCGATACAGAACCTCCACCGCTTTTGGTCTATAAATTCTGTCAAGGTAAGCTTAAGTTAGATTCTTAATTTTGTGAGTGAAAATGATTTTTGGTGATTATTGTGGGCGTGTGCTTTGTAGCATAGAGATTAGATTTGATTTGTCCCCTTGTTACAAACCTCACGCTTACGGTAAGTCATTTGACAACACATTATAAGCTGTAGCTCATCAGTGACGTGCATATTTAGTGGCTCAAATAATTAATGATTTAATTTGCATAGGAATCAACAATCTGCAGGATGTTTGGGAAGTTTCTGAAGGAGAATGTAATGTTCTTATGGAATCAAGATTCGAGAAGTTGTATGAAAAGATTGATTTGACACTTTTGAATCGATTGCTTCGTCTCATCGTGGATCATAATATTGCTGATTATATGACAGCTAAGAATAATGTCGTTATTAATTATAAGGATATGAACCATACGAACAGTTATGGAATTATTCGTGGTCTACAATTTGCATCGTTCATCACACAATATTATGGTCTTGTATTGGATTTACTTGTGCTTGGTCTTCAACGTGCTAGCGAAATGGCTGGACCTCCTCAAATGCCCAATGATTTCTTGACTTTTCAAGACACAGTCGCTGAAATATCACATCCAATTCGATTGTACTGTCGTTATGTCGATAAGATTCACATCTTCTTCAGGTAAGCTTCATAATTTGACTTCCTTTTTGTCACAAAGTTATTAAGGATTTTCTTTATAATCCATTAGATTCACAGCAGAGGAAGCAAGAGACTTGATTCAAAAGTATTTGACTGAACATCCAGATCCTAATAATGAGAATATTGTTGGCTATAATAATAAGAAGTGCTGGCCAAGAGATGCAAGAATGCGATTGATGAAACATGATGTCAATTTGTAAGCTAATAAACTTCCATTTCCTTAATTAATCAAAAAGTTATAGTCAAATTTCTAATTTTACAGAGGAAGAGCCGTTTTTTGGGATATTAAGAATAGATTACCACGTTCAGTAACAACTGTTCATTGGGACAATACATTCGTGTCTGTATATTCAAAGGATAATCCAAATTTGCTGTTTAATATGGCTGGATTTGAATGTAGAATTCTTCCAAAATGCAGATTACAGCATGAAGAATTTACACATCGTGATGGTGTTTGGAATTTGCAAAATGAAGTTACTAAGGAAAGAACAGCACAATGTTTCTTGAGAGTCGATGATGAATCATTAAATAGATTCCATAATCGTGTAAGACAAATTTTAATGGCTTCAGGATCAACAACATTCACAAAGATTGTCAATAAATGGAACACAGCACTTATTGGATTAATGACATACTTCAGAGAATCAGTTGTAAATACACAAGAATTACTTGATTTACTCGTCAAGTGCGAAAATAAGATTCAAACTCGTATCAAAATTGGCCTAAACTCAAAAATGCCTTCAAGATTCCCACCTGTTGTGTTTTACACACCAAAAGAATTGGGAGGTTTAGGAATGTTGTCAATGGGACACGTTTTAATTCCACAATCTGACTTGAGATGGTCAAAACAAACAGATGCTGGAATTACTCACTTCCGATCTGGTAATTTGATACCTGTAAATGTTGGTATTACAATTTTATTAATTTTATTCTTCATTCTCGTTTGTTTATAGGTATGTCACATGACGAAGATCAATTGATTCCTAATTTGTATCGTTATATTCAGCCATGGGAAAGTGAATTTATAGATTCTCAGCGTGTATGGGCTGAATATGCTTTAAAACGTCAAGAAGCGAATGCACAAAGTCGTAGATTGACTCTTGAAGATTTAGAAGACAGTTGGGATCGTGGTGTTCCTCGAATTAACACCCTATTCCAAAAAGATCGTCATACACTTGCTTATGATAAAGGCTGGCGTATCAGAACTGAGGTAATTATTTCTATCGGATATTTCAAAATTTGAATTTTAACGGCTATTTTAAATTTAAAAAAAAGAACTGAAATGACATGAAGTTTAATTTACTAAACAAATCTTAATTTTTTTTTAAATTTATTTCAATTATAGTTCAAGCAGTATCAAGTTTTGAAGCAAAATCCTTTCTGGTGGACACATCAGAGACACGACGGAAAATTGTGGAATTTAAATAATTATCGTACAGATATGATTCAAGCTTTGGGAGGCGTTGAGGGTATTCTTGAGCACACATTATTCAAAGGAACTTATTTCCCAACATGGGAAGGTTTGTTCTGGGAGAAAGCCTCTGGTTTCGAAGAGTCGATGAAATATAAGAAACTGACAAATGCACAGCGTAGTGGTTTGAATCAAATTCCAAATCGTCGTTTTACTTTATGGTGGTCACCAACAATCAACAGAGCTAATGTCTACGTTGGTTTCCAGGTTCAGCTTGATTTGACTGGAATTTTCATGCATGGTAAAATTCCGACTCTGAAAATCTCATTGATTCAAATTTTCCGTGCGCATTTGTGGCAAAAGATTCACGAATCTATTGTTATGGATTTATGTCAAGTTTTTGATCAAGAATTGGATGCTTTGGAGATTGAAACAGTACAGAAGGAAACAATTCATCCACGTAAATCATACAAAATGAATTCGTCATGTGCTGATATTCTTCTTTTCCCTGCCTATAAATGGAATGTCTCGAGACCTTCATTGTTGGCTGATTCAAAAGATACTATGGATAATACAACAACACAAAAGTATTGGATTGATGTGCAGCTTCGATGGGGTGATTATGATTCCCATGACATTGAAAGATACTCGAGAGCTAAATTCTTAGATTATACAACAGACAATATGTCAATCTATCCATCTCCAACGGGTGTTTTAATTGCAATAGATTTAGCATATAACTTGCATAGTGCTTATGGAAATTGGTTCCCAGGTTGTAAGCCTTTAATTCAACAAGCTATGGCTAAAATTATGAAAGCTAATCCTGCATTATATGTCTTGAGAGAACGTATCAGAAAGGCACTTCAATTATACAGTTCAGAACCAACTGAGCCTTACTTATCATCTCAAAATTATGGAGAATTGTTCAGTAATCAAATCATTTGGTTTGTGGATGATACTAATGTATATCGTGTAACAATTCACAAAACATTTGAGGGTAATTTAACAACAAAACCAATTAATGGAGCTATTTTCATCTTTAATCCTCGAACTGGACAGTTATTCTTGAAGATTATTCATACGTCAGTATGGGCTGGTCAGAAACGTTTAGGACAACTTGCAAAATGGAAAACTGCTGAAGAAGTTGCTGCTTTAATTCGATCACTTCCAGTTGAAGAACAACCTAAACAGATTATTGTAACCAGAAAGGGAATGTTGGATCCACTTGAAGTCCATTTACTTGATTTCCCTAATATAGTAATTAAGGGATCAGAATTGCAATTGCCTTTCCAAGCATGTTTAAAAGTTGAAAAGTTTGGTGATTTGATCTTGAAAGCGACAGAACCACAAATGGTTCTCTTCAACTTGTATGATGATTGGCTCAAGACAATTTCATCATATACTGCATTCTCACGTCTCATTTTAATCCTTCGTGCACTTCATGTTAATACAGAACGAACAAAAGTCATTTTAAAACCTGATAAGACGACAATTACTGAAGCTCATCACATTTGGCCAACATTAAGTGACGAAGAATGGATAAAGGTTGAAGTCCAATTAAAAGATTTAATTTTGGCTGATTACGGAAAGAAGAATAATGTGAATGTCGCGTCATTGACACAATCTGAAATTCGTGATATTATTTTGGGTATGGAAATATCTGCACCATCAGCACAACGTCAACAAATTGCTGAAATTGAGAAGCAAACAAAAGAACAATCACAATTGACAGCTACGACAACAAGAACAACAAATAAGCATGGTGATGAAATTATCACATCGACGACATCAAATTACGAGACACAGAGTTTCAGCTCAAAGACTGAATGGCGTATTCGAGCTATTTCAGCTACAAACTTACATTTGCGTACAAATCACATTTATGTCAGTTCTGATGACATTAAGGAAACTGGATATACTTACATCTTACCGAAAAATATTCTCAAGAAATTTGTGACAATCTCCGACTTGAGAGCTCAAATTGCTGGATATTTATATGGAGTAAGTCCGCCTGATAATCCACAAGTTAAAGAAATTCGTTGTATTGTCATGCCATGTCAATGGGGAACACATCAAGTTGTCAATTTACCCAATATTCTACCTACACATCAATATTTGAAGGATATGGAACCATTAGGATGGATTCATACACAACCAAATGAATTGCCACAATTATCACCTCAAGATATTACGACTCATGCCAAGATTATGTCAGAAAATCCAAGTTGGGATGGAGAAAAGACTATCATCATTACTTGTTCATTTACGCCTGGCTCATGTTCATTAACAGCTTACAAATTAACACCTTCCGGTTTTGAATGGGGAACTAAGAACACTGATAAAGGTAAGTGCTGTCACTAGGATTATTTTTTTAATCCTCACGATTAATTTTAATCTTATCATAATCCATAAATTAATTTACATTTTTGATTCTCATTATCCAGGAAACAACCCGAAAGGCTACCTGCCAAGTCACTACGAGAGAGTTCAAATGTTATTATCCAACAAGTTCCTTGGATTCTTCATGGTTCCTGGACAAGGAAGTTGGAATTACAATTTCATGGGAGTGCGTCACGATCCAAACATGAAGTATGACTTGATGCTATCAAATCCAAAAGAATTTTACCACGAAGTTCATCGACCTGCTCACTTCTTAATGTTTTCAAATCTCGAAGATGCTAGCGATGGAACCGGAGCAGATCGTGAAGATGTATTTGCTTAAAATAATAATAATTATAATAATCTATAGATTTATGTCCCAATGAAACAATGAAAATAAAAAAATTTTCTTCATTTTAAAAATAATTAATCGAGTTTACATTGATTTTTAAAATAAAATAATAATAATTTGATGCAAGAAACTTTTTGGCGACATAAATTCAATACACAACAAGTGAATTAAAGTGAAAATTTATCATTATTTGATCACATAAACCATCCCCTTAAAAAACAAGCAGCAAAAAGACATCCACAGCAGCAACAAAAAGAAAAGAAAAGCCGGCAAAAACCATCAACCCTCTTTTGCATGCATCGAAAAGGATATACACAGTGAGTGAGAGAGAATTTTGCACATAATTCACAATATATGTATGGTATAGTACGCTCTTGAGTTGAATGAAGGAACTAAACGCAAGCGCAATAATTTCTGATTTTAAAAGCATCATATTGGATAATTTCACTTGTAAAACAACAATCGAGTGCATCGAATGTGGATATAGTTTGCTGTGAGCAGTCAGTCTTGTCATCAATTGTGTGATATTAATTTGTGTATTGGGAACTAGGAACGGAAATTAAATTCGTAACGAATTGTGCTGACAATGGATGATCAACCGAAGGAAGGTGGTGAAGGAGATAAGAAAATTGTCCACACATATGCACTAGTTAAGGTATGAAATAAATTACAATTACTGAAGCATAGAGTAGCATCCATAAATCCAATAGTTCATATCGAATGCCTTCAATTATCATTCGTGTGACATAAAAAAGAAGTCTACGAAAAAGGCAAACAAAAAGAAACGCGAATTGACTTGCTTGACTGAAAGGTATAGCATGCAGTAACGACATTATCAGATCAAATTTCTTCATATAAGTTAATTTTATAGTTACAGTTGACATTATTTTCGGTGTGTCACAGCTATCGACATGAAAAGAATGAGACACATTGTAATCAATCTGACAATTTCATTTAGTCATCAATTCCTCTTTTATATGTCTAGCTATTTATTATCTTTACATTCGCATTTCTTCCCCTTTTTTCATAACAATACGATTCAGTATCTTCAGTTGCTGCTTATTTCTTTTGCCTTCAAATGAATAAATTTTATTGATTCATAAAAATCATAAAGAAAATTGAACATAACGAGCTTAAAGTTATGTGTGTATCCATGCTTACTAATCGACAGAGAATAAACAAACCTTTCATTCTGTTCCCTCAGCGGAATTAAGTGTTGCTTGTGTGGTTTCTTATGTCACTTTGGTTTGAGTTATGGCCTGCTGATTGAATTCCTCAGTTCTGCTTCAGTCTATTAATTTATTATTAATCATATGATTAAATCTTATAGCTTAAGCCTAGGATTAAAATTAATCCGGGTTTAAAGTCGTTAAAATTTTTTTTTCTTTTAAATCAGTCAAGCCTTAAAAATGCGTTTCTACCTTAACACTTAGTACATAGATGATTTTCTTTTTCACATACATGTATTATTTTGTATCTATAAATTGCTATAAAGACCGAAACTAAACAAATCCTTTTAATTTGCATAGCATTCCGACATGAGTGACGACATTAAAAACGAAGCAATTGAAATTGTGACGACAGCATGTGAGAAGTATGCACAAAATTATGAATTGGCTGCAAAAACAGTTAAAGAAGCAATGGATAAAAAATTTGGATCATTTTGGCACTGTTGCGTTGGTGAGGGCTTTGGATTTGAGGTGTCGTACGAGACGAGAAATATTTTGTATCTATTTTTTGGTGGAAATCTTGCTATTGTCCTGTGGAAATGTTCGTGAAAGTTATTGATGATTAAATATATGCTGTAAATAATTCTCTTCCAAAAAATATGTGAAATTATTTTGTACAAATTTGAATAAATGGACAATGTGGGGTGCAATTTATTGTCAAGCATAATTTATGCTGTCAAAAGTGGTGTGAGACTTACGAATTGTGACAATCTTGGTTTGTTAATGGATGTTGGTGTTATTTAAATATTAAATTGTGTGTGATTAATGGTAAATTTGATGTCAAAAAAGACAGCATATGTCTAGTCAGCTTGATCGAAATTATCGTATCCCAGATTGTCCATCAAATGTAGATGTTGACTTTATATTAATTATTTATCAATAAAATAAGTGAAATAAAAAAAAAACTATTTTTGGGAATAAGCAAACATTTAAGAAGTAGAATTTTTTATTAATTAAATTACAATTTGCCAAATACAATGCTTAATCTCATCTCTTTCAAATACATAAGTTTAATTCTTGCAGAAAATATTTTAAATGCTATAAATTTTATATCTTATGAAGGATCCACGAGGATATATTGCAATAAAACAAAATTAAAGCATAATTCTTCCAAAAAAAAAAACATAAATACACAAAAATGAAGCAATTCATGTCTGTGTATGGAAGCCAAAAATAAGATAGAAGAACTTTCGAGTCCACGAAATGATGACGAAAACAGAATAAACCTTGGAAAGTTTTTGACATCATTTCATGAAGTCGTATCCATAAATTAATCTCTTAAAAGCGCTTTTTTAACTTAAAATATAAATCTTTAAGGACAGAAAATGAAAAATATTCATCATGCAATTTGCTCAGACATTCATAGAATGTGGAATTAATTCCGAGTCATCCACTGAATGTCACAAAAAGGAGCTATTCGAGCAGTAATCACAACTAAATTATAATGTAAACTTTCTTGGATATCCTTAGAGCAGTAAAATATGGCACTGCTTATCATTTCACAACTCTTCAAACTATGCTTGTTTTAAAAAATGTTCCTTCGATGAACAATAGTAATAATAATATGATTAAATCCGACTAGACAAAAATATTTTACTCTTTTGTTACTTTCCTCGTTCCTTTCTAGAATATTCTAAGTTCCTCATAATGTTTTCTTCAAAAAAATGAAAATATTGACGATTGATTACTGTACTTTTCTTAATTTATATTATCAGCTACACATTATCGTTGATTTATTTCAACAAAGACAAAAAACTTTTCCTCATTCCTTAATTGTAATAGAACGGCATAATTTTTATGATGATTTATGCTGTGAATGAGAATGATAACAGTTAACGGATCAATAAAATTCGAATTTTATGAAAAATGATTTGCGCAAAAATTTAAAATTTTTGAAAACCGTTAAATTTATTGATTTTTTGCTTACCAATTTGTTCGCATGTCGAACTTCTCTTGATTCTTGTAGTGTCTTTTGTTGGACTATTGACAATTTTTCTGTTGACATTTCCCGTGGGCGTTGACAATTTACTTCCTCCATTTAATTGAGTAGAGGAGCTAGAAATTGTCCTCTTATCATTATTCTTCCATATTCCTGCAATTTTACTAGAGACATTTTTCTTTGGATTATTCAAAGTAATTCCTGTATTGCTGCGTGCGACAGGATTGGAAATTTCCTTGATTTTCATAGAAGCATTGCTATTGGAGCGATATTTCAATTGTGTTAAGGAAGTTGGTAAATTGGAAGTTCTTTTTGGCGATGAATTTTTACTTTCAATCGATGGAGTCTTTGATGCAGATGATAAGCGTGTCGGTGGTTTTAATTTTGATTGTTGCTGAACATTCTTAATCGGTGTAATTGCTGGTTCAACGTCAACAACTGGAATTTGTTCATTTGTTGGCTCATCCTTGACAAAAGTGCCTTGACGAATAATTGGTGCCACTTGGGGTATTTCTTCTTCGATTTTTTCAGGTTTCAAGTTGTTTTGTGACGATGCAACAACATTATTTGATTTCATTGATGCTTTTGGAATGACTCCAAATCGACTCTTGTTTCCATTCATTTTAGAGTTCGAGATGTTCAATTTTGGTGATAAAATGTTGTTAGATTTATATTCCAGACATGAGTTCTTAGTGGTGGTAATAACTTTTGCTATTATCGGTGACTTTGTAACTCTGACTGACTTATTCTTTGTTGGTGTTATCTTGGCTGTCATTCGATATGGCGAAATGTAAGAAGTTTTATTTCCTTTTGTTTTAACAATTTCACTTGCTGGACTTGCAATCACTTCCTCAACATTAATCACTTCCTCTATGTGCAAAACATTCTTAAGATCTCGTTGCGATTCAGTTTCTGATGATTGATGTTCATCTTCAAGACTTTCGTCACTATTTTTGTTTGACATCTGAGCTGGTGAATTAGATGAAGTACTTCCATTAAATCTAATTATATTCAATTTATCTCGAAGTCCAGTTGCATCAAAAATATTATTAGTTTTAACTTCAATTAATTCCGTTCGAATAAATTCAAAATTAGCAGTCATGTCACGGATCGAGCAATCTTCATCTTCAATGTTAAATGTCCTGTATCTATCAGGATCATCTTTTCTCCTTGACACACTTAAAGATGTTTCCGGTGTAATTACTTGTGTCTCAAATCTTTGACGATCTTCTTGACGTCGCTGTCTTGCATTTAGTGATGACCGTCTACTTGATTCTGTTAATGAGTTTTGCATCTCTTGTTCCTTAAGTAGCATATCGACTGCAATTGTATAAGTCTTAAAGCGATCTTTTTCAGATTGACGCTTCTGTTTTGGAGTAGTTGCTCTTATATTACGTTTCTTCTTTGGTGTAGACTCGACACTACTAAAGTCAGATGACATTGGCGTCAAAGTTTCATCTTTTGAGAGATCCTGACAACTTCTTAGTGTCAAACTATCTTCCATGTCACTTAAAGCTGTCTCATAGCTAGAAATTGCAAATGTTGGATCTACAATTTCGCTCGTAATAGAATCGACACTTATCATAGAATCAAGAAGTTCATCCATTAGAGATGGTGGTCGAATGCTGTCAATATTATTAATACTATTAATGCTTTCGACACTTCCACCAAACATTTGATGTCCCAAAGCACGTTTTGCTACTAATCCAGTAAGTAGTGACTTTTTATTATTTCCATTGTTGTTTGATTGAACTTTATGTGGACTTTGAACAACAGATAAATCTTGATAACTGCACAAGCTAATTGCATCCATACTTGATGGTGGTCTTATGTTCTCTAAATCTAAACTTGTTGTGCTATCCATCATTTGGTTGTTCATTAAATCATTTGCAATTCTTTTCGCTTCGACTTGAACGATTGTTGAGTTACTCATTGTCGAGCTTAATGTATCAATGCTCGCTGGTCCATACGATAGAAAATTAATTTTATTACCATTAAGTGACTGAATCTCTCCGCCCACTTTAAAGTCAAGTTTTGGTGATGGACTTTCGCTATGTGCTTCATTCTTAATTGTATTAAAGACATAGTGCTCATTTGTTGGTGTTTTGTCATCAAGCTGATTATTTCCATCGATCTTTTCTTCAGGCAATGGATTAATTTGATCTGTTGCAAAAGTAGCCTCGTCATTAGTCGATCCAATCATTGGAGCTGTCATGCTTATACTTGGAAAAGAAACTTCATCATTCCATGTATTATTGCTAATACTACTTGACATTTTCTGTTCACTAATATCATCATTTGTTAATACATTTTTCCTTAAATATTCAGCAGTTGATACGAGTTCCTGTGTCAAACGATCAACAGATTTAAGCATTAAATCTGGATTCTTATGTTTATCCTCAATTTTAGCTTCAGATGTTTTCTCATTTTCAATTAAAAATTCATTAGACACATCCATAATAGATTCGTCCTCTAAATCAACACATGCTGCCAACATTGATAATTTATTTGCTGGATATTCGTTTGATCTTTCGAGGATATTATCGTCTATGCTATTAAGCGATGCACTCAATTCGTATGTCATACTACTAGACCCATTTGGCATCATCCAAATTACTGGGAGAGAACGTTCGTTTTCGGAACCGATACTTTCGTCTTGGTCTTGCTGCATCACGTTGTTGTACATCTTCTTCTTTTCGGTGCTTAACTCTACGCCTGTAATTACACATTGGACATCCATTGTTGCAATTACAGACGTAGTCTCTCCGTTTTTTGGATCGGCAATTGACAATTTTGAGAAATTCTCAAGTAGAACATTATCAGGCTTAGATGTTTTCATCATTCCCGTCGCAATACATTCTTTAAGTAGTTCTTCGTCTTGAAGAGCTTGACTCTTTTCAACTTTTTTATTCGATGTTGATGGTGTTGGAAGTAAGGATTTCTTAGGCGATGAAGTCATTAATGGACGATGTTTAGCACTATCTTTCTTAACTCCCTTGTTAATTCCGCTCCTTATACATTGTTCTAATATTGAATTTGTAGCATCATCTTTATCACACGAGTCAACGGAACTAATGGAATTGTTCGCAATGTCTGTTGATGTTTTTGGTTTCATTGGAATATTTATAGGATTACTGACATCTTGTTTCTTTGGCTTTTGAACTCCTGCTGCAATTGCTTGGTTAAGTAAATTTGCATCATCTTCCGATTCAACGGATAATGAACTCAGGGAATCCTCATAATCTGGTAGTAATTTCTTCAAGGGCTTTTGAGACGATCCTGCTCCTTCGTCTGTCTCGTTACGGATTGTTGGGTCTACTTTTGCCGTTGGCCTTGAATAAATAAATTAAAAATATTCTTAACGAGTTTTTAAAATTTAAATGAACTGAATAGAAATGAACAAGAATTTTACTAAACAGATTTTCAAATTATAATTGACGGTTAAATTTCAAAAAAAAATCAACTTACTTGTTAGCTTGATTGACAGCATGCATATTGGACTCAATTGTTATAGCTGAAAGACCAGACATTACAGAAAAATTACATGGACTGTCTTCAACGATAAATCGATTCATCTCGTCAACTACAGGAAGATAAGGTGGCAATAAAGGCGTCGATCGCATCATATCGATTGGATTTTCCTTCATCATTTGAGGCGAAATCTTTGGTATTGTTTCTGCTGAGCTTGTTCCTAAATTACAATAATATATTAAATAAAACATTTAAGAATAATTAAAATAAATTATTTACCACTGTTTTCAGGTCTCATAGATGCACTTCCATTAGCTGTTTCCTTTTGTTTTACAACTCGATTGATTCCCATATTAATGCAACTTTCAAAAAGTATGTTATCGTCAGAAGACTCGACGTCTGAATGCTCAGCAGTAATGTCTTGAGCAAAACTCTCTGTTGCCATCATTTTCTTAGCCATCTTTGAGTCTTCATCCTCGCTTGGGTGCTTCATTAAATGAAAGTCTTTCGAAATTGTGTCAGTTGAGATTTTAGGTTCATCGTCAAAGCTCAAATTGGACAAGCTCGTTCGTGATGAGAAGACTGCAGGCGTATTTTCAACATTGAACATGTTTGTGCTATCATCAGCAGCTTCAGCACCAATAATTTCTCTCGTTGCAGGCAATGGAGTTTTAATTACTGGGATATTTCTTGGCGCTGGTTTGGGCTGTCTAGATGAAGGCGATTGAGGAACGCTTTGTGTTGGAGAATCTGGTAAATCGGATGGTGACATAACTCCACTCGCTAGTCGACTAAAATCACTCACAACAGAGCTTTTGTCATCAATACAAGTTGGCTCAGCACTCGATAATGATCCCATAGAACTAGTACGAGAGAACATTAAAGGCGTTTCTTCTGCCAAATTCACAAATGTAACACTTTTTGGTGTGGCTGCAACTGATTCTTTTTCGCCCACAGATTCTTTTTTAATTGTTAATGGCGGTGGAATTTTGGAAGCAATTGATGATTTGTTTGGAATTGATTTACTTGATGTACTTATTATTGGTGGTGTTCTTGAAGCTTCCTCTAAATCACTAAGTGAATCATTGCGACTAAAATTGCCTGGTGTTCCTTCAACACAATAATTTACCGTCTTTTCTGGACTTTGAAGACCTGATGCACCGGCTGAAAACTTTCCTTTTACTTTCTTCTCGACTTCGACTGTTTTGACTGGTTCTTTTGATAATAATTTTTCCTTACGCAAATCACTCATAGAACCAGCTTTTGAGATTGTTGCTGGTGTTCCTTCCTCATTATAGCATTTTGTTGTGTCATCAGCACTCAAAATATTTCGTCGCTTTCTCGTTTCCTCACCATCATCCGAGTCACAGTCTTGATTTTCGCCGTAACGAATTGAGTAATCTGTAATTTGATCCGACTCTTGATATTCACACTTTTCGCCCGTCTCGTCTTGATCATCGTCGAATTTACTAAAATTAGTAGGAGCTTCTTCATCTTCGATTTCTTGAACTCTCATTTCACTGCTTCGATCATTATTACTATTATTATTATTACTTTTATTTTTATTAACTTTCGAGACTGTCTCAAAATCTCTTATCTTATCATCTTTCGTAGACGGCGATGTCTCATCAAGTTTGTAATTTTCAGCAGTCAAATTTAATTCTTGTTCGAGTGCACGCTGCTTACGGACATTAAGCGTAGGCAATTCTTTGAGATCCATCATTTTTGCGACCGAATCTAAATTCTCGCCGTGTGTCATATTTGATTTGCACGCCAATAAGTGACGTAATGCTACAGTACTTCCTGTCGAAATCATTTTGTGTTTTGAATAAATTAAAGAACGAAGCATTGGAATGGCTCCATTGTCACGTAAGAATTTCTGATCTTCAACATTGTGAGCTGATAGATTTCCCAAAGTTCCACATGCATTCGACACGACAGTTAAGCTTGGTGACTTTAATTGCTGTAAAAGTATTGTAAAGCAATTCTTTTGTCTCAAAATGACTCGATATCTCTCGTGTAATGTCATGTGAGTCGATATGTTTCTTAAAATACCTCCTGCATTCTCAATAACAGCCATTGTCTTGCTCGGAGCATCATATGAGAGCATATAGATTAAGAATTCAATGGCACCTTCAATGTCACAAATTTCAGCCTTATTTTTGGCACAATGATTAGATAAATTCCAAAGTGCAGATAAAATTGCTTTTAATGTATTTTCTTGTGTGCATTTCATTGAAGCTAAAGCTAGTATCTTAACTGTTTTGATTTCATTTAGTGCTTCCTTCATATTTGCATCAGCACGCCACGATAAATTACGAATAACACTAGCTGTCACTTGCACCAATTCATCACTATTACAATTGATTTGATCAACAAGTGCCTTCATAAAGTTCTTATTTGAACACAAAAGGGCTTTATTATTTCCATCGCCAAACGTTAAGTTCGTTAAACACATTCCAGCATAACGACGCATTGTTATGCAAGAGCTATCGCTTGACGTTGATCCGTGCACAGCATGATCTAACTGAATTAATGTGGAAATGGTTTGTAAAGCACCAAGTTGACACATTGCATGACGATGTTCCTCATCAAAACTGATTTTCATCAAAGTTCCAATCGCTTGAATTGGATGTCTATCGACATTATCACTCAATTCATTTCTCAAAATTAATCGAAGCGCATCACAATAATCAAACAATTGTTCAATCAATTTAATCACACGTGATTCACGTCTCCCAGCTTTATCGTCTGCATTACAATGAATTATATTGTGTAATGTTTGGAGACACTGCTTTTGGCGAACTCCATCGTCCGGTTCCGAGTGAATAATTTGAACCAATAGAGATATGCATCCCGATTGCCTTAAAGTCGCACACATTTCCCTATTTTTAGAAAATTCTAAAAACTTTGACGTTATATCTGCAGAATTATACGAGCCGAGCATTGAGAAGATTGAATAAACTGTTTCTACATTATTACTATTGTTATTATTGTTTGTCAATGCCAACGTATTTGAATTTAATTGATCCATCATAGCCATTTTTGACGTACTTGGGCGATCGTTAATTAATTTCTTCTTACAATCTAATTGATTTGTTGGTGCCGTCGTAGGTCTATTATTATTATTGTTGTTGCTACTGCTCACACTAATTGGATATTCATTTGATGCTTTAGCATGCAATACATTGATTTTTGCTGTATGCTGAGGTGAATCACCATAATCATAATCCAAAAAATGTTTTTTCTTCTGTGCTTCCAACTCCTCTGAATCATCCAATAAATCCTCGTCCGAACTACTTGACTTCCTATCAACGCCGTACATTTTTACTTCTTGATTCATTTATTCTTCTTGGCAATGATTGAAAATTTGGTATAATTTCTGTGAAATGAATGAATCATACAATAAATATGTGGAAATTTTATCAAAGGATTTTTACAAGGCAGGCAAGGCAAGAAGTACAAAAATGGACGTCAAAAGGAAGAGATTTTGCAAGGAAAAAAATTATTGAAAAAAGTTTTAGCTAATTTTCTCACCATTCGATCAGAATCGAACAAATCTTCACACTAATCTATTTTTAAACAACACATATTTAATATTTTTGACATTTCTACATTAATACACAGTTCTTATAATAGAGAAAAATAGACTTTTCTGATCTCCCAAATATTATGCCTTTATTTTCGTTTCTGTCTCACTTTTTCCAAGTAAACAAAACTTAGTGATATATAATCAAAGCGCTTTTCATAATTATCAATTTTCGATGCTTCTTTTTAACTTGACTTCTACTGACTATTCCTAAGTTAATTATAGGTGATTTTACGGATGTATTTTTCGACCTTAATTGTTATATTTTTATATTCACACCGATTTCACGTGTGAATCTATTGGTTTTGTTCAGATTGAAAAATCAGTTTTTCACATTTTGTGAGAAAACGAAGCAAAATTGATTATAAAATGTCTTAAAAGAAAATTTTGTGCCTGAAATTTTACATCATTTGCAAAAAACAGAATTCAAATTGGTTACGGCATTGCTGAGAAAATCGCAAAATACGCTTTCTGTAAGCAAGCAAACAAGCATGCAAGTTAATCAGCAAGAAATCTCAAAAACGATACATCGTAAAGACTTCTAGTTTTTTACATTTGATCCATGCTGCTCTATAGAAGAGCTGTATTGTTTTTGGTCAAGGAAGGAACAGCCGTTGCAGACTCGCTAGCTTTATATATTCTCAAACTTATGCTGAGCAAAGCTCAGCTGACTTGCTAGCTTTATACCTTAAAGCTTATGCTGAGCAAATCTTGGTCTATCCATAAGACTTTTGATGGTACGGTGTAAATATGGCCGCATTGAGTTTCTACCAGATACACTAGTTATTATTTACTTTTCTAAAGTTTAACTGAACTATTTGCATGAATTTTAAAAACAGAAAGTTCTTTAATTTTGAACATCAATAAAGTCTGACAACACATCTAGACTCAGTCCATTGATTTGCAAAAAATACGCTAAATCGATCACTTGACAAACCCCGCTGTTTACAAAAACAATAATCACATTTTAATTCTGTTACTTACTCTTTAAAATGAAAATAACAAATTTATATACGTCTATTGCTGTTAATCGATCTCCATTTGCACTTGATTTAGGTAATAATGGCTTAATCTGTTATGCCGCTGCAAATTCGATAGCTATCTTGGATCCAAACGTGAGAAATTTGTTATCTTTTTTAAAATGTACTTGTTATGTCAATTTATCATTATTTGCAGTATGATGACTCATGTAAGCTACTTAAAATACATGCAATTCACACGAATCGAGTGAATACTGTTAAATGGATAAAGAAACCAGGTGTAGATAAGGAAAATGAATTGATTTCTGGAAGTGACGATAATTTGTGTGTATACCTTAATATTGAGGATATAGAGCATCCAAAGAAAATTATATTAAAAGGACATACAGATTCAATCACTTCTCTCGATAGTATCCATGTTGAAAATGCCTTATTTATTGTAACTGGATCGTCTGATTCAACAATTCGATTATGGAGAATCAATAACTTACAGGAAGAAAGTATTGAAGCTTTTCAAGTAATTGACTTAAATCGAGGAATTTGTTTCAGTGTAAAGTTTGTGAAACTATACAATGCCGGTGTTTTGTTGGCATTTACAACCGATGATGATAAAATCAAGTTTTATGGAGAAAATGAGAATAAAGTTTTTGAGAAAATTGAGGAACTAATTGGACATGAAGATTGGGTTCGCTGTCTAGATTTCATTAAGGACGATAATGGTGATTTATTACTTGCTAGTTCATCTCAAGATTCCTTTATTCGTCTCTGGAAAATCTCTCCTTACAACAAAAATGTTGAGTTGATTTCAAAAGATATCGATGAAATTCAAATTGAGGCCAGAACCTTTACATTAAATAATCATAAATTTGTATTGGCACTAGAATCAGTTCTGCAAGGTCATGAAAATTGGGTTTATAGTGTTCATTGGAATAAATCATCTACTAATACACTCCAATTACTGTCTAGTTCCATGGATAGATCAATGATTATATGGACATATGATAATGATTTATGTATGTGGCTAGAAAAGGTCAGAGTAGGTGAAGTTGGTGGTAATACTTTAGGATTTTATGGAGGAAAATTCAATAAGAATGGCAATTTTATTGTTGGGCATGGATTTCAAGGAAGTTTGCATTTATGGAAGAAATCTAATGAGAATGATAGAATTTGGGAACCAGCAGTAATGAACAGTGGTCATTTTAGAGAAGTCAAAGATATTGCATGGGAACCAAAAGGCGAATTTTTACTATCAGCTTCGATGGACCAAACAACTCGACTTCATTCATATTGGACACGAGATGGGAAAATCAGAACTTATCATGAAATAGCAAGACCTCAAGTTCATGGATATGATATGCAATGTATAGCTATTTTATCAAGATACAGATTTGCGAGTGGTGCTGAAGAGAAAATTGTAAGAAGCTTTCAAGCACCTGCTAATTTCGTTGAGAACTTCAGAACTCTAACAAGGAATCTAGAAAAGGATGTTGAAGGGGACACAATTGCTAATTCTAATCAGAAAGGTGCAGCAGTTCCATCATTAGGACTGTCCAATAAAATTGTATATGAAGAAGATTTATTAAATCCAGTAAATGAAGAGAAAAAATTCAAGGATGAATATCCTGAAAACTATTTCGTACCAATTTTGATGAAAGAACCGCCAACTGAAGAATATCTCACACAAAATACACTATGGCCAGAAGTACAGAAACTTTATGGTCATGGATATGAGCTTTATGCTCTCGCTGCTAATAAAAGTGGAACAATTTTAGCTTCGTCATGTAAAGCAACAACATTAGAGCATGCTGAAATTCTTTTGTGGAACACAAGTACTTGGAAAATCATTCAACGACTTCGTTCACATAAATTGACTGTCACACAAATTAAATTTTCGTCAGATGGAAACAGATTGCTTTCAGTTTCACGCGATCGTCGATGGTCTTTATTTGAGAATATTCCTGATGGGACTAATGACGTCAATTTCCAACTAGTGTCAACGACAGACAAAAACAATGGAATTCACGAGAGAATTATTTGGTGTTGTGACTGGACGCATGACGATAAATTCTTTGCTACTGGATCTCGAGATGGAAAAGTCGCTTTATGGACTAAAAATAGCACTTGCTCAGAATCTACCTTAAAAGACTATTCAAGCTTATGCTCAATCAATATTTCATCTGATTCAATCACTGCTTTATGCTTTGCTTGTAATATTTATAATGGAAATAGTTATTTATTGGCTATTGGATTTGAATCTGGAATCATTCAACTTTATTCTTTCAACGGCAAGACTTGTGAACTTCTTACATCTTTAAATAACTCAGACGCACATCATCTTACAGTAAATAAGCTAGAATTCAGACCATCTGAAAATAAAATTCACCTAGCAAGTTGTGGAAATGATCATCTTGTAAGAATCTATGAAATAGAGCAATAGAGACAGTTTGGACACCACTAAACTAAAGAAATAAGTCTATTGTTAAGCAAACGAAAAAAAAAGTTGTAAATATATTTTTTGTATTAATTTGCATCGAAATAAAAATATTCTTTATAAATATGTCTGATTTATAAAACACAACAAAAAGAAGAAAACTAGAATTCTATGTAAAATAGAATTAAGCTTATTGGCTTAAAGAAAGACAAAATGACTACATCATTTGAATTTTTTTATATATAAAAGGATCAACTATCGTCTATCAATATGGAATACATAATTCTTTTAAAAAGCGCAGTATTGTTTGGGGTCGTTCACATGTGACTTCCAAAGTTTTGTTTGATCAAAGATGATTTGAATCCATGAAGTGACACGCAGCTAGCTTTAGAAGTCACACGTGACAGACATCTTATATGATTACATCATATATCCTGGAAACTTATGTATCCTTACTCTTCTTCCAGCAATTATCACAAACTCTCACATCACTATTCCAGCCATGTTGTGGCACCGGCATTCGATTCAGCGAACATTTATTGCATATAGCAGCTCCACATCCACGACACTAAAATAATATAATATTAAGCACAAACTAAAAGGTAATTAAATCAGTAGTTTATTACATGATGTCGTCGAACATCGAGAATGGTGTGGACTGGAGAATTTTGCATTCCGAAATTTCCAGAGGCATTGCTAAGCTCACGAATTTTAGATTGCTCCATGTCGTCAATGTTATTTCCAAATATTTGATCACACAATGTACATGACGGCGAATCCGAATCCTTTGCCCAATATTCAGGTCGAACACTATCCTTAATTAATTCTTTCGGATATTCCAATGCAGCAGCTACGCTACTTACAGCACTTGCCAAAACTTCTCCATACTTTCGTACTCTGACGTTTTTCGTTTCCTCATCTAAGCGCTCTACAATGTACGACAAAAAAACAAAAGTAAAGGAAAATATGAATATTAAGTCAATAGAAATAAATATTAATTCACAAGTTAATTTTGTCGATGACATTGGAGTCACGTTTTTGAAATCTTGTAATAAAAATTCAAACAAAGAAATTCTACGCAACTAGAAAAACAAAAAAAAAATGATGTTTTTTTTGCAACCTATTAATACATACTGATAATAATCAAAGGAATTAAATACGTTTCCAAAAGAAAAACAGGCTGTCGAATCTAGTGCACAGCTAGATAGACATAAATTTTTGACACGAGTCTCTCTTTCTACTCTACGAACCTTTGATATCACTATTACCATTTTCATTTTTCATCAACTCGTCGCGGCATCTATGACAGACTCTCACTAAATCCGTTCCCCAGCCTAATTTAATTGGAACAGTCATTCGGTTCTTCGAACACTTTAAAAATGAACAAATAAAGACATGTAAATTAATATGACACGATTGACTATATAAGGAGTGAGTTCACTTACATCATTGCAAACTCCTTTGCCACAGTTACGGCAATGATGAATTTTTAATCCACTCTGTTCAAAGTTTGTCTTGCAGAGTTCACAATGGACGATTGAGCTATTTGGAACCCAATATTCTGGATTCACTAGATTATCAGCAACCCATGATGTGACAGTTTTAGTTGGCTGTGCTGAAACTGATGTAATTGCATCTGATATGTACAGAATTCCATCGACAATAGCTTGTGCTGAATGTGTTGGAACTTGATTCTTAAATAAACCATCACGCCAAATATGAACAGCTTCAGAAAGAACACAAATTTCTTCTGGTGATTTATTGCCATACCATCGGCTACGATAAATTTCACCATGACGTGGACAGTCAATTTTTGAGAAGTTCCATGACGTGTACTTAGCTATCCAATCTCCATTTGAGTTGATAACTTTAACAATACTTCTACGTCCTTCTAAATGACACTTTTTACATAAATAAATCTTATTGTTGAGATGCTGCTGATAATTACATGCTGATGAATTTGTATGCTCACTTCCGTTCTTAACATGATCTCTTGTACTCTCACAACGCTGATAACATCCTTCACATACTGTTTCACATAAAAATAATGATTCATGCAAAGTATATTCCTTATCTATGTTATACTCGACATTTCCAGAAAACTTTTTGTTCAGCATATCAAGTTGCTCATAAATACTACGAATTGTCCTTAACGGCTTGAGTTTATTTTCAATATCATTCTTTAAAATGCTCTTTAATGGATTAAAATCGGTAGGCGATGAATTTGTCTTAATACCAACATAATGTAAGGAACTGAATGCGTCAATGTTTAATTTCATCTCAAGGAATTTTTCTTTAATTATATTTTCTGGTGCTTCCACTAAATTCGATTCCAATGGCCATGTATTGTGTACTTCATGAAATATAATAACAGTTGGACCACCCAAATAGCCTGATGCATTATCATGTAATATTGGACTTAAATGTCTTTGATAAATTTTTGATGCCGTTCCCAAGAATTTGTACATGTCCGAATTTAGTCTTTCAGCTCGTGTCCTATAAATTATAATATCAGATACAGCCAGAACCTTCATTAGCATTCGATGCTGTTGATTCTCATTTTGTGCGATTCCTTGAAGACCTTCAGTGTCCAGACATAAGATTTGACTGTTGTAGAAATACTTTTGAAAAGCACAGCATACACCTAATGTGCAGGACTTTTGCTGATTACTCATCTTAAAAATTTCATTTCCATCAAAAAAGACATTATTCATTGTATGCGATTTGCCATCACCTGAGTTACCGAATATTGAAACAACTTTGACTTTCTTATCTGGATCTGAAATACCTAATTTTCTAATAAAATTCTCAACATCAATCACTTGGAAGTTTTCATTTGAGTCTATAACTGTAAAGGATCTACTCGATGGATCATTAGTTTCGTATGTAATGTGGCTATTTAAATTAATGCTATGTAGTGCGTCTTCAAGGTCTTCATGTCTGTAATTTAATAAATCAGGCTTTGAATCTGCTCGTGGCCAAGGCGATGATATTGCGCCTTCCTAAAAAGACACACAGTCAACGAATAAAATCCGAAGGTCATGAAAGTTGAATAAAAATTACATTCAAAATGTGCGACAACAATGTTGTTGACATAATTTAAAATTCTTTTAATCACAGACTTAATAGCAGTATGGATTATCAGTGTGAGAAAAAAATCTGAAGGCTTGTCAATTTGTTATTCCTTTTTTTTACATCAGATTTTTTTTTTCACCCAAACAAAACAAAGAGATTTATGTTATTTTACCATTTTCTCCTGATTAAATGTCTTAATTTAAGTTTTTATCTGCCGCTTTATATTTCTAAATCTTATTAACGTACTCTTGTCACGATTTAATTATATTAAATGAATTAACAAGCACAGAAACACCTTTTCACTGTTTTTGACGAAAATAAACAAATTTGATAATAATGTTTCTGAAGTCTTGCTCAGCTTTGCTGACCTTCCATGTTCACACCTTATTCTATGTAACTTAATGCATATTATAGAGGATTTTGATATTGATCCAGTAATGTTTTGTTTATAAATAACGTTATCGTTCTTTATTTTATCTCACTGGATCTCAATAGTGGAGTTTAAAAGATGTGAATTCTAACATACAAGGTGTGAATATGTCAATTCAAACTTCATACCTTCGAGATTGATCTCTGTTGTTGCTCATTTTCAAATTTTATGAAATTCAACATTAACTAGCAAATGAAGACTTGAATACCCATCTCACCAGGTTTAACATGATTGATAAATGATCTAATGCTGTTATTAGCAGAATTAATAAAAAAAAACACGATTTACGTAGAAAGTCACTAGCTCATGCATTTGACTTATGTTAGATTACAGTTCTTTTATATATATCACAAAACGAAAATTAGTGTATCGGGTAAACCCAATGTGGATATATTCAAACCGTGCTATCAAAAGTCTTATGGATAGACCAAGATTTGCTTAGCAAAAGTTTGAAGGTATAAAGCTTAACGAACATTCTTTAAGAGTTTTTTAAAAAAAATTTTCATCCAAAGTTGAATTTTATAAAAATCACAGAGAACTTTTGTTTTGAAAAATTCGTAAAAAAGGAAAGTTTTTTGCTTTTTCTGAAGCAACGGCTATTCCTACCTTGCCCAAAAACAATACAGCTTTTCTATAGAGCAGCACGGATCAAATGTAGAAAACCAGAAGTATTTACAATGTCTCGTTATTCTCATTTCTTGCTGATTAGCTTGCATGCTTGTTTGCTTGCTTATAGAAAGCGTATTTTGTGATTTTCTAAGCAATGCCAAATTGAAATCTTATTTTTTGCAGAAGATGTGAATTTTTAAACACAAACTTTTCTTCTGGAACCTTTTATAAAAGCAATTTTGCTTTGTTTTCTCAAAAATGCGAAAACTGATTTTTCAATCTGAACAAAACCAATAGAATTGCAAAAGAACGTGAACTTAAATATTAAAACATACCTAGGTATTATAAATTATAAAGAATGTTTATAAAGATATTAAATCGATACTTTTTTGATCATAGCCTACTATGATCGAAAACCAAAAATGCTTTAAATTGCATTTTAAAACACATCTAGGTATTATAAATGATAAAGAATGCTAATTTTGATATAAAACTGATATTTTATTTTAAAAAAAGCCTCCTATGATCGAAACCAAAAATGCTTTAAATTGCATTTTAAAACATATCTAGGTATTATAAATGATGAAGAATGCTAATATTGACATTAAATCGATATTTTTTGAAAAAAGCCTACTATGATCGAAACCAAAAATGCTTTAAATTGCATTTTAAAACATATCTAGGTATTATAAATGATATTGAATGCTAATATTGACATAAAATCGATATTTTTTGAAAAAAACCTACTATGATCGAAAACCAAAAATGCTTTAAATTGCATTTTAAAACATATCTAGGTATTATAAATGATAAAGAATGCTAATATTGACATTAAATCGATATTTTTTGAAAAAAGCCTACTATGATCGAAAACCAAAAATGCTTTAAATTGCATTTTAAAACATATCTAGGTATTATAAATGATATTGAATGCTAATATAGATATT